ATTTAAATAAATAAATATATAAATATAATATATTATTTTATATATATTATGGTATATTTCATTTAATCCCTTCAACATGTTCTTAAAGTCATATTCTCCTTGAGGCAACACATATATTTTTTAAGCAACTAAAAATTTAGAATACAAATGGTAGCGAACATGGAAAATGAATTTCTTTAGATGCTGTAAGAATTGAAATTGGACGCCATTGTCTAAAAGCGAATTGCAGCGTAAGATTTGGGGGTTGTTTTTTGTTTTTTTTTTTTTTGTTTTTTTTTGTCTCTCATTAAAAGGCACATCCACAACCAAGCACTTAGCGCAGAGCATTTTGGGTGGTTGGTTTTCTGCTTGTTGCTGCTGTTTAGGATTTGTATTTGTGGTAGTCGGTGCGCTTTTTTAGATTGCTTCCGCACGCATACCAACTCAAAGGTTTGACTGCGTGTGTAGTGGATGTAATTCCGTTGATTATGTTTACATACGTTAGTCAGTAGGAGAGAGGGAGAGGGAGGCAAGAGAGAGAGAGAAAGAGCGTGTGTGAGAGTGCAAAAGAGAGAGAGAGAGAGAATAAGAGCGACAGAAAGAGAGAGCGAGAGAAGAGAGAGAGAGTAGAGCTCGTTGGATATGTACACAACGACGACGACGACGACAACGACGACGACGATGACGAAGCCTAGAAAATTCTACCACCAAAGCACAGCGAACCGATAGCAGCCAACATCAGGAGAGGGTGGAGCAAAACGCGTTCTCCGTACGTTTGGGGGTGTTGCACTGAGCGGTGTTGGTAGTAGCAGTAGTAGACGTTGATTAAAGAGACTTAAATTGAAAATTTTTATACTCTGAATTGAATGAAAAGTGGGTAAATAGGGTATATGTAATTCTATGTAATGGTCAGCAGAAGGCAGGGCTGGTTGTATACATAAATTCTTGATCAGCCGAATCAATGATCTTTATTCGTCGTTTTACTAAGCGTATCGATATCGGCCCATAAATAAGTTAATGACTCCAATTCGAACCGATTAATTTTGCTATAAATGATCGATTATCTGTTTTCAAGATATCGATTTAAATTGGTATACAATTTTTTTTATAACCTCCTCAAAAATATACAAGAATACTTTTAAAAGCTCTGTAAAAGTAAGGGGCGTAAAGTATCTCATAGTCGGTCACTTTCGACAAACTTCTACGTGTTTTTTTTAATATACTTTCAAAAAGAAGCAATAAAATAAAAAAGAATGAACTTTCATTTTCTTTTTCGGCTTTTATTATAATCTCTTTCATGTTATGACTATTTAAGACAAAATTATATGGATTATCTGTGGTATTAGCCACTCGGATAAACCCTGAACAAATTCTTTATTATCTAAATATATATTTTATTTTAATTCTGAAATCCCAAAATCACTTCAAACTTAATCTGAAGTTTCCATTTGTTTTGGTATTCATATCATTATCTTAAATATAAATACTTGGCATTACGAATATATTCTCGAAGGGAATGCTACTTCGAGAACTGGTGAAACGGTTAATCATCTTAAGCTTTAAAGTTCTTACCCAACCCATAAAATCCATAATACTTTGTCTTTCTTTCATTAAAAACTTGTTGTTCCTAGTTCATTTCTTTTCCTTTTCTTTAAGGACTGTTGGGAATAATAATTTCATTATCTAAACTAAAATAGCGATTTCATGAGAAATGAACTAAATTTACGACAATTGAGTACCGAGGACTATACAATCGGTGAAGTTGTTCAAAATCTATTAGTGAAATCATAAGTACGTTGAGGAGGGACTGAACATTCAAAGTTATACTCCAGAACTAAAATCTCCCAAAAAATGTTTCAGACCAGCGAAGAAGAACCAGAAAGAATCTTGGCAATCAGGTGCAAACGACTTCAGTAATATATATCATAACAAAATGTATATTCACGAATCACGATGGTTCATAGTTGTTAAAGTGTAAGATTTATCGAAAAGCTATTTAGTCATTTTCAGCTCTAAAGTTGTGAAAGATAGAGTTCATGTTTTTTATTATATATTATATTTCTCTATATAATTTTTTAATTTTACGGTACTGTAATTGTTTATTTACCTTACCCTAAATAAATTGAAATTGGCATTAAACCCCAATAAAGTGTATATATTCTCCAACTGGACTGTAAGCAGAATCCACCGAGTCATATTTCCATAGCGCATTCCATTTCCCAATTATCGATAAGAATCTATTATTTCATTTGTTTTGCCTACTCCCATGTTCCCCAACATTGCAAGAAACATGTTTCAAATAACATTCACATAATAATGTTTTTTTTTATTAAAAAATTTATTTTGAAAAGAGGTATTCAATTATTTTGGACTTAGCCATATCCATCTGTTCGCCCGTATTGCCGCATGGATCTCGAAAACTACTAAAAACTAAACGCAATATGAGTTTAACACCGCCCAATTTCCCTCACAGCCTTTGCACGCATGAGTGTGTGTGTATGCAACAAAAGTATATAATGTAATTATGGGATTATAATAGGATTATGCTATAAAGGACACCTCTGCGGATTTTTTAGGGTATTTCTTAGTCGGGCAGACTAGAACACCATTTGTTGTTTTATTATCAATAATTTTTATACCCTGATCATCTTAATCAGGAGGAGTATATTGATCATATTCCGAAAATTTCATTAAAATCCATTAAGTAAAATAGAAGTTATGAAACGTTTGGTTAATTTGAAAGGCACGTAGCACGCAGCGCCAAGCGAACACATTTTTCATATACATGTGCTGACATGCATTCAAATGCGTGTATTCTTTACTATCCGAAGAATCGAAATTACCATTGAACTGTGATTGAATTATAAGCAGCTATTTAAGTGAGGATTTGCAACTTCTTTCACAAGCAGTGCAACGGCGGTGTTGTGATAGGCGGCGCTCCTTACCGACAAGTACAGGGTGTTCGATAACAGACGGCGAAGGGACATTTTTTGTGACTACCTGTTACTCCTGCCTGCAAACAACGTATCGAGATGTCAAATGTTTTATGGTCTTAAGAAGTTTGCTAAAAGTATTGCAGTTAACCTTCCTTTGTTATTTGTTGTTAGGCTGTCTGAAAGTCTCACAAGACGAAAGAAAAAAGAAACCTGCGAGGTAAAATGTATTCAGGCGTGAGATAGCTCTGACTGCCTCTGTCAGAAGAAGCCTTTTCTCTTCAAGCAAGCTGACCAAACTGACCTTCCAACCCATAAAATTTTCCTTTACTTAGTCCTTTCCGCTTCAACTTGACGCGTGCGTTCGCCGAAACTACACTACTTAACAAAAAATTTATTACGTAGAACAAGCAATAAAACAGTTTTTATCCAAGAGTAAAGTTGTATATTATTCTAAACAAAAATGTTTTTTATATGATTCCGAATGAATAATTGTTAGAATACTGCTGTCGACATGAACACCACAAATCGGAGTTCAAATTTTACTGGGATTATTTACAAAATTGTTATTATTACAAAGCTTAATATGTGTTTGACTACAAATCGAATTCGCACTCTACAAAAGAAATGCATTTAAGAATCATTTCTTCTCTTTGCTTATTTGTACACTTACTTTGTCCGAAAGATATGCTTAACAGTGTAATACGTCCCGTGTAAATAGATAGCTAAAAATTACATAGACACCATCACCAATTGTCGTTGTGTTAACCTAATATATCCGTTTCTAATCCAAACGCTTCATCGCCCAGTGTCCATAAAAACTCTTACAAACATTTCCGTGCTCAATAAATTGAATTTGTCTTTTGCTATGCTGGACTTGAAATGTTTAACAAGTTCAAGAGGGAGGAAGCTTAATAATCAGGATCAAAAGCAGAGATAATCTACTACTATCTGTATTTTAATACGTCCATGAAGGAGACTATAGTGTTATCCGTTAAATAATCAAATATAAATACATTATATATATATAACATATATGCTTACAAAAAAATATGCTTCTTTGCTAACTAACTCTCAATGCGGGGTATTGGGACTATCAGATACATCTTCGCGGGTATATGACAAACCTCCCCTAATAACCTATTAGACGAACCTGACATGTAGATAATTATCGCTTTGCTGCAATGCATTTAAGATGGGGTTATAATTTTATTCTCTATAATATTGTCATCCCTCAAAAGTCTTTTTATCGTGCTGATAAGCCGTTCCGCCCTTAAAAACGGCCTTCCCCTTTTTTATAGTTACCAAACAAATTCTTTTCACTTTCTATAAAAGTCTACAATTATCGAGAGGCGTGCTCAAAACTGTTTTTTTTTTTTTAAATGTTAGCTATTAAGGAATTCTTCGACGATTTGGTGTGAATACATACATATAATTCATCTTTTTAAACAAAAATTGAGCTGCAGGATCAATTTTATTTACTTATGAATATATTTATACGTATATATATATTAAGGTTTGAGTGGGCACAATTTTCATTATAAATTTCATACAAAAGACGGATACAGAGGATGCTGTACCTTCCAGATTCTGGGTGTTAACTGAATTGATTTCCTTTATCAATCCAAGTGAATATCTCTTTTTAGTTGCAAAAGCCTACATATGTACACATAAGATATTTCCTAATCCTCTTATAGGTCTTATTTGCTTTTTAAGTATGCAAACGTTAAAAGCTGTCTGAAATTCAGCACTGGAACTTTTTTTTTGTAAATAGTTACTCTCGTCTGAAAAAGTAATACAATTTTCAGAATATGCCCACTAAAGCTGTGGGCAATCGGGAAACACTATACCTGGAAAGCAGGAACATATATTCGCATTGAGAGTTTACGAACTTAAATATATGGCGGATATACCTACGCCTAAAGAACGGATATACCTTACAAAGTTTTAGAGCACATTGTTACTAATTTCTAACTGATTCTCTATATACACGTTGTGTTTTGGCAGAAATGTTATATCAGTGAATAATCTATATTTCTCTTCTTTCCGTTGGAAAATATACGTATGTAAAATGCAAATAAAACTTACCATAGTTACGGGCAGGCCACTCGTTCCATTAGCATACGAATACGGAGACACCAAATATCCCATGTTAAAGGTCGGGGTATGAGGCTCAAGTTTATCTGTAGAAAAACAAAAAAAAATCAAGATGAACATTATATTTTAAAAGAGAAACTAAATCATGTTTTACGTCGAATAGCTAAGCTTTAAGCCAAGTATGGAAAACTATAATAAATCATTCGCTTAATAGATTCGGTTTCTTTTTATTGATTGAACTTTATTATATATGAATAGAAGAATAGGGAAAGCAATTAAATCATCAATTAGTCAAATTTAAATATAAGATTTAAAATGAATAAATATGAACAATAAAAATAATGATACGCACTACAAAACATGAAATTTTGATCACTCAGCCATTCAAAACTCGAATTTTGCAAGGTGCAATCCTATTCCAAAGGGTGGAGGAATAAAACTCATTACTTCGCCTCGATTTGCATAGAAAGTCAACCTAAAGTCCATGATTGACCTCTATTAAGTATGGAATTTAGTTGTTCTATTCAGACTAGAGCTGAAAATTTGAGCCCTGCGTCTAAAAAGTGGATTACAACTAAGCTCAAATTGACCGATATATTGAATATATATCAGAAATTCGATAACTTATTCCATATTATCGATCAAAATATATTTCAAAATATTTTCATTTGTATTCATGTAGGAGCTGGGCAATTCACGAGATTTGTAATGGTTAAACTTGAAATTTTAAATAAATACTCGTGTAGGCAACTCTAGACCTTGACTCCAGCTTAAATATAGTAGACTAAAATATATAATAAATATATTTACGCCTATTTCGACGTGGAAATGGAAGAAATGGGACGACTAAGTTACAGTTGACTTCATCTGTTGATTTGCAACCAAAAGTAGGAAGTCGAATATATATCCACTGTTTTGAACCTAGCACTCCTAAATTGGCAGACAGCGTTACCGCAGTCCCGTGTTGTAATTGGTAAATCGAGTTATTTTTCTACAATTGAAAAATGTTCTTAATTCTATACACATACAAAAGATATAGTTCGGTAATAATTTTTGAATATATTTAACTGCTTTTAGACCATAAACGAATATTACGCAGTCTGTCGCACCGAATGCCACGTTCTTATTGCTTTCTTTTCAGTATATCTTCAAAAACATACATTAAAACATAAAGTAATTAAGGTTCGGCTTATGCTCACTTATTAAAAACAACTGAAACTGTTAGGGGCGTCACAGATACCCTGTGTACAACGCACTTCTTACGAAATACTTAAATTATTTTTTATCTTGTATGTTTATTATTAATTTCTTCTTAAATTAAGTTGGGAAAATAGTCTCTAAAATAATCCTAAAACCCAGTTGCTCATACTCCCTTATGTCACTCTTAAAGTGTACAGGGTAAAAGTGTGAATGTCCATGAATGATCATTTAAGTGAGAAAACATGCACATGTACATGTAGATGTGTAAGATGTGTATATATGTATGTATATACATATATCAATTTGACGGTTGCCTGTGTTACGTCACTATTAATTAAGTCAGTCAGACGAGCCTAGTGTCGTTACTGGTAGAGTTAAAAGAGTATATTGGGTTCGTGTAATGTCCGACTAGATGTCAGGCCGTTCGTCTCTGACCATCCATATCGACACAGAGCATTTCGCCATTACTGACAAATCAGGAAATCATTTATAAATTTTACATGCTTAATATTTGGAATTAAAATTATTTACTCCTTTTTACAACCCAAAGTAAAAACAGGTAAGAAAGCTCTAGGAGATCCCAGTCGCATCTGCGTTTTTTAATTTGGGATTTCCGCTCTACCAACACCGCCACTTCACTTGGGAAATCAGTTGCAAATTTGAATTTAAGCATCAGCTCATAATTCAAGCATAATTCCATCATAATTTCGATTTTTTGAGAGCTTGGCGCTGCTTGACAAGTGCTTTTTCTAATTGGGAAAACGTTTTGTTTAATATCTTCTGTTTAACTTAATGGATTTTAACGAAATTCAAACGCCTTCACATAATGGCCCTATTTCCAACTGAACTTACATTTTAAGAATTTGGGGAAATTTGGAGCAGGTATCCAAAATCCAACAAAAAACAAAAATCAAAATTGCATAAAATATATGTACATAAAACTAAATTATTAACTGCATTTTAGAGGTGTCTTTCATCGTCTTTTAGTTTCGATATTTAAACTAATCATATATTCAAACCATTTTTTATGTGAAAAATAAAGATAGTTGATTAGTTAATAAAACTATATAAATATTTATATTATTTTCTATATACATTTATATAATTATACATATGTATGTAGATATTACGATATTCAAATTCGGTAGAGCTAACACAGTTTAAATAAACCTATAATATACAGCTTATCATCATACATAAATATGTCTGTATGTATGGAAGTTGATCTGGGTGTTTTACAAAAAATTTTTTACTAACAAGGGATACGTACATATGTCAACTATATCATTATAGTTTTACTAAATCTTTGTAAGCCTATGTGATCTATGTTTAACATATTTAAGCTTTGTAAAATAAAAATCAATGAGCACTGGTGCAGCGTCACATACATGAAATTTCATGTGTTTAGTGTATATGTATGTATGTGTTATGTGTATGTGTTATGTGAGTGCGTATGTAAGTGCTTGTGTATGGAGCAACAAGGCGATTTAAACAATGAAGAATATCTGAATCGTATCATTAAATAATTCACAGCTAGTTAGAAAAGCAAGCACAAAAAAGACGCGCGAAAGTAACTTAAAATGATGTATATGTATGTATGTATGTAGATATGCAAAAAAAAAACAAAGAAAATATATGCCTTCAATCAAAATTTTAAGGAGGAGAAGGAAGCCGTAAACACGGAATGGGAATTAGCCAACGTATGTAACATTAGCAGCAGCAGCAGCAGCAGTCTACAAGCAGCAGCCTATGAAGGTACGAAAAGTAATGGGTAACAAAATAATCCACGCGTTCTCGAGACAACAAGCGTCTGCCAACAATCAAGCAAGAACTTCAAAACGTCAACAGCACACTAACAATTTGGACTGCAGCAGCGACATTGGCAGTACGAACGAGACCGTCGTCGATTCTACGAAAACTCATTAATTTCCAAGGATACACAAATACAACGACATAACGTAGTAGTTGTATTGCCTACGAGTGCATATATATACACATGCATACAAACAAGCATTTATGAATGTGTATGCATGCAGCAGCAGCAAAAGGGGTACAGATTTTATTGTATATATTTGTACATATATATATATATATATATATATATGTGTGCGTGCATACCTACATATATACCAATGTACATATATATATATATATATATATATATATATATATATGTCTGTGTGTGTGTGTGCGTGTGTGATTGTGTTTGTGCATGCATACCTACATATATACCAATGTATGTATGGATGTGTGCATGCTTACACACTTTTGTATATTGTGTACTTAAGAAACTAAACTGATCGCCGCACAGTGGGATACAACCCACAAATTTACAAGAAATTGAATTGATTTTGACTTTAATTGCTGTAATTCTATTAAATTGTTTTATAATAATGTTGTCAACATATATGTAGACAGATGTTGAGATATAACTTTGTTTTGTTATGTGGTACATATATACATATGTATTACCAAAAAAAATAATAATATAGCAGAGTAACCAATTTATCACCTTTATAGAAAATCTTAGTCGTATAATTACAAAAAAATTTTCTTTGCCATAAAAAAATGTTTTTTAAATAATAATAAAATCAGCTTATTTATAGAAAATATAATAATAAAATTATTTTATTCTAAATCAACAAAAACAATAAATTTATACTTTTTCCCATTAGCTCTGGAACAGCATACATAAGTACGTACATACACACATTCATGCTTGCATTGTCAATGTTCGCCGTTCCGTTTCCCACTACAATTCCTGCCGAAGCTGTGATCACTGAAGCTCATGGCTGATTACGTCTCGTTATCTCTCCTTTTGTTTTTTTTTTAACGCTCGGCATGAGCCAACAGTGTTCTGCAGAATCTCCTTCAATGGTCAAGTCAAAGGAGTAAAGGTAAAAAGCTCATTAACTGTTTTGTTATGGGCTTTTAAAACGGCGACGTAAACTCAGACAGCGATGTTATTGTGAACAAGTTATGTTTAGCACAACGCTCATTGAATTTCGTATACATATTGTTACTAACACATATGTACATATATATGTACATACAATTACGTATATAGCATATAACATATAGGAGTATATATATATGGATAAATTCATATACAGCCAGTCAAAAATATTCACGCAACCCACATTTAAACAGTTCTGCTTAAATTTTCTACATTTTTTAAATTTGTTGTCATATTACACACCCGATTTACATAATACTTTCCAACTCTTAAAATTCATAACAAGTTCAGATCGGATTTTGAAATGATAATTCCTTTGTTTTCCCAATATCCATTTTCCATTTCCAAATTTAACTAATTTGGTGAATACTTTTGATTTTCAGCTATATATGATATATAGGGGAATTAAAGCTATGTACGTAAGTATTTTATTCATGAAACGGCGTATTTTATCATATGCGCATCTGAAACTCTATCAAACATCCCATAGCCATGTAAAAACAAGTAAGAAAACTCTAGTCGGGGTGCCCGACTAGGAGATATCCTGATCCCAGTCCTATCAGCGTTTTTTAATATTTTCCGTAGTTTGTATCGAGTATTAAAAAAAATAGAAATAAAAACTGACACTACCACACCAAGATTCAAACACAGAATTCCTACACAATGCGCATCAGCTCTACCAACACCGCCACTTCATAATTAAAAAAAAAAATTATAAGAAACGTCTCATCGCCGCAAGGATTGAACCCAGGGACTAATCGCTAACGAGCGCCGCTTCTACCAACGCAGCCCCACTGCACTGATTCTTCGAATGTATGTATGCACACGCATAGGAAAAATGCGTGCGCTTGGCGCTGCTGACATGTGCTTTGCAAATTGGCCAAACGTTTTGTTTAATAACTTCTGTTTTACTTAATGGATTTTGATGAAATTTTCAGCATGTGATCTAAATATTCTATTGGCTTGGTATAGATGCAACGCCTTCATATAATGGCCCTATTTCCAACTAAAATTAAATGTTAAAAATTTGGGGAAATTATTCGATAATAATTAAATGGGAATAGTTATAAAATATATGAAACAAACTTGATATGCGCGTGCTATACACGGACCTACAATTTCAATTCTCTAGCTCCTGTAGATGCTGAGATCGACGCGATTACACATACGGACAGACGGACACAGCTCAATCGACTTTATGGTCTGCCACGCCTCCTTCTGTCTGTTACATACATTAGCACAAAACCATTATACCCTGATTTCCCATTTTCAATAGGATCAGGGTATAAAAATATAACTAGAAATAAACTTGCGAACAAAAATTCTAAAAAACTAACGACGATGAGAGTGCTGATGCCAGAGTTGCAAAATCACGTAGGCTCGAATTCCATCAGTTCACTGTGGACAATGGAAGCGTGATATTTAGTGTGAAGCTGGGCTTTTGAATGATTTTACTTGAATTGCAATAAAACCAACAAAAACAGTTAAGCCATTTGTCAAGATTTTGTAAAAAAAAATCAGTCTTCTCTAGATTTTTAAATTATTGATTTGGATGGTAAACATGTTTTATATATGTATGTTTTTATATATATTAGAAATACAATTTATTTAAACATTACAATTCGAATAAAGTTTAATAACGCTAGAAAACAGAAAAAGAGATTAATAAACAAAAAAAGACAATTCTAAGCAATTAATGTACACATATGTATGTGGGTGTATGGGTAGGTGTGAACGAAGCACATGCATACATGTACATATGGGATTGTATTAAGCAGACTAGTTATGGCAATTACGTTATTGCTCAGCGAATTTAATTTTAATGTACGTATGCATGTACATACTTACCTATATTTATGTAGTATATACGACATATATATATTACTCTCAGTTGGGTAGATGCGCACACATGTATGCTAGCATATGTATGTACATACATACGTATGTGCATACTTGCGTGCTTTTCCTTGGCCGCACACATTCACACATACAAATGTTATGAAATATATACATTCATACTCTCGCAACCAAGCACATAAATACATACACATAAATATAGCCAAAAAAAATACCTACACAGTCTCTTTATTTTATTTACTGCACCGTTTTATTAGAATGTGTGTATGCATATATGCATGTGTATGTGTGTATATGCGCACGCCAACATACTACGTAAGCCACTGATGGCCAAAAGAAAGCAAAAATATATAGGCAACAGAGACACACAGAAACAGAGAAGAACAACAGAAACACAAAAGAAAAAACAAGAAATGAAGTAGCGTGTCGACGAGCCGATCTGCATCACCTTGTTAGCACCATGGAACGGATGCTAAAGTTACAGTCCCCGACGACGACAGCGACGTCGGCAGCAAGATCAGCAGCCGGTTATTCACCCCCCCCCCCCCCCCCCACGCACACACAACAACTTCGGCTTTGCCTTTAAATGTGAGCACATGTTTTTTTCCGTCTTATTTAGTTTGTTTATAAAAACAGTGCATGACGCATACATACACAGCACATACACATTTACATACATACATACGTTCTTAAAGACATCCATATGCACTCACGTCGTACATACATATATCTGAACATATGTATGTATTTGCGTTTGTATGAAAAAGTAAGAGTGCCTTAGTCGGCCGGCAAGATACCACGCAATCGGCATTTTACATTTTACAGTTTTCTTTTCAGCAAAAAACTATATAGCTACAGCTTATGTGTATCTGTTTATATCACTTCTAATTAGAAATTTGTGCGTATCAACCTGTTAGTAACAATATTCGGATGTAATTATACCCTATTAAGCGAAAAATAAATGATTGATTAACTAACTAACCAGATGTTAATGTTTTCAAGTAGTGGGGGACAGAGAGGCAAGAGAATTAGAAAAATTGGGAGCAGAAGAAAAACAAGGAAGAGAAAAAAGGGACGGAATAGGATAATACACAATGGAAGCAGGAGAGAAGTACGAGAAGAACTAGTAGTTGTAGTAAATGGAGCAAAGAGCACTACATAAGAAAATAAGGAGCAAGAGTATAATAGCAGAAAGAGTAGGATAAGTAGCTGAAGAATTAGCAATGCACAGAGGAGTATAATTTTATAAAATAATTCTACTATATACATTTATGCATGTAAATACTCACTAAACACGGGACTGTGATCCGGCCGAGTCACCGTCTTGCTGCTCTTTTCCTATGTGAAGAAGAAAATATTTAGTTATAGTTCAGTTATATATTTATTTATTAATATTTTATTAATTATTTATTTTGGGTTATATTATAATCTTCAGTGAACATTATTTAAAAAAAAATAAATAAATAACAAATAAAATCATACCTCACTCTCTGTTAAATCAATTAAACTTGATTTTTCTTCGACTAAAAGGTTCTCGGATGATATTTTCTCATCTTCGCGATCGCCTTCATCCTTAAATATCTTAACTTCATCCGTGCTGCCTAAATCATCACCGGATGATCCATGACGCGTATGTGTATGCGGCATGGTTTATATCTTCCGGATTTCTAAATTTTATTTTTAAATATCGCCACAAATTTGATGAATGGCATGATACAGCAGTCCATATGATCTTAATTGGATATAGGGATAACAAGATTTGTCCTCCATTTTCTGTTCTCCAAGTGCAATCTCACGCTTTATTGGAAAGCATTGCGTAAAAAGTGACGCCCATTTTTGTGTCAATTGTGATCTGGAAATTAAATATTTAAACATAAATTTAGATTTTTTGTATACAGTAATAGAAACACTCTATACATTTACAATTGATTTCAAGCGATTTTAACTGGAAAGAAAAAAATCAAGTAACAACATTGCAACTGGTCGCAACCGACTTCGTAATACTCGGCCCAAGCCTTCATTGATCATTGTCTTCTCACTATGTAGGTTGCCAACAGTGTGATCAACATTAATTCAATTCTAGTTTTTAAGTCTTAAACTGAGGAAGATCTGGTATCCAAAAGGAAACATAGTCAATCTTAAGAAGGACAGTAATTTAGTGTTCAAATGTATATATTTATAGTGTCAAAACATTTGAAAACTAAATTATTGTCGATGTTACTATATATCTAATATCGTTTTTCGAGTGGCAGTGACCACACAGTTTCAACATTTCATGTGGGAATTATATTTTGATTGGGCACACTAAAGAGAGAGAATAAAGATATAAAGCCTAATATATATACAAAATTGAGTCAATATACGTTAAGACTTAAAATTCAAAGATGAGATGATGAGAGAGAGAGGGAGATAGACTAGCTAAGCGAAGGGATGTCTTTCACTCGGCTATCCCATACAGAAACAAATATATAATTATTAATTATTAAATTCTTTATTTAACAAAATTACTAGAATATTTTAATTTTAATTTTAATTTTAGCTTAGAAAGAAATTCCCTAATAAGATATGAAACTTACTGAAATCTATTCTTATCGATCTTATGAAAAATTATTTAATGGAAAAGCGGTGTTTATTTTATGCTAGAGGAATACAGAATGACAAGTATATTTATGGAGTTCGGTTCGAATGCTTTATCTCAAATATATATCTTCTATTTTCTACGTCCCATCTACAATCTTCTATCATCTTCTTTTTATACAAACATACACGAAAAAATATATAGAATATATAAATTATTGGATTAAAAAATTAATTTTTATATTACGAAAAATTTAAAAACTTTTGCAATATATAATATCTGCTATTTTTTACGTCCCATCTACAATCTTCTATCTTCTTCTTTTTATACAAACATAAACGAAAAAATATATAGAATATATAAATTATTGGATTACAAAATTAATTTTTATATTACGAAAAATTTAAACTCATTATGTAGTCTAACTAAAATAAAGAAATAAAAGTTTGATTCTTTCTATAGCAGCGAAAACCAATTGCAAATTCCGGGCATATTAATGCATTAATGCATGTATAGATTTCGGAAATGATAATAGCCAGAGAAACTTTATAAGTAGCTCCCCATATATCACGCGTAGATTAAGTTTATTTAAAAGCATCAACAAGTTTCCAAGGTGTCGATTAAAAACGTTATTGAACTTCAGTTATTAAATCATATCTATTCGATTTTTTATGCTAGACTCTTCAATTTAATTCGTAGTATATTTGATACAATTTTATTGCTATTATATTTTGGATATACTTTGGCTCCAAAACTTACGAATTCCGTAGAAGTTTTTAAAGAAAACGTGTGATCATTGGCAAAACCACGTTTTTGATAAAAAATGAAGTTGCTTATCTACCAATTTAGGGTATCGAACAGTCAAGCACATTCCGAAATCCGAAAGATTGGAATTTGCGACAGGTAGGCGATCAATGGTCTTACACACATACCTTTGTATGTATGTATAGATACAACGAGATGTCCCACTGTCTCGTACCTCTCTTTAAAAGTAAAATTAACAAGGTCTTATGGACGACAAACCAACCTGGCGATCGACGACAGTCTCTTCCTAGAACAGTTAGATACGAAACCCACAGGCAAAATGCGAACCAATACTAACAAACATTTAACAGATATACATACAGCTGTAGATATTTAAACTTACACACATGCATATCGTAAGTTACCAGATCGAGAGAGAGAGAGAGAGAGAGAGAGGCGAGTAGGTGAATCTTCGTAGGGCCATGTGATGTTCGAACATCGCAACGCAGACCAATACATAGATATGTAAATACAGGCAACAGTTTGCGATTGTGCTCGTGTGTATGTATGTATATATATATGTGTGTGTGCACTCTCAGCAGGGAATAAGGCAAACTATTAGTTCAAGGTAACAAGCGAACCCAAAACCACGACAACAGCCACAACAACAACAACAACAGAGGCGGCATGAAATTAATGATACGAGTTTCTATTTAGAGACGTGATTGTAGGATTTCAACAGGTAGAAAAAACGAACGTAACAAAACAAAAAGAATACGAAAATGTTTCGTATTTTCAGCAAATAAACCAACACACACATAAACAAACAACGATCAATGTATGTGCATGTGTGTGCCGTTTGTTATTTGTACATTTGCGTGAATTCGAATTCGAAGAATTTACGTTATCCAAATCCAACTCCAAATATAATGTGTACATATTACTATGCGTGTATGTGTGTATACAAATACAATACAGTTGTACCTACTTTTCGTTAAATTGTTAATGCGGACTTTGAGTAGAAGAACGCACAAATTTTTTTAATTTGCCGTCGGTAAAACAGGTAAACGCACTTATTTTCCCATCAAGATTTGTCGATGTTCTTTTGCTTGTGCTTTTACTTTATTATTTCTATTGAGGTTTAATGCTCTAACACTGGCACAAGAATATTGTAATCGTTAACAATCCACACTAATCAATTTTGGCACTCATTTGATACTTGTGTTTTTGTATCTCTTTTTTAAATATGAGTACATACTTACATACATACGTGCGCACTCCGATATAATTATATATGTGTGTGTCGATTCGAATACAAGTGTGTATTTGTTGATTGTAATCATTTAAAGATAAATTGCCTACACCTTTGATCAATGCCAAATTTAATGCCATGAATTCTTTAATTCTTTTACTACTTCACTTTGTATATCTGCTTTTTGCACCAATTCAACTTTTATGCCGCTGCACAACGCACACATTTACACATACCTACACACGCGCACTCAAAATACACAATCAAATGCAGATGACGATCGCGATAGCAGACAGCCACACGTTACACATATGTGCACAGATACACATTCAGATACAATCATATGCATGTACATATATCAGTATCTTTTGATTTACATATATACATAGATACATTCACCTATATATACGCCATGAATCTTGACTTCGTTAAATTCAACGCCACGCAACGCGACGGCACGATCCATCAGTTATGGATTATTTTATGCGTATTTCCACATTAAATATGAATAAATAAGTAACTAAGACGACTCTTTTCGTTTCAATTGCAAGTCAAATGCGGTAAATTAATAATTAAAAACTCTTGAGAATATCACACAACCGCTCTACTCAACTTCGCGCAACATAAACTAAAAATTAACAGAGCTTCGATGCTTCCGTAACACAACTGAATGCTATGGTTAACAGTAAGCGCTGCAGAGCAATTTTAAAAGGGCAATGCTAACCATAACAGCGCAACTGTTATGTTTTACAGTCGCGCTTTCGGTAAAACAGCTGTTGCATAACATATTTTAAAAAGGGCAGTGTTAAACATAGCGTGGTAACTATTACGTTTCTTTACACGTTAAAGTAAAGAAATCAGCTGTTTCCATAAATTTAAGCTATCGATAAATGACAATTTACGAGCTAATCGATTTTTTTTGGCACTACAAAGTATAGTATTAATACCGACACCGTTTTTCAATTGACCTACCGACCGTTCAACCCGAAATTATCGGCTGATATTGATGGTATCGATATTTCGAAAATTGTGTAACCACAATTGATCGATGTTATTTAGATTTTTTGGAACTTATCACTAATTTTTCAATTTAATAAAATGCAAATTATCAAGACACCATTTATTTCAAACATAGTTTATTTTTTTTTTCAAAACTATATCTTAATTATTTATTTTAACGTATTATTTTAAATAGCATCTCAGACAAATCCAATCCGGACATAAAGTGGTCTTCTAATAATACAAATATATAGATAACAATTATTCCAGGTATATTATATATGACGGAATTTCTAGAAATATAAAAAATAAAAGTAACATATTTTATTTAAATTTATATATATACATATTCCATATATTGCATGGACTGATCAGTTCTACTATCTTAAAATAAACCGTTTACATGGAATATATTCAAATTTAAATAAATGTTCATCATAAGTTCGTCCGTACAATATATAATACATACATAAATTTTTCCAACTTACTTAATTTCCAACTTTTGGAGCTCTTACATTTGCCTTCACACTACAAAGAGAAAAAAAAGAGATTCTTCATGGCATATCGAAGCGAGCTGGGTAAGTTTGTCATCATAGTCGAATCATAATTCTTAAAATTAAACAATTTAATATATGCACACCTTGTGGAAATTCCTTTCTGGCCACTGATAAAGCATCTTTTACCTGCATTAAAGACAACATATTTAAGTATGATGATTTATATAATTAATATAATGTTATTATTTGGCATGTCTTCTATCATATATATCTTTCAGTAAATTACATTTTCATTTATAGTGCAAATGATGGGGAATCCGTAGATAAATCATCATATCTGATAATAATTAACATTATATCGTCTCTTTTGAGAACAGATCTTATCAAAGCTAGATTTTTCGTGACGCACCTGAAGCATGGGAGTGTCCGGAATCCTTCACTCTTCATAGATCACATTGAGATTCGCTGTAAAAACAAATAAAATTATTATATAAGGATTCATCTAAATGCTAGAACTTTAATAATAATAATAACTAAAATCAGTTTTTAATTATTTTGCGTTGGTTTTGGAACAGTTCTCTTCATGGCATATCGAAGCGAGCTGGGTAAGTTTGTCATCATAGTCGAATCATAATTCTTAAAATTAAACAATTTAATATATGCACACCTTGTGGAAATTCCTTTCTGGCCACTGATAAAGCATCTTTTACCTGCATTAAAGACAACATATTTAAGTATGATGATTTATATAATTAATATAATGTTATTATTTGGCATGTCTTCTATCATATATATCTTTCAGTAAATTACATTTTCATTTATAGTGCAAATGATGGGGAATCCGTAGATAAATCATCATATCTGATAATAATTAACATTATATCGTCTCTTTTGAGAACAGATCTTATCAAAGCTAGATTTTTCGTGACGCACCTGAAGCATGGGAGTGTCCGGAATCCTTCACTCTTCATAGATCACATTGAGATTCGCTGTAAAAACAAATAAAATTATTATATAAGGACTCATCTAAATGCTAGAACTTTAATAATAATAATAACTAAAATCAGTTTTTAATTATTTTGCGTTGGTTTTGGAACAGTTCTCTTCATGGCATATCGAAGCGAGCTGGGTAAGTTTGTCATCATAGTCGAATCATAATTCTTAAAATTAAACAATTTAATATATGCACACCTTGTGGAAATTCCTTTCTGGCCACTGATAAAGCATCTTTTACCTGCATTAAAGACAACATATTTAAGTATGATGATTTATATAATTAATATAATGTTATTATTTGGCATGTCTTCTATCATATATATCTTTCAGTAAATTACATTTTCATTTATAGTGCAAATGATGGGGAATCCGTAGATAAATCATCATATCTGATAATAATTAACATTATATCGTCTCTTTTGAGAACAGATCTTATCAAAGCTAGATTTTTCGTGACGCACCTGAAGCATGGGAGTGTCCGGAATCCTTCACTCTTCATAGATCACATTGAGATTCGCTGTAAAAACAAATAAAATTATTATATAAGGACTCATCTAAATGCTAGAACTTTAATAATAATAATAACTAAAATCAGTTTTTAATTATTTTGCGTTGGTTTTGGAACAGTTCTCTTCATGGCATATCGAAGCGAGCTGGGTAAGTTTGTCATCATAGTCGAATCATAATTCTTAAAATTAAACAATTTAATATATGCACACCTTGTGGAAATTCCTTTCTGGCCACTGATAAAGCATCTTTTACCTGCATTAAAGACGACATATGTAAGTATGATTAATATATAATTAATATAATATTATTTGGCATGTCTTCTATCATAAATATACTTTTCATTGAAATACTCTTGCATTAATAATGCAAATAATGGGGAACCCGAGACTTCATTGTCGTCATGGTGCAATTTATTTGTAACTATGTTATGGTAATTCTAACTAACCTTAATATTAAATATCTAATAGACGGACTCAGGGTGATCCACATTTTGGCATCGGGTGACTGGAAATGAATGGGAAACAAGAATTAATTTCAAAACTTTAGATTTTCTGTGCAACAGTTGAATATTCAACAATATTCAGTTACAAGGTGTAAATTTTCATCACAGCTCTTCAAGAGTAGCAAATAATAAAATAGTCATCACGACAGAAATCAAAATGTAATTTACAGCTAATTAATTTAACTTACCACGTACAACTTTGCATGATATCTGAAATAGAAGAATTAGGAGAAAGCTATAAAAACTTTTAAATAGTTGAGGATATTTTTAATCAAACTACAAACAATTCAGTTAAAAGGTGACAAAATTCATCAATTATAAATTTTCAAGAGTAGCAAATAATTAACTATTTCATCAATATGTAAAAATATACTTATCTAATTTTTTAGTACTAACTTACCGCATTCAAATTAAATTTCCACTCCCAATCTAATTTATTGATATAGCTGAAAATGCATAATAAATATAGTTAATACTTTATAGTAAATATTCAGAAGAAGTTTTGTTTTGTAATATCAGTTTGAAAATGTTCATCGAAAATATTTGTCAGAGACGAAAAATAAAATGCATCATTTGAGAAAATAAATACAAAATATATAATATATTACTCACCATTTATAGGCAGTAGTAGAAGTGGGCACAATTCCTGAAAAGATAAAAATAATAAGGCACCCCCAACCGAATGATCCCAAGCAAAGCAACAAGAGTAGAAGGCGAACTTTTACGTTTTAATATTTATTATTTTGTATTGTAAGACAGAGTGGTCTCTGGATGTCCATTATTGTTATTCGTTCACAGAATCCATCCACTATCCAATTGCCTACAACTCAAATTTATTATTTTTAAACAGCCTCCTGTACAGGTGGCTCATAGCCCTCGGGGCGATCAATGACGGCACCCTCAGCAGAAACAACAGCTTCGGTTGTTTTGCCACCACCATCGCCATGAAGCTCCAAAAGTTTGGAGATGTCGAAACGTGGCTTCTTGAGTACCTTCACCTTGCGAATGTAGACATCATGCAATGGGTAGATACGCTGGCAGCTTTTCTCAATATCCTTAGCAATGGAATCCAAAGCCAGTTTGTTCACAAGCTGCTTCAGATCAGCGCCGCTCACTTCATTCGTGATGATGTCGGTCATACGGGCACGAATCTTACGCACCTGCGATTGCTGGGCATAGCATGTCTTACGCTGTGATTGCTGATCCTTGAACGTGAATCCAATGCAGAAGACACGCAGCAAATATCCGTCAACGGTCTTTGCTTCCACAATGGCCTCGATGAGAGTTTGCCATTTTTTTACCATTGATCTAAATGGTTATTAATTAAAAAATGTAAATGATGCTCATACATACGCTCACGCATTTATATATTTGTATGCATATATATATTCATGTGTCATACCTGTACTTGTCCGTTGTCAAGTCCATGCCATGGAAATTGCAAAGCACATTGCGATCCTGTACATCTTCGGCGATCAGACGAAATTTACGGAATGAACGCTCTGGATCAATATCTTTTTGCAAGTCCGCAAGCGAAACTTCAAAAACACGACCTTTAAGGTAGTCAGAGGCAATGCGTTGGCCCTGCGTGCGATTCACGAGGGTTTTGCCAATCTGCCTGGTTTGAAACATGTTTGGTGCTTTGACATCGTACCAATCTTTGCGCGAAAACGGATCGACTACCTTCTTTTTGCCACCTTTTTTACCGCCTTTTGAGAGACCCTTATTTTTGCCGACCGCCATGGTAAACGTCTAAACCGGAAAAGGTCGAATCACGTTGAGTCAACTGTCAAAAGAAGGAAATAATGAATAGGGTTGTTAAATTGCGTAAAAATGCCAAAGGGTTGCCTTACACGGAACGATTTGCATGGGCTGAAGTGGAATTGAAAATAAATTTTTTTAATGCTTTATTTAATGAACATTTATTTTTGGCGTTCATAACATTTATTACTTAATATTTATATAAACAAAGTAACATTATTAATCGCTTGAGAAATCCAGAAATTCGAAACTTTGAACAAATATTACATGGATATAATTACAATATCATAGCTAACTTAAATTATGTCGAAAATAAAATTTAAATATTTAAAAATTAAAATATCTAAACGAATAATAATTTAATTTAATACAGTCATGTTAAATATTATTTTAATTATTAACTTTATTGAATGTCAACAACCGATATATTTTTCATTCCCATTCATTTCACTTGTCACTGCTTGATATACATACAGTGTATAGATGGTTTGTTTGTATTAAAATTTGGTATTTTATAATTTGTATAGCTGGGCACACGATCTCAGTTATTCATCGCATCCATTTTTGTTCTGCTTAGTTCCTTTTTAAATTAATTTTGCAATGAAAAGTTTCTAACTGTTTATTTCATAAACAATTTTATACAAATCTATGATTATATTTAGTGCTAGCTTGAAATATATATTTTTAATAGTAACCCGTAAACACATTAGTAGAAACGATAATTATGGATACGGCTTGGTGACAGTGGGTTTGATTCGTTGTTTCGTTCATATTGCTTTCGGATGGACCTAAGTGTGATTCCTGATCTCAAAATATACTTAGTTTATCATATATATATATGCATATATATATATATATATGTGTGAGAACAATTGAAATGTAAAACAAATTTATTGATTAACAAGAGGAATTCACATATATTGTTTGTTTGCAATCCAGCTCTCGCCTAATGAGCAACAGCAATTCCGCTGTTCCACAACATAACAACATACATATACAATCATTTTTCGCAAATCGCGCAATGTACAACAATTGAAAATAAAACATTAACATGGATCCAAATAACTTTGCCTACGAACATTATGGTATATTAGTTCAAAATGATGACGATGAATTACCTAAATCCACTTTAAATGTACAAAATCTCAGTAATGGTAAGTAAATTGGGCACTGCTTGTTTAAGTTTAAACAATCTATTGAGTTTACCACAAAGGTCCTCTATTATGATTTTTGCCTTACTTTTTTTCTAAATGCTAAATAATATTTGTTCCTGAAAATAAAAAAAAAATAAAAAAATTAAATACATAAATAAATATTTAAATACAAAATAATTCGTATTTTCCTGTTTGCAGATAGATGTATGGTAATTTATAATAAATGCTTATGTTTATTTTAGTTTTAGGTACAGAAGACATTGGACATAGCAGCGATTTGGTACTTGTTTCACAGCATGATTCCTTTGGGCCAACGGATTTGCAAAATAATAGCTTACATTTTGATGGGAAATCGTTATTGAAGACGCCAGCGAAAATGTAAGTGAAAATTTTCTAAAATCGTTGGCAATTTTCGAATTTTTAATATAATTTCGTTCATTAATCATTTTGCACAGGGAAGGAAAACCAAATATGGAGTCGGCAATAACAAAGGATTTTAAAGAAAGTGTTTCACAAGATTTGGTTAATTGTATGCAACAATTAAGGCAAGATCGAACAAATGCTGAACCAGAATTGATGATGGACAGAAAAAATATGGCACTGATGTCGGGAAGTGGCAAGTCGCGGCGATGGGAACAAAAATTAGTTCAAATTAAGACAATGGAGGGTGAATTCAGTGTAACTATGTGGGCATCTGGTACATCGGATGATGAGTATTCGTGTTCGGATCAAAATGCTGATGAGATTGACTATCTACATGGCAATGACAATGCGCTGAATTCCGAACAGACGAAAAAGAATGAATCAGTATTACAAAAACAGCAACAATTGTTTTTTCAACAGCAGCAAGAGCAATTTCTACAACTACAGCCTCAATTAATTGTGCCAATGAATGGGACAACAGCAGAAACACCAGCAGAAGCCGATAAATGTAATATTAATTCGAAAAGAAATCTAAATTGTGACACACAAATATCATCGTATGTAGCCATATCGCAGGGATGTCGCCTAATCAATGATGAAACGTTATTAGCCATAAAGAATCAATCATTAATGTCAAACGATGATTGTGAGATAAATAACGTTGTAACTAATACAGCACCATCAGTAACTTTTGGTATGACTCATTCAGTAAATGATCTTTTCACTTTTAAAAATGTTTCATTTCCTTTATTTATATGGCAGCATCAGGTGCAGTAGGAGCAGTAGGAGCAGTGGCAGCAGCAGCAGCAGTAGGAACAGAAACAGGAACAGCAGCCGCCGCGCTACCGTTAGCAACAGAATTAGCTGAGTTAGCGGATACCGCAGACTTTTCACAATTTGGCAATGATAAAAAGATTGCCTGTCCACATAAGGGCTGTCATAAATACTTTCGCGATTCGTCCGCAATGCGTAAGCATTTGCATACACACGGCCCACGCGTTCATGTGTGCGCTGAATGTGGCAAGGCATTTGTGGAAAGCTCCAAATTGAAGAGGCATCAATTAGTGCACACGGGCGAAAAACCATTTCAATGTACATTTGAAGGTTGCGGCAAACGTTTTTCATTAGATTTTAATTTAAGGTTGGTGTTACCTTAACATTTATATATACATATATTTAAAACTTATATTATTTATTATACCAGGACGCATGTGAGAATTCATACTGGAGATAGACCTTTTGTGTGCCCGTTCGATGCATGCAATAAAAAGTTTGCTCAGTCTACAAATTTAAAATCACATATTTTAACACATGCAAAAGCCAAGTAAGTAAGGAAAATCTCTTTAAGTGCAATATCTATATAATTAATATTATTTCAGGAGAAATACAGCCAATCCGCGTCAAAACATTTGCCCCAGCAACGAACCACTAAGCCCCAGTGGGGAAAGTTCTACAAATTTAATAAAAGTGGAATTGCGTGATACAACTATGTCAGAAACCCATACCCCATTTGTAATGTATGCCGACTAAAATATTAGTGTGTATATTTTAAACATAAAACTCAAAATCTTGTATATGCTTATATTCGTAAGGTCTATATATATATATATATATATATATATTATTTTTTTAAAGCATAACAAGAACATAGTATATAAATATGTAGCTACGTACCTAAGTTATTTAATAAGAAACATTTATTTTCACAAGAAGAGTGTCATTAAATGGAACGCATATTAAACTGTGTTTAAATTAAAAAAAAAAAAAACAGAAATGAATAAAGTATAGGTAAACACTTAAAAATTACTATTACATGAATCGAAAAATATGCTAACATTTAGCCAGAAGAAAGAATCAAATTTAGTTTGAAAACGTTAACTTATGTAAAGCTATCAAACTGTCCAGATAATATATATATAATATACACATTACACTTAACTTATACTTCCTATATTTTCTTAATTTTTTTAAAATATTTTGTGTGTGTAATCATCTAACTCGTATAAAGTGCAAATTTTTATTTCAGCTTGATTTATTTAGTTCTTCAGATATCTTTTTTGGATTGTCCCTTAGGCTAATATCTAGTCTTAATTGGCGATTTTTCTGAAGATATGACGACTGTAGATCATTGATTGGCAATGGAGTGTTTCGACGTAGTTTGAAGTCTAGAAGAAATTGATTATACTCATAATATTATAATATATTTTTTATTTTATATTCACCATGGACATGCGCCTGGGAGCTTTTGGTTCTTTGTAACCATTGGTCATTATTTTTACGATTGGGTCGAAAATAATTTTTTAGTATGTTCACCTTATACGTTTCGGGCGATTCTTCGCTAATAAGCTAGAATTATATATATTATTGCAAAGTATTGAGATGATTATATATGTACTTACTGCACTATCTTCAGATTCTGTATAATCTACTCTATTGTGGTCTTCTTCCAATTGGGAATTCGAGTCCTTGCTTTCAAAGAAGTTTCTCCTATGATATGCTGATCTAAGATTGGCTGGTGGTAATTTCAAATTGTTTTCAATCTCATTGGGCAACTTCCAGGTCTTAAGATCATCATTCCAAAGAGAGTTTTCCAATATATGTTCTGGATTCCTAAAGATAAGAACAGTGAAGCCCAGTAAATCTTAAAAGCCCTGTTTCTTACCAGTTTCGTCCATTTTTTCGTAGAACTGGTTGTGCTTTGTATAAAAGAAGCTGATAGAATTTCAAATTTCGACCTAGATGCCGAATTTCGTCTAAGTAATCCTCACGATCCAACTGAAATTCTGAATTTAGATCAGCAACTTCACGCTCGAGCATTTTGATCTTTTGCGTACACTTCTTGATACGCTCGTTTTTCATATTGATCTCCTGCTGAATGTTAGCATAGTGCCCTTGCAGCAGATCTCGATCCTCAGTCTCCACACGGCTCAAAGCATGGGCAATGGCACTCAAATGCCTTTTGGCCTCCAATTTACGCATTCGATGGCGTTCCCGCAACTGCAAATCGTCGACTCTTTCGCCGCCGATCAAAGTCTGTTTGATTAGATCAATTCGTTTGCGTGCATGCAATTGAAAGTCTTCGCTGATTGTATTATCCGATTGTTCAGTTTTTGAAACTGGTATTCCATCCTTCATCTCGTCGAGCATCTGCTGGCGCATCTTGACTTTAGCTTCTTCCAGCCACAGTTCTTTTTGCTTGTTATTGTCTTCAACAAATTTATGTAGTATAACACTTTCATGCTGATGGCTTTCGTCAAGCATTCGCTTCAAATTAAAGATTTCCTCTTGATATTTTCTCAATTGTGCATCCTTTGGATCCTCATTTATTCGAGGCGCATTCGATATGTTCTTGGCCCGACATGCATACCTTAGCGTGGACAACGTCTCATCGTAGTTGCTATCAGCTGGTGATATGCATGCAATCATAAGCGTTTTTGTATTGCCTCCCAAGGAGTTCTGAAACAAAATGGATTACAGTGTTCAACAAAATTCAACTTTTTACTACAGATCTTTAAAAAGCTTGAAGAATATAGCGGATGGTCACAAGTATTTTTGAACACATTTTTGCGAGCTCGGAATGTTTCGAATCGAAAGCAAAACTTAACTGTGTATAGCAAATGTAAAAAATTTAATAACAACGAAAAGAATTCGAAAACGAAAAAGTTGATGTACACAAGTTCTCTGCTCTCTGATTTTTTTCTAGTGGTACCGAATCCAAGTATTTGTCATAAAAACTGTTACACGCACCTGTAGTAGACGCGTCAGCTTGGAGTCTCTGTAGGGAACATGCTTTGTTTTACCATCGACTAAAGCTGATATGACATTTCCCAATGCTGATAGCGATAAATTGATCTTTGTTGCCTCCTTCAACCGTTCGCCAAATGCTCCAGTTTTACACTGTCTTTCGGATCCAGCCAAATCGACAAGATTCAATTTACCACGTCGTATTCCTCCAAGGACTGGTGTCGCTGGTGGATCGCCTGCTGGCGAAGATTCCTGAATTTGTTCCAGACTTATGGTGAATATTGTATGGGATCGTGAGCTCTTCTCGTTCATTAATGTGGCTGCCGTAATTCGATTTTTGTTGCCGATATTCAACCAATTATAACAATCAGTTGCATTCATAACAGCTTGACTGGTTAGCGTTGGAACCGTAACACCCACGCCTGGTACATCCTTTAGCGCATGATTCCTAATCCCAATTGATTCATTCGCACTCAACAGATCTCGTATATTCTCGTTATAAATTTCCAAATAGCTCACTAAAGCCAAATACCTAACGCTCGTTGCTATTGAGATTGTTTCAAATATATGGTCAAAGCATCTCTGTATGATGCCGTTGCTCTCAGCAGCTCCAGAATATCCTTCACCCTGATCAATTATAAAAGCAGAAAAGATCTCAAATAAGTGTTCTGTAGTAGGATTTACCCTCCCTTTCTTAGTAATGGGATGTGCTCTATTCGGGACTACCCTGCACTTTTCTATATAGAGATTGGGCATTGCAACCATTCTCATGGCGTTTCACAAGCATCATTGTGTTGAGATTGTGTTTCAATCCTTCCACTGGGGCTCTACATACAGTCGGGAGAGGGAGAGAGAAATATACTTATACAAAGATTTAACGATCCATGAAACTTGATATGCAAGCTTATATAGGAGTAATTACATTAAAAACATCCCAGACGATTTGAAGACATTCCATCATAAATATATGTATGTAAACTTACCTGCATTGTGTGTGTTTTACCACATCCAGTCTGACCATAGGCAAAGATGGTTCCATTGTAGCCCTCTAGAGTACTCTCTACCAACGAGTAGCACATATCATTGTAAATTGTGTCGTTATTTGAGAGACCTTCATAGACGCTGTCGAATCGAAATACTTTCTTTGGTGCACTGCGAACCAAGGGATTTATCACGGAGACAGTGTAGTCTCCAATCTCTAAAATTGTCTGCAGAAATACGTTTTTGTTATTTACGAATATACATACATATATACATATACATATATACACATCCATACAACATAATATGTTTATGTAAAGAGTATATTGGTTTGGGTAAAGGTTTCTGTTAGTTCGGTGTTTAGTACTTCAAACTTAGAACTCTTTCTTACTATCCCCTTAGAGCTATTAATCACTATTTGTTAATAATTTAGTTAATGCTGAGTAACATATACAACTTTCTATGAAAGGACCTTCTATAACAGAGCTTAAGTCTCACATTATCAAATGGTCCAGTTGTATTTCCAAATTCTTTATAGCTTGTAGATTGAGGATCTCACAGGTCGAATTTCAGCTGTGTTTGACTTTACGTTCACTTTGTCAGATGGACTGCATGACGAATATTGTTACTAGTCAATATACTTATTTCACAACTCTTTCCGGAAGTCCTTCTAACTTAGCTTAGTCATATTGACAATTTACCAACAAGGAATGCATAATGGATATATACACTGACGAGCAAAACTGTAATACATGTTCAGTGTTCTCACTATTATATTTTCTACTTTATGCATGATTATGATCATAGTCTTGTTTTGTTAGTGAAATATTTGGGTTTTTACTTATAAATTTGAAGACATTTGATTAGCGATAAGAGAAATACAATGGCAAAGAGTAAAAAAAGTCAAATGTTACAGTTTTGCACTCGCAGAGCAAAACCTATTTCCTTTTGTTTCAAGGCTTTGTTACCATTAAAGCTTATTTGTTTTCGTTTAAATCGCTAGGCCTTGATCATTTTAAGTCTATTTGCAAAATAATTATGATGGCTGATGAAAAGAAAAAGGAAATAATCGAATTAGTGATAGGGGCGATTGGTGTTAGCCACATGACTGTGCAGCGTTAAAAAAACAGTTCAGAAAACATTAAAATCAATAAAGGAGGCGACCGCGACTTTTAAGCGAACATGACACGCGCCACTTGGCTAACTTAGTTACAAGCAATCGCGGCTTTACGCCAATAAAAGCGGCTGTGTTAAATTTAAATGCCAGTGAGTGGACAGTCCGTCGTAGTCTCGGCAGATTGGGTTTAAGGCCAAGGAAGGAAAAAAAACCCTTTTCTAGCTAAAAGGCACATTAGTTTGCGTAGAAACTTTGCAATAATGCATGAAAATTGGGCTCTAGCTAATTGGGATGCCGTAAGTTACAAATAAAAGGCTTAAAAAATGCAAAAAAAATTATTTCAAGGTTATTTGGTCAGACGAAACTAAAATGAATCGTTTTGAGTCAGACGGACGATCGTGGTATTGGACTAGAAATCCCACAGTCCAATCGGCAAATACAGTGCGGAACGAAGGACGTTTGGTACTCGATTCCGCCTGAAATGGAATAAACATGAATAAACAGCCTCAAAAAATCAAAAGGGCTGTGGACCCGTTATTAAAAAATATTTAATAAAAATATTTGTTTAAAAATATTTCCAGTGCAAAACTGTAACATTTGACTTTGTTTACTCTTTGCTATTGTATTTCTCTTATCGCTAATCAAATGTCTTTAAATTTATAGATAAAAGAGCCAAATATTTCATTTACAAAACAAGACTATGATCATAATCATGCATAAAGTAGAAAAGATAATACAGACCGTTGAAGTGAGAACATTGAACATGTGTTACAGTTTTGCTAGTCAGTCTATATATGTATATAGATTATATATATATAGATAAATATACATATGTAGAATAGTAGTACTAATTGCTTGCAAACAAAAAATACAGCTTAGTGTACAGCTTTTGTGAAAGGTTAATAATATTAATAGTTTTTTTAAATTATTAATATGTGAATGAATGTAACATTTCCGAGGTTTTTAGTAACGTACTTCAGACTTGCTGCAAATTTCCTTTTGATTCATCGGCCGGCAGCGCACAATCACTTTTACGTTTTCGCCCATTCCCTTTTGTTGTTTTTCCCGTTTTAATTGTGCGACTCGACTTTTGTTTTGCCAGTGTGTAGTGACCGGTCGAAACTAACGGGCTATTGATTGCAATACTTTGAACTTGAACCAATAATTTGATACCCGTACACACACTGAGAAGAGAGCATATTCGTTAGTCCGTCGACCTCGTGTTTAACACTATTGCCTCATTCGATGGACCTTACCAATTCTCAAACACACACACATATATATATATATATATATAATGTATTTATATATTTATATGTATATAATTATATATATATCTAAATATTTCAAAATATTTTTTTTGCTGTTAATGAAATAGACGATATTCCATACCGATAATACCGATACCGATACCGATACCGATAAGAGTTATTTACTCAAACTTCTGCGGTGAACTAGTTAACAAAGAGCTTTAGCGCATGCTCCTTGGACTGCACACAAAGGTTTGAAGCCATGTAAAAGTTGGTTCCATGCAAAATAATTGTGACAGTTAGTGGGTGCACATATATAATCTTCGTTGTTTAAACCATATATATTATAAACCATATATATTATAATATATATATATATATATATATATATATATATATATATATATATATATATATATATATATATATATATATATATATATAAACACATTTTATTGATTTCGTTGACGAATTAAAGAATATTTAATTTATGTAATGCGAACGACTTCAAATTGTATATGAAGAGGCCATTTTGAGCAGGAACTTTTTGGCTTTTCTCACGTCCAAAATCGAAATCAGTGGGACAGAAAAAAATAATATGCAGCATGTATTATAGTATATGTTTATACAATTCTAACGACTGTTGTTCTGGTTGCAAACGATTGTGGACATTGAGACGTTGCTCCCCAATGACAAGGGAGCCAATGCGATTGAAGCCCTCTCTCGGACTATATGCCATTGTGCACTTGGCTTTGTTGTCCATGGTTTTGGTAGCAAATGCTTTGCCACCAGTAATACGCGTCGGTAAGTTTTTATAATAAGTTCATGTTTATTAGTTATTATTAGTATTAAGAAATTATTCTTAGTTTTTGATTGTTTTTTTCATGTTATGTTTTAATTTTTTTATTTTAATTTAAACGTGTATAAATGAAATATTTATATTTTGGTTTTTTACTGTAATTAAATAAATAATTGAAAATCATTTTCCACTTTCAAATATTTGCTTTATTTAATTTTTCGGTTCAATTTTACAATTAATTTTGTCTTAATAAATTATTATTTTAAATATTTAAAATTGAAATTATAATAATTTGTTTAAATTTATTGTATTTTCTATTTTTCATTTAATTGATTAATTTTATTTTAATTTGTTTTCTTTTATTTTACTTTGATTCTCTTAATATCATTTTTAGAAACTTTCGAAATTATCCATAACCAAATGGGTAAAAAGATGATTCTGTTTAGCCTCTGCTCTAGATCTAGATCTCCCAACCCCCTCCCTTGATGGCTACTTTGCCGGAGATCCCATAGCTACGACCGGTATCACTGCTGTTATCACCGTCACAGCAGCTCCAGACACTGTTCGTTACGGCGAAACAATCCGTAAGGTTGCCGATAGCATCGGCTTCCGCCTCACTTCTGTTATCAGTGGGTCCGTTTCTTCTTGCTCCCATATAGTAGGATTACATTTATCGCTCTTCGTTTATGCAGTCCGGAAAAGACCGCGTTGTTTTCCCTGTTATTTAAGTGGCATATTGAAACTGTCGTCAAAATGTGAGTGTACTGTCGTTCTCATATTTACGGCTGAAATTTGCTTGTTTAATCCTTTTAAATTTGTTTAATTTGATATTCAGAATAGTACAATGTTATTTATTCAGTTTTTAAATTATTTCTTTATTTATTATTTATACCCTAAGTCCATTGAAAATGGAAAATCAGGGTATAATGATTCTGTTCAAAGGTAACAGGCAGATAAAGGCAAACCCCATAAAGTATATATTCTTTATAAGGTTGATCTAGCCTAAAAATATCAATGGGAACATGGAAACTAATTGATCGATCAACTGACCTTTTGTCGTTTATTTGAGTGTTAAAACCTAATTACGATGAGTATTGCGGCGGTATTAAAGCTTTCTGTTAGCGTTAGAGTTAGAGGACCAAGCTAGAGGCCCAGTCGACAAATACTTTACGGTTAAACTTTTTTATGTTAAGGTACAATATTATATATTTGCATGTATGCGAAATGCCACTACTCCGGGTGTGTTTTGTGGATATACAGAAATAGATATAAGCTAGACTAGAATCTTCTGAGTATAATTTTAGTAATTCCATAAAATTCATAATTGTTGCATATTTGCAGGTGCAATTTTTACGGAAGATGAACGAGAAGGTAGCGTGGAATCGGCTTTTAAATATGCGATTTATCGCATAAATAAAGAAAAAATACTCCTGCCTAATACACAGCTGGTATACGATATTGAATATGTGCCGCGCGACGATTCTTTTCGAACTACGAAAAAGGTCTGCCGACAATTGGAAGCTGGCGTTCAGGCCATATTCGGCCCAACTGATCCACTGCTTGCGACCCATGTTCAATCTATTTGCGAAGCATTCGATATACCGCATATTGAAGTTCGCATCGATTTAGAAGTCAGCGTTAAGGAATTCTCGATCAACCTGTATCCTTCCCAAAATATCATGAATTTGGCCTATCGCGATCTTATGATGTATCTCAACTGGACAAAAGTAGCTATAATTTACGAAGAAGATTATGGTAAATACATAAATATATATATATATATATATATATATATATATATATATATATATATATATATATATATATATATATATATATATGTATATATATATATATATATATATATATATATTTCTATTTATATATAGTGAATACATTTGACTGTGGTGTCGTTCAGTGTAATGATCTTTATTCGTCTGAGCTAGAGTTCTTATACCCTGACTCAATCGTATCATCTTTTAAATCTAGCTTATAGAGTGCTGACTGTGTAAGGGTCAACGCTCGTATGTGTAATTTTAGAATTTAAGCTTATAGTTTAATCTATTATTATTGCACTCCCTTCAAGTGGTTGAGTGCGTCGACGGCATGATTAGAATTCTTGAATATGCTATGTTTTCATGCCTGAACATTCTGCGGGGGGCCAAATGTGACAGCTAGCAGTTGCTGCCTTTGGTTTCTTCTTTTTTAGCATCCCAATTTTTCGATGCTTCGCAGAGATCTATGGGACGTCCAGGCACATCCTTGTTGATTACCTTGTTGGTTGATAATCCAGCTATATTGCCGGAGACAATCCTTCCAAGTTTAGTGTTTTGTCCCAATGTTTTGTTGAATTTCTTCACTTTTCTCAACATTATTAGGGGAAGTAAATCAACGCCAATAACATCAATTTGACTGGGCTCGTTAATATGTGGGTCTCCTAGCTCGCAGCCATTTCAATCCTTATTGACATCCATGTCAATTGTCTTGGTCGGAAGAGCTCTCTGAAGTTTTGGCATAACAAGTGCCTGCGTTGTAGTGACGAATTTGTTTTTAAACCTGGGTTTGATTGTTAAGCAACACTATTTTTAAGAATTTCCACATTTTGCGAAATTCCTCGAACTTCCACTTTCCGTTTGGTTCGTATTTTCCAGACTTATTTTTAATTTGGATGAGCCAGTCGCCAGCTACGTATCTTTTCATTTAGACAGTTGCTGCTGACAGAAGATAAAGACAAAAGATAGAAAATATGAGATAGAAGATAGAAAGGATTAGAAGATAAAGTAGAGTAGATGAGAGTTGGAAGATAGAAGGCAGCAGAAGGAAGATGGAAGAATAATCTGATTAATTGAGGCTTTCAATAAAATCTGTTAATTAAATTTACATTGTTTTTTGTTAATATTGAAAACTTTTCCATTTTTTCAGGACTTTTCAAACAACAGGACCTTATTCATTCATCCGCAGAGATGAGAACCGAAATGTATATAAGGCAAGCAAATCCGGAGACTTATCGTCAAGTTTTACGAGCAATCCGTCAAAAGGAAATTTACAAAATAATAGTTGACACAAATCCAACTAATATAAAAAAATTTTTTCGATCAGTACGAAATTCATCTATCTATCATTTGCTTTTGTATATATATATATATAGTTAATATTAGTATTTATGTCTGTTCTTGTGTGTAGATGCTACTATGAATTATTAAGACAACTTGCCATAAATGGGTTTCCATTTATCATTCAAAGCTCAACCCTAGACAGCGTTATGAAAAATTTGTTTCATTGAAGACTACAAATCTGGTGTCCACAAACACGTCACGTCTTCATCTCCCCTATACAAAATTTGACAATTTTCCCAAGGACGTGAGGCATTAAATAGCACAGCGATAACGGAATAAATAATTGATTACTTGAAACAAACTGACTATAGCTCATTGTCATTATTCCTTATAAATCCCAAGAAGAACAGGTTCATGTAAATACTCCGTGGGGTCAGGTGTTCTGCCTTTTATATATATTTAAAAAAATGTTTAGAATATTGTTATATGTAACTCTAGATATCTATGCATGCGTATGTATTTGATTTAATTTCTATATAATTTGATTTACGATCTACCCTATTCGATATTAAATTACAGATTTTACAGCTGCAAATGAATGACCATCGATATCATTATATGTTTACCACCTTTGTAAGTACCTGAAACTCAATTTCACAGATGTTTTCGATCAAACGTATTGAATATTGTATCCCTGTCTATAGGACTTGGAGACATATGATCTCGAGGATTTCAGATACAACAGTGTTAACATAACCGCCTTTCGGTTAGTTGATGTCGGTAGTAAGCGTTATCAGGATGTAATTGATCAAATGCAAAAGCTCCAGCACAGCGGATTAGATATGATTAATGGGATGCCATACATTCAGGTAAACATTTAAGTTTGCTTTATTTTTACGTATAAAAATGTTTATTTAGTTATCATTTTTAAATATTATCGAAGAAAACGTATAACCACCAAAATAGTTACATTTATATAATATTCATGCCTTTATCAATTTTATAAATATATATATATATATATATATATATATATATATATATATATATATATACATATATTTATATATATATATATATATTTTTTTTAAATGATAAAGCAAATTAATTAAAAATTAATTTAATAATTTTAAAATAAATAAGAACAATTTATAAAAACAAATATATAGATTTCAAATCTAAAATGAACATCTGTAATTTTATAATTAATTGTATTAAATTCCAACTTTTCGAATCAAAATTTTAGTTCAATTTAAAAAAAATTAAGTAAGAAAGTTCTATTCGGGGTGCCCGACTAGCAGATACCCTGATCCCAATACTATCTTCGATTTATTATAATTTTCCATAGTTTGTATCGAGTATTAAGAAAAAAACAAATTCAACCCGATCTTCCAACATCAAGATTCAAAAACACAATGTCTACGCAACGCGCATCAGCTCTACCAACACCGCCATTTTATAATTAAAAAATAAAACTATAAAATATATTCAATCGCCACCAGGGATTAACCGCTTACGAGCGTCGCCTCTACCAACGCAGCCACTGCACCGCCTGCAAGAAGAGTTGCAAATTTCAAGTTGAGTAGCAGCTGATAATTCCAGCAGTATTCAATCGCAATTTCGATTCTTGGAATAGAATTGAATACACGCTTTTGAATGTATGTGTGCACACGCATAGGAAAAATGCGTGCGCTTGGCGCTGCTGACATGTGCGTTTGCAAATTGGCCAAACGTTTTGTTTAATAACTTCTGTTTTACCTAATTGATCTTAATAAAATTTTAAGCATATGATCTAATAGAATATGGCTTGGTTGAGATGCAAAAGGCTTCACAAAATGGCCCTATTTCCAACTAAACTTAAATTTTAAGAATTTGGGGAAATTTGGAGTCGGTATGCAAAATTGAATAAAATAAACATAAAACCAAATACAAAACTTGGAGGCTCCAGCTCTTAAGACGTCCAAGACATAATTTTTTAACTGCATTTCAATCATGTTTTTATTCTATAACAATTAAATGCGAATAGCTATCGAATATTTAAAACAAACTTGACCTGCGCTTGCTATACACGGACCTACAAAAATTTTCAAGTCTCTTGCTCTTATAGAACTGAGTTCACACATACGGACAGACAGACGGATCTGATCCAGAATGTATATACTTTATGGGATCTGCCACGCCTCCTTCTGCCTGTTACATACATTTGCACAAAACCATTAAGTCTTGATTACCCATTTTCAGTGGGGTCAAGGTATAAAGATCAGTATTCACTGCATAGTATATATATCTATATTTTCCGTTTTTTTATATGTAGTTAGTTTGGAAAGTTTTGCTCCAAAATAGGGGAATATATAGCGCTTTCTGATTGGCCAAAGGGAGCAAAATCCATAGGGAGATCAAAAATAGAATATATGAACATTTCTTTTTGGTTTTTGACCGTGATAGACTACTCGGCTGCAAGATACTTACTTGTGTAATCTATATTTTAGACAGAATCTGCCCTCATGTTTGATTCGGTTTATGCGTTTGCCTACGGACTCAAGCAATTGGATAGCAGTCACACATTAACATTCAAGAATCTTTCATGTAACTCGGACAGAGTTTGGAGTGACGGACTTTCACTGTATAATTATATAAATTCGGTAAGTGAATTATAATTGCAATGAAGCTTAACAATATTATTTTACACTTGCTTTTTTTCTTGCAAAAAAAATTATTTAACAACAATTTGATGTAGAAACAAGTAAGAAGTCGGGAGTGGACGACTAGGAGATAGCTTAAACTTTGCAGATCAATAATGGTTCGAGGTCGCGTCTTCATAATTAAATAGAATGTGTGATTCGATTAGAACCAGAAATATTTATTACATAAAACAACCATCTCCGTCTGGAGACAACTCCTCGATCACACGCACCACTACTTCTTTGTCAGTTGGTTAAATGTAAAATCTGAAGCTAAAATAGGAGCTGAGAATTCTTGATCGTTATTAAGCGTACGTTTTTTTCGCTTATGGCATATGTGTTTCGTGAATCCATAGTATATATATTTCTGATCATATTTCTGTCCGTCTGTCAGTCCGCATGAACGCAGCGATCTCATAAGCCACAAATGCTAGAGACTTTAAATTTGAAATGTAAGCTCATGTTTACCATAAGCAGTACAAGTTTTAATAATTTATCCCGTTTTCTAATTATCGATAAGCAATAATAATGTGGCTTCGTTTTTTAAGCGTAGCTTGAATACCGTAAATGTTGCAGACTTCAGTTTACTGTGTAGGTAAGCGTATACTGATAAGAATTTCTCCTCTTCTCTGGGTTCAGAGTATCTTCTAATCGAGTCGTCTCGACTAAAGCACTCTTACATCTTCTTATATTAACATTGTTTTTCCTGTTTATAGGCAGCAGTGGATGGATTGACTGGAAAAGTGAACTTTATTGAGGGAAGAAGAAACAAATTTAAAATTGATATACTCAAATTGAAACAGGAGATTATACAAAAGGTGGGCTTTTGGCAACCGGATGTAGGTGTTAATATTTCCGATCCAACTGCATTTTACGACTCCAATATTGCAAACATAACGCTGGTTGTCATGACGAGAGAGGTATGTCGAAATTATACATATAAATTAAAATCCTTATACATAGATATTATTTGTGACCTTTAAGGAACGTCCCTATGTCATGGTTAAGGAGGATGTAAATTTGACGGGAAATGCTAGATTTGAGGGCTTCTGCATTGATTTATTGAAGGCCATAGCACAACAAGTTGGCTTTCAATACAAAATCGAATTGGTGCCAGATAATATGTATGGAGTTTACATACCGGAAACGAACTCTTGGAATGGCATCGTGCAAGAGTTAATGGAAAGGGCAAGAATTTGTAATAATATATATAATATATATCTAAATAATATCGAACTTTTGCCATATTTTTAGCGTGCCGATTTGGCTGTCGCATCTATGACCATTAACTATGCTAGAGAAAGTGTTATTGACTTTACCAAGCCATTTATGAATCTTGGCATTGGCATTCTATTCAAGGTAATAATCGTTTGCTCTATTAATCAATTAATCAACGATTATACAAATTTTATTATATGTTGTGTATATATATATATAAGAAATCGTATAGTAATGTCACGCATGTACGCATGAGTTGTCAGTTTAGTTTCAGTTCTATGCTTTTATTATTATATTGTTATTATTATTACATTCGTTCATGAAGTGAAAGGAATAATATTTGTTTTAACCAATGTCTGTCTGTCACAAGTCACACGGCTGCTTACTTCGGAATGTATTTAAAGTCTCTGGATTACGAGATCGGATTGGCAGAAGGACATGCCTATTCAAATCAGTTTTTATAAGTATATATATTCTTGATCAGGACGACAAGCCAAGTCGATTGAGCCCTGTCCATCTGTCCGTATGTGTGAACGAGTATCTATAAGAGCTAGAGACTTGAAAATTTTTTGTAGGTCAAAAATATTCGATAATTATAAAAATAAAAAAATCATTGAAATGTAATTAATAAATTATATCTCGTTATATGTATATTTTCTGCAATTTGGATTTTTGTTGGATTTTGGATACCGGCTCGCAGATAGGACTGGGGTCAAACTTTGAACGAATATAATGCAGTCGGTTGCGCCCGACTGTAACTTTCTTGCTTGATTTTGGATAGTAGTCATATATCTATATGTAGACATATATTTTGAAATAGTTATATATATGTTAAGTATATATATATTGTAAATTTAGTTTTTCATTATATTGATTACAAATCCTTAGGTGCCGACCAGTCAACCAACAAGATTGTTTTCCTTTATGAACCCATTGGCAATCGAGATTTGGTTGTATGTGCTAGCTGCTTATATATTAGTATCATTCGCGCTATTTGTGATGGCTCGGTTTTCACCATATGAATGGAAAAATCCGCATCCCTGCTATAGGGAAACTGATATCGTTGAGAATCAGTTTTCGATATCAAACAGTTTTTGGTTTATAACAGGAACGTTCTTAAGACAAGGATCTGGATTGAATCCAAAGGTAAGTTTAAATATTAAGTATCCCTGTATATATGGATTGGATATTGTGTTCCTTTTGCTCCGGCTGACTTATTTTATAATAATCGTATAAATATGCATATATATATATATATATATATATATATATATATATATATATATATATATATATATATATGTATATAATATAATATATATATAAGATGTATTATTCATTTACAGATATCAGATCGTGCACAAACGAAGTTTTTCTCTTTTATGAATCCGCTTGCTATCGAAATCTGGTTTTATATAGCATTTGGCTACATTTTAGTATCCTTGTGTATCTGGATAGTAGCACGATTATCACCTATGGAATGGGTACGATCAAAGCCAGCCTGTTCCATGGCCTGCGATCATATGTTGCGCAAAATTCGTAAAGCAAATTATGCTTACGATCATTTGGAGCTGAAATCGATTACAAATCGTTCTGATGATGGACATCATAATGATGATAATAATGATTCTAATGATGTTAAAGAGGACATTGAAATCCATCTTGATGATAACTCAGACTCAGATGATACTTTGGAATTAGTCACCGTACAAAATAATTTTACACTGAAAAATAGCTTTTGGTTTGCAATTGGCGCTCTTATGCAGCAAGGGGCCGATCTCTATCCCAGGGTATGAATATCACTATCTTCCCTAGTGCCTAGTCCCTATCCCCCTAGTTTTCGGCTTATCCATATCAATTTACATTGTTAAGCACTAGGCACGATCGTTAGTGATATGGTTATAAATCAAATTTTTATCTATGTATTCGGAATCTAGAAACTATTCTTTTAAATCTCTTATCACAATTAAAGATGGGTAGAGTCAGGATACATTGAACCTAGGACCTTAAACCTTCAACATATGGTTCATAAGGTCATGTAGCATCAGTTAAAAGTAATCAAAGTAAACACAGAATTAAAAAAATAAATAGAAAACTGAGATTGGTAACGTCTACATTTTCATTTTATAAAAATATGCGACTTCAGATTCAGGTTTGGAATCTTCAGGAACAAATTCTTCGTATAACAATTTATTTATTTCTTTTTATATATTTGGAATCAGTTCACATATCACTTCACATCTTACAGAGTATTCTGTAATATAAATAAGTAGGGTTCGGAAACTACATACAACAAATATTTCACTCTTGTGGCAACAAATTTTGTTGCTCAAGCTGAATAGATATATAAATGATATTTTATATATATATATATTTTTATATATTAAATAAAGCGAGGGAAGCTTGGATGACACAAAATTTGAATTAGTAAACCAGGTTTACATGCATCAATATATTTTATGTCTTGAATTCCTCTTATTTTTCAGGCAACATCAACCCGCATTGTTGGTGGTTGCTGGTTTTTCTTTTGCTTGATAATAATCTCATCATACACAGCAAATTTGGCTGCATTTCTAACAGTTGAACGCATGATAACTCCGATTGAAAGTGCCGCGGATTTGGCCGATCAAACGGAAATTCAGTACGGCACTTTGGAAGGCGGATCAACTATGACATTTTTTAGGGTAATATAAAGTTTTTCCTTTGTTCGTAGAACTATAATATTGTATATTCTGTTCAGTCTTCATTGTCTATATTTTACAATATATTAATTTTGATTTTGAAATTCAATATCATGTAATTTAGATTTTTCTTTTATATTTTAAATACAAATTTTGGAAGCCAATTTTAAAAAGTTCTTGAAATTCAGTTGAAAGTTTACCAGCAAATATTTGAAGGAAATTGAATATGTAGATTTATCATTACTTTCTGTTTACCCATCAGGACTCAAAAATAGGGATATATCAGAAAATGTGGCGCTATATGGAAAACCGAAAGACATCTGTTTTTGTGAAAACGTACGAGGATGGCATCAAGCGGGTGATGGAAGGCAATTATGCTTTTCTAATGGAGTCAACAATGTTGGACTATGCAGTTCAGCGAGATTGTAACTTAACGCAAATAGGGGGACTGCTGGATTCGAAGGGCTATGGTATTGCAACACCAAAAGGATCACCATGGCGGGATAAAATTTCATTAGCTATATTGGAATTGCAAGAGAAAGGCATTATACAGATACTCTATGACAAATGGTGGAAAAATACAGGCGATGTCTGCAACAGAGATGACAAAAGCAAAGAATCGAAAGCCAATGCATTGGGTGTTGAAAACATTGGTGCGTATATCTCGTATAGCTCGAACATTATGATTTGCTTCGCTTAGTTAATATAGTTGTTCAGATATTAATTTTCTATATTATATATAAATGTATTCTCTATATATTTTATTAAATATAAAGAGAGACTTGAAATTTGAAATGTTTCTCATTGTATACCATACGCAATACAAACCTATCAGTCTGTTCGATTACTCATGCCATTTGCTTGGTATTTGGTAGCCACCAAAATTAGAGACTTAAATTTTCCATGTGGGTTGCAGTGATTGAATATGAATAAGAAACGTATTCCAATAAATAATAATAAAATTTATTTAACCTACAAGAGCAGCCCAATCGCAAGTGCTGCATAAATGGTGAAAAATGATTCAAATCTGATTCATTTCTGCGTAGTGATATTTTGAAAGGGTAACTCCTAATCAGGCACTCTATAGATTAGAGCTATCCTACTTGTCGTTTATCCATTTATTATTTGTATATATTTTTGTTGACATTTCACATATCTTTTTTCGCTTTATAGGAGGTGTGTTCGTTGTTTTACTTTGTGGCTTGGCGCTTGCTGTGGTTGTGGCGATATTTGAGTTCTGTTGGAATTCAAAGAAAAACTTACATACAGACAATCAATCATTGTGCTCCGAAATGGCCGAAGAGCTACGATTCGCCATGCACTGCCAGGGATCAAAGTCGAAGCAACGACCAGCGCTCAAACGTGATTGCCTAAAATGCGCTCCAGGGTCCACTTATGTGCCGACTAATGTAACAATGCCAAACTTGGGCGTTCATTATAACTATTTTAATTAAATCAAATTTTCAAAACAAAATTTAAAAGAGAAAAAACGAAAAATAAACTACAAAGATTGATTAAGGCTTTTAAAATTAAGTAAGTTTTGTGTACTTACAAACATAAGTGTTTTGTATTAATACTTTAAAAAATAAAATAAAATTTGTTGCCAAGCAAATAAGCCTCTAGCATATACTTATTATATTATTTAGTTATTTGATTGCCGTACTTTGAGCGGATCCGGAGTATTTGGATGTGTGTCTTTTATATAGTTTCAACTGAACCACAAACACACAGGACAACAACTTAGTGACAATCTGTTTACACTGTTCCGAAGCGACTTCCTGTGCTGCTATTATATGTTGTGTATATATATATATAAGAAATCGTATAGTAATGTCACGCATGTACGCATGAGTTGTCAGTTTAGTTTCAGTTCTATGCTTTTATTATTATATTGTTATTATTATTACATTCGTTCATGAAGTGAAAGGAATAATATTTGTTTTAACCAATGTCTGTCTGTCACAAGTCACACGGCTGCTTACTTCGGAATGTATTTAAAGTCTCTGGATTACGAGATCGGATTGGCAGAAGGACATGCCTATTCAAATCAGTTTTTATAAGTATATATATTCTTGATCAGGACGACAAGCCAAGTCGATTGAGCCCTGTCCATCTGTCCGTATGTGTGAACGAGTATCTATAAGAGCTAGAGACTTGAAAATTTTTTGTAGGTCAAAAATATTCGATAATTATAAAAATAAAAAAATCATTGAAATGTAATTAATAAATTATATCTCGTTATATGTATATTTTCTGCAATTTGGATTTTTGTTGGATTTTGGATACCGGCTCGCAGATAGGACTGGGGTCAAACTTTGAACGAATATAATGCAGTCGGTTGCGCCCGACTGTAACTTTCTTGCTTGATTTTGGATAGTAGTCATATATCTATATGTAGACATATATTTTGAAATAGTTATATATATGTTAAGTATATATATATTGTAAATTTAGTTTTTCATTATATTGATTACAAATCCTTAGGTGCCGACCAGTCAACCAACAAGATTGTTTTCCTTTATGAACCCATTGGCAATCGAGATTTGGTTGTATGTGCTAGCTGCTTATATATTAGTATCATTCGCGCTATTTGTGATGGCTCGGTTTTCACCATATGAATGGAAAAATCCGCATCCCTGCTATAGGGAAACTGATATCGTTGAGAATCAGTTTTCGATATCAAACAGTTTTTGGTTTATAACAGGAACGTTCTTAAGACAAGGATCTGGATTGAATCCAAAGGTAAGTTTAAATATTAAGTATCCCTGTATATATGGATTGGATATTGTGTTCCTTTTGCTCCGGCTGACTTATTTTATAATAATCGTATAAATATGCATATATATATATATATATATATATATATATATATATATATATATATATATATATATATGTATATAATATAATATATATATAAGATGTATTATTCATTTACAGATATCAGATCGTGCACAAACGAAGTTTTTCTCTTTTATGAATCCGCTTGCTATCGAAATCTGGTTTTATATAGCATTTGGCTACATTTTAGTATCCTTGTGTATCTGGATAGTAGCACGATTATCACCTATGGAATGGGTACGATCAAAGCCAGCCTGTTCCATGGCCTGCGATCATATGTTGCGCAAAATTCGTAAAGCAAATTATGCTTACGATCATTTGGAGCTGAAATCGATTACAAATCGTTCTGATGATGGACATCATAATGATGATAATAATGATTCTAATGATGTTAAAGAGGACATTGAAATCCATCTTGATGATAACTCAGACTCAGATGATACTTTGGAATTAGTCACCGTACAAAATAATTTTACACTGAAAAATAGCTTTTGGTTTGCAATTGGCGCTCTTATGCAGCAAGGGGCCGATCTCTATCCCAGGGTATGAATATCACTATCTTCCCTAGTGCCTAGTCCCTATCCCCCTAGTTTTCGGCTTATCCATATCAATTTACATTGTTAAGCACTAGGCACGATCGTTAGTGATATGGTTATAAATCAAATTTTTATCTATGTATTCGGAATCTAGAAACTATTCTTTTAAATCTCTTATCACAATTAAAGATGGGTAGAGTCAGGATACATTGAACCTAGGACCTTAAACCTTCAACATATGGTTCATAAGGTCATGTAGCATCAGTTAAAAGTAATCAAAGTAAACACAGAATTAAAAAAATAAATAGAAAACTGAGATTGGTAACGTCTACATTTTCATTTTATAAAAATATGCGACTTCAGATTCAGGTTTGGAATCTTCAGGAACAAATTCTTCGTATAACAATTTATTTATTTCTTTTTATATATTTGGAATCAGTTCACATATCACTTCACATCTTACAGAGTATTCTGTAATATAAATAAGTAGGGTTCGGAAACTACATACAACAAATATTTCACTCTTGTGGCAACAAATTTTGTTGCTCAAGCTGAATAGATATATAAATGATATTTTATATATATATATATTTTTATATATTAAATAAAGCGAGGGAAGCTTGGATGACACAAAATTTGAATTAGTAAACCAGGTTTACATGCATCAATATATTTTATGTCTTGAATTCCTCTTATTTTTCAGGCAACATCAACCCGCATTGTTGGTGGTTGCTGGTTTTTCTTTTGCTTGATAATAATCTCATCATACACAGCAAATTTGGCTGCATTTCTAACAGTTGAACGCATGATAACTCCGATTGAAAGTGCCGCGGATTTGGCCGATCAAACGGAAATTCAGTACGGCACTTTGGAAGGCGGATCAACTATGACATTTTTTAGGGTAATATAAAGTTTTTCCTTTGTTCGTAGAACTATAATATTGTATATTCTGTTCAGTCTTCATTGTCTATATTTTACAATATATTAATTTTGATTTTGAAATTCAATATCATGTAATTTAGATTTTTCTTTTATATTTTAAATACAAATTTTGGAAGCCAATTTTAAAAAGTTCTTGAAATTCAGTTGAAAGTTTACCAGCAAATATTTGAAGGAAATTGAATATGTAGATTTATCATTACTTTCTGTTTACCCATCAGGACTCAAAAATAGGGATATATCAGAAAATGTGGCGCTATATGGAAAACCGAAAGACATCTGTTTTTGTGAAAACGTACGAGGATGGCATCAAGCGGGTGATGGAAGGCAATTATGCTTTTCTAATGGAGTCAACAATGTTGGACTATGCAGTTCAGCGAGATTGTAACTTAACGCAAATAGGGGGACTGCTGGATTCGAAGGGCTATGGTATTGCAACACCAAAAGGATCACCATGGCGGGATAAAATTTCATTAGCTATATTGGAATTGCAAGAGAAAGGCATTATACAGATACTCTATGACAAATGGTGGAAAAATACAGGCGATGTCTGCAACAGAGATGACAAAAGCAAAGAATCGAAAGCCAATGCATTGGGTGTTGAAAACATTGGTGCGTATATCTCGTATAGCTCGAACATTATGATTTGCTTCGCTTAGTTAATATAGTTGTTCAGATATTAATTTTCTATATTATATATAAATGTATTCTCTATATATTTTATTAAATATAAAGAGAGACTTGAAATTTGAAATGTTTCTCATTGTATACCATACGCAATACAAACCTATCAGTCTGTTCGATTACTCATGCCATTTGCTTGGTATTTGGTAGCCACCAAAATTAGAGACTTAAATTTTCCATGTGGGTTGCAGTGATTGAATATGAATAAGAAACGTATTCCAATAAATAATAATAAAATTTATTTAACCTACAAGAGCAGCCCAATCGCAAGTGCTGCATAAATGGTGAAAAATGATTCAAATCTGATTCATTTCTGCGTAGTGATATTTTGAAAGGGTAACTCCTAATCAGGCACTCTATAGATTAGAGCTATCCTACTTGTCGTTTATCCATTTATTATTTGTATATATTTTTGTTGACATTTCACATATCTTTTTTCGCTTTATAGGAGGTGTGTTCGTTGTTTTACTTTGTGGCTTGGCGCTTGCTGTGGTTGTGGCGATATTTGAGTTCTGTTGGAATTCAAAGAAAAACTTACATACAGACAATCAATCATTGTGCTCCGAAATGGCCGAAGAGCTACGATTCGCCATGCACTGCCAGGGATCAAAGTCGAAGCAACGACCAGCGCTCAAACGTGATTGCCTAAAATGCGCTCCAGGGTCCACTTATGTGCCGACTAATGTAACAATGCCAAACTTGGGCGTTCATTATAACTATTTTAATTAAATCAAATTTTCAAAACAAAATTTAAAAGAGAAAAAACGAAAAATAAACTACAAAGATTGATTAAGGCTTTTAAAATTAAGTAAGTTTTGTGTACTTACAAACATAAGTGTTTTGTATTAATACTTTAAAAAATAAAATAAAATTTGTTGCCAAGCAAATAAGCCTCTAGCATATACTTATTATATTATTTAGTTATTTGATTGCCGTACTTTGAGCGGATCCGGAGTATTTGGATGTGTGTCTTTTATATAGTTTCAACTGAACCACAAACACACAGGACAACAACTTAGTGACAATCTGTTTACACTGTTCCGAAGCGACTTCCTGTGCTGAATCCCTGTTTGAAATCTAAAATGCCTTATCTCAACAGATTCGGCATATATGTATTTCTATTTCTAAAGGTTTTAAAAATATTTTTGCACTTTTAATTTATCTTGAAAACAGGTTTCCGATTCCCATTTAACACGTCGAGCTGTTTTTATTAAAATTAAATAAAATTTAAACGGAAAAAAATATATTGCCGTGTATTTTTTTGCTGTTAAAATTATGAAACATCCGTATTTACGTACATTTGTACATATGCGATATTTTTATTCTTGTTAAGTGCGTGTACATTTAATTAATTGTGCTAAGCAGACTTAACTTTTTACGATACTAAAATTAAAAACAATATTACCGTTTATTCTTTTTATGAGACTTACTAATTTTACGACGCTTTAAGATCATGTCATACAAAGCATCTAATCCTTCTTGCAGCCCCTCACCAGTTATAGCACACGTGGGCTGTATATACCAGCCTTTTACATTTAAATTATTGTGTTTAACTGAGAATTGCTGTTGCGGATTGCTCAATGCCGTAGGTAAGGTGGAGTCTTTAGATTTAGATTCCACATGGGCCGAGGTGCTCTTAGAATCCAGATGGAAATGATCTGTGATGCTTACATGACTACTATCACTGCCCTTATTCACATCAGTTAGTGAAGCTGTGCCATGATCCATATAACTTTGGTTTGATGTGGCAAAACCTGCAATGTTGCCAGTTGAAGTCGAGGTGGAAGTACTTGATAGATTCGATATTGGATAGTGCAGTTCATGCAACCCTAAAAGTTTCTCAAGTTGCTTGGGACAACATGCGCTTGGCAAATCTTGTTTGTTCGCCAAAATCAGCACAGGCACACCCTGAATTTAATCAAATATCAGCATTATTATATATTAAATATCTGCTCTGCTTTTATGCTTCGAAATATATACAGACCTGGTTATCAGGACATTTGGCTGTACGCATTAACTCCATTTTTGCTTCTTCCATACGTTCCGTATCGACAGAATCCACTACGAATAGAATACCGTCAGTGCAGCTAGAAAAGTATTAATATTTATTGCTTTTCATAATATATAGTAAATAAAATAAGAAGTTATTTTCTTTTGCGCCTATAAGAAAGGAAAGCTCTGTTTTATCAACCGAGTATATAAAAGTGAGTGTATACATGTTGATAGTATACATCTGTTTTACCTACCGAGTATAGCTTCGCCAGAGCGGCCGAAGTTTCTCTTGTCCGCCCACATCCCAAACGAGAAAGTGAACTCCCTTCGCTTTGCCTAAGGTACCCTGCACCTGCAACAGTACAAATCAATTAATTTCTTTCTTATTCAATTTCTTAAAATTGTAATGTGTACTTTTTCACAATTAAATCCAATAGTGGGTACTGTGTTTAAATACTGATCAAACTTAAGTCTATATAACGCTGTTGTTTTTCCAGCAGAATCCAATCCCAGCATAACAACGTGTAGTGTTCCCTGCAATTACACATATAGCTTAATCATTTATTAATATTTGAACGACAATGTGCGGGTACCTGTGTAGGCAAGGCATCCAATAAATTTCCATTTTTTACCATCGTTGCCCCCATTTTTTTTTCTTCTGTTTTTCTTACATTCTTGTTACCACTGTTTTGCTTAGGGATGCTGATTATTGTATCGATATATCGTATCGTAACAATTTAATTTTTTTACACTTTGAAGTACACCCACATCACAAGCAATTTTTTGCAGTAATCGATAAATCGATATTAGAAATTTGCAAGAGCAAATTTTCATTGATCATGAGAAATATGTTTTGATAATTCCATGTTGCTAATCGAAAAAGCTAAATCGAAATTGATCACCATCTAATATTTAAAGGATGTTTTTTATATTTATTTATACTATTGATTCTAATTAATTTTGTTAATCAATATTTATTTTGCAAATATTCAAATCGATCGTTATTTCCAACAACGAAATTGATGAAGATGAAGGCCCGGCTAATCGATTGAAAATCCTCAGCCACAGCTGTCATCGATTGATATATGTGACTGTTAGCCTACGACCATTTAGAGCTAGTTAGCAGCTGTTAAAGCTAAGTAAACACTGAGTACATGTAACGGATATTATTTAAAGTAGTTTCAAATAGATTCTGGTAATAAGTATTTTTAAAATATTATAATATTTTATATGGTATATGAAGTGAAGTGTATAAATAAGCTGTATTCTAGTATTCATATTGGGGCAACGAATCTTCCACATTTGATTAGTAGCTAAGTAATTATTTTTTACCGCAATCAACGAAAATATAAACTACATTATCTAAATGAAAAGTCAAGCTCCTCAAGCAATGTAGACAGATCTTATATGTTCTTTCTCTTGCCATTCAGACAGACTATGCTAGACTAAACAATTCTTCAAATATTTGATTTTATTTATATTCCAATAAACTAAACATTCGGGCCGTAGTGGGCACAACTGTTTGAAATAGGAGCATTTATGTATGTTCATATGCATGTGTGGGTAAGCATGTAAATCAAAATATATATGTATATGCATATATATATATATATATACACATACACAAGTGTATCTGCCAAATACATATATATGTACATGTATTTAATTGTGTGTACGTGTATTTTTATAATGATCTTTATTTAAATAAACATATGCAAACATACATACATTCATGCATGAATACGTATATAACGTATATAAACTATACATTGTTCAGTGCGGGAACGTGGCAATATAGAAAGTAAATAGAATGTGGACACTGTGTGGACATTGTGGACAGCGTGTGGACGCTATATTTAATGTGCACTCATATTCTTTAAACCGAACGGCACACTCAGGCACAACCACATGCCTACACATGAGTGTGTGTAGATGAATGTAGATTTTATTCATTCGAGGTTATTATTTTAGTCCGGACGGCATTTTAATTTTATTGTTATCTTATACAAGTGTAGACCGATAATTTAATTTTCGATTGTGCAGCGCGCTGTTCTTTTTTGTAATTTTCATTCAAAAGAATTGAAATTAGTAAGTGAAATAAAACAGATTTGCTTTTTGGATAATCAAATAAATTTGCTGTTTACAAATTGTGCATAAAATATGTATATAAAATATACATAAAAATAATCAATGGGTTATATAAGAGGACAATAGAATTTCTCATATTATGTATGTGTATAGATGATCTAATAATGTATATATGTATATTTATACATAAAACAAATCGGAAGCATACAAAATGAATGATGTTAACAGGTGCTAGGTACTAGGTACTAGGATGACTTCACAAATATTTATATATATCTATAGAAATATATATATGTATATTATTTCATATATATATATATATATATATATATATATATATATATATATATATATATATATATATATATGAAATAATATACATATATATATTTCTATATGTATATGTATATATATATATATATATATATATATATAAATATATATATATATATATATATATCTGTAGAAATTTAATTTAATTCTTTACTTAACAAGATAATTAATAAATATAATATATAAAATTAATTATTTATTGTTTTAATTTATTTACTGATTTTTAGTTTGTAAAAATATTTTAAAAAATTGTTAATGAAAATGCGTAAAAAGTGTAAATTGATGACCATCTGAGTCTATCTAACCGTCCGTCCTCTCGTTTGCCTGACTGTCGTCGTAATTCGTGAACCATGATACTTGAAATTTAAGACATATATTCAAATTCTTCGATAACTCGTTCCACTCAACTGTTATCGATAAAAGTAGTTCTACTTGGGTTTTGAGGTATGAAAGCTTGGCAACGTCAACTTTGCAATTTAGTTGACTGCAATAAATACATAAAATAAATACGTACTTTCCTTCTTGGAAGTTATTATTGTGTGTTTACTTGATACTCTTTATACTTGTTAATACCCACTTTGATTATTATTATTATTTTTATTGTTTTCCAAAGATCAACTTAATTGGATTTAACTGAAAATGGATTCCGAAGTAGTGGTAAGCACAAGAAAACAAAATTGTATAGAAATATAATACTATATGATTTATAATGCATGTACTTATAATTATATATATATATATATAGATATATATATATATATATATATATATATATATATATATATATATATATATATATATATATATATATATATATATATAATTAAATTAAAATAATAATGTAAATGATAAATAATAATAAAGATGATTGCCAAATGCATCAGCAACCCATTATGATAAAGCATTTTTGAATGCAGCACCGACTGACTAGGTCGTGTTCATAAATGATAACACTTTATCTATAGTCCTTAGCATCAATAGCTACGAAATGCTTTGCTTTCATTCGGACAGCGAACCAATATACTCGCTTAACGTGCAGCATCTTTCCCAGCTGTGCTGTCTATCAGCCTTCTGTCTTCTACGGAGTCAACTTCATCAAAGACTATGCGCAACCATTCACAGACGATGATAATAATGATAAGCTGTCTATGCTTGCTTTCTATGCAAATTGCTTGCTTTTTAAAATGATACTAATATATATATATATGTATATATATATAATTTTATTATTGTTTTCTGTTATTTTAAAAATGAAGACAAATGTAAATGAAACCAAAAGTACGCAACAACAAGTGGTTAAAGAAGAGCCTGAAACTGAACCGGAAGTTGTTAAAGAAAATGTGATTGATCGTCCTGTGACCAGTGACGAAGTAGGTGAAACAGTAGTGGACAAGGCAGCAGACAGTGCCGTTGAAAATGGCGTGACAACAACAACGACAACAACAGTCGTTGTAATCAAAAAGGAAAATGCCAAAGAAGAAGAAGAAGCAGATCTTAAAAGGGAAACCGAAACAACAACAAAAACAATTGTTGTAAACAAAAACGAGATCGAATCGAATGATACTCCTGATAATAAAAATGAATCATCAACAACTACAACCACTACAATTGTTGTTACCAAAAAGGAGCCGGAAGTTGCTGATATATCTGATAAGGAAAGCAAAACGTCAACAATGACAACAACAACAATTGTTGTTGCTTCACCCAAAAAAGAAGAAAATATGGAAACAGAAGAAGAAGACAATAAGGACTCCAGTCCAAGTGCAGATGGTCCAAGCACAGCGAAAGAAACATCGAATAAAACTGTTGTTTTAAACGACAAAGAAGAAGAGGAAATAGTAGTAGAAGGCGAAGGAGAAGAAGAGAGTGACGATAATGATGTAGATGATTATGACGAAGACATGGAGACAGTGACCAAGACAGAAGAAGTATTAACGATTTTATTTAAATTCTTAACCCTGCTCAACAAATTTTGAAATGATTTTGAAACAATTTTATATTTTTGTAGATTTTGAATGCATATCCGAATTTTTTGAAGTATATATATTTGCAGAGTATTCAATTGTCGCATTCATTTCAATTGTTTTAAGTTAATTTTTATTTCACACAATAGGAAAAAAACATTTTTGGTAAATAATATAATTTAATATAATTCGACAAAATCGGTATTTGTACAGTGCAATATTTGCACAAATACTAAAACCTTGCTTTTGTGTATAGAAATTATGTGTGATTACAAGATGGTCAGTGAGCAAATATTTACTAAAAGTATATAAAAATTCATTCATATCTTATTTATTATAAACTGTTTTCAATAGATTGAAGATGGGCAAGGTCAATGCAATATTCCGGAAAAATCGGAAGAGGCTGCTAAACCGAAAATAGATCAAGATGACAATGCCGTTAAAACAAATGTATGTATACCTATATATAAAGAGATATAATTTTGATAAGTACATAAAAATTAAAATAAGAAACAAGATACAATTTCCTAAAAATAAAAATATCAAATTTTAAAATCCGAACTAAAATATAAGAAATATATTTTTGTGCTATAAAATATAAATAAATTTAAAAATATTTTAAGTAATTAAAATATATAATATAATATTTCTATATTATAATATAAAAACCTATATTACAAAAGACAGTTACACAATTAAAAATATAAAGAAAAGATACTTATTATAAATACTAAAATTAATTCTTGTATTTTATAGTAAGAACATATTTTTTCATAAACAAAATAGATAATTAATAAATATATATATATATATATAAATAATAATAAAATATTTTAATACATATAAATACGAACATATTTACGTTCATAATAATAACATAAAACAAACTAATAATACATAATAAAATAACAATATTGTTATTTAGTATATTTAACAAAAATAATAATGATATATTATTATAATAATAAATATTTTATTAAGAATTTTTGTGTATTCATATTATTATACATTTTTCTATTTGTTTAAAAATATTTTTTCTCTAATCATCACATTTTTTTATTTATGCTTTCTTAATTAATGTTTTCAGAAGGATATTAATAATCAAATTGAACATATTATATCTGATATTGATATCAATATTAAAGCTCAAGAGAAAATAACTCAACTTAAGGAACAAGAATTGCTGCTAATACAAAAACAAAAGGAATTGGCTAATCAGATTCAGCAGCAACAATTGTTAGCTCAAAAGCTAATTGCGGAAAATCAATTGAAGGAACAGGACCTGCAACGCCAACAATACTTGCAGCAACAACAGTTGCAACAGCAGCAACAACAACAAAGTCAACATCAATATAATGAGGATTGCGCACTAAAAAGCAAACCAGATCATTATAATACCACGACGGTTCAACGGCAAGAGGTGCAGGTAGGTGCCACTATGACAATATAAATCAGTTAGAGCATTGCAGTCAGGAGTTACCGACTACGATATAATCGTTCACGGTCTAAAAATATTCAATGGCATGATCCAAAAACACAACATAGTTAGATCTATCTGGGAAGAGTGTAAAAATAAGTTCCTGTGTTTAAAAGATTACGTTGTTAATGTTTTCTTTCTAAATGTCAAGCAAAGGCGGAACTAGAAAGCATTGGTATTTATATTTAGTATATATATATATATATATATATATATACAAATATACAAAATGTAAATCTTTTTGACTTAACAGCGCTTTTAATCGATATAGGAATTCTCCCAGTCGAAGTATTGAAAAGTCTACATACATTGCATATCAAAATACGTATATTGGCACTTGATGAACAAGTTTATGACAATCATTCAAAAATTCATATTAATAGTAATTATTTTTTATTAATAATAACAATATTGTGATTGCTGCTACTAAAACAGGCGATAATAGTACAAGTAGGGCTTTAATAATAACTGATCAAGTATTTCCATTCGAAATATGCTACTTCGATATACCCTGTCCATAATCCGCATAGCAAATGGATATCACAGATTGTTCTCTTCTGGCCAGTTGCCCACTTGTCTCGCAAATTAAAAGAGCACGAAACACTCGAATCGTATACTGAACTAAATTATGTGTAGCATTTTATGTAGACGAGATTATTTTGTGCTTTGTTTATATATATATATATATATATATATATATATATATATATACATATTTATAAATACAGTATATGTACATGTATTTATATTTAAGTATATATGTATGTATGTATCGGAGATGTATTCTCGCAGTATTCAATCGCTATAATTAGCATTTAAGAGAGCTATTCACATGTATATATGTACAACTATGTGGTACATACAAAAACATATATGTATATATATATATATATATGTACTTGTCTGTGAGTGTAAATGGAATGATTCGTTTAGGAAAAAGAAATTTTATTTGTATCAAAGGCGCATAACAAGTTGAAATTGTTTCCTTTTTTTGTTGTTTTGTTGTGGAAAAGCAATGCAAAAAGATTTTTCAAAATGCAAAATATCAAGGGCCTAGGCCAAATATATAGATCAACCGATTTGGATAGATCGAAAAATTGTATAATCGAAAGGAAGCGTGGCTTTCGACCCAGCGATCGCTACGATGAAAGCAAGAAACAAATTTTGCTTGAACTAAGCCGAAAACTGTGGAAAAAGAAAAATGTACGTAGATCTATGTGGAAAGATAGAAGAGAGGGTACCACACTTTATATACTTGTTAGATAGATTCAGTGAAGATACATCTACATCAAATGTGTGAAATTGTTAATTTGGGAATAGAGAAAAATATGTATGTGTATGTGTTATCAAAATATAGGAATCGAACCACATATCGAGGACAGTTGATTTGCGAAAAATATTTACTCCAGCGACAGATGCACCTCAAATATTGCCCAAGAACCGTAAGTAATGCAACAAAATTTGTCAAAAAATTCAAAAAGGTGATACGTAAAATTGAGTACATATATATATATCCTAAGAGTATATATTTTCGATTGCCCAATTGAAAAGCCTATCACATTCCTATGCTATGCTCATTGCTGCAACAAATCAATACAATTTACTAACCAAGAATCCAGAATTATACTTCTCCGAACGAGCTTCAACAGCAAAGACTTTGACATAGATAACTCTTTTTCTTTTTTCAAAGATCGAAATATACCCGGTATATATATGGAATCATTTTCTTGGCAAGCTATCCCATATCGTCTCTCCCTCTATTTCTCTCCGTGTTCTTTTCACCTTTTGTTAATTATACCCCAATTTTGTCAAAGCTCTCTTACGTGTATCCGTGACGTCAGAGGGCTTTTCTGTTAGCTCTGTTATTAAATCCAGATTCGAGTTCGGTTTAATTCTTGGTTACTAAATTTCAAAAAATTTCATTCGCCTGTTATTATTAATAATATTTCAGTTATTATTATATTTATTTATCTGCAATTAATTAAAGCTCGCTTTATTCATTAGATATAGATTAGGAATTATTATAAATAGTGTGGATTACGTATCGCCTTTTAAAATAAACACCCTATGTATATGTTTGTATGTTGCGCCAATCTATTTGAATTTGACTTCAATTTGTTCAAAATAGGAAAGCTATATGCCTCATCAGCATTTTATTCACCAACACTGCATCCCACTGTGGAGGACCAAGTTGAGCTTGCTCGCCGAATCTCTCATTCGTTGAGCGACATAAGCAATCAAACTTCTAAGGGTCAAACAATGTATGTGAATCGAAAGAAACGCTCAGTTAAATGGGTTCACGAAGGTTGTGGTCAAGGTAAAAACCCAATATAGATATTTGTTGGATGCATGCATTTAAAAAAAAAAAACAGAAGATCCCCAAAAGGTATTTAGTAGGTATATTTTGATATACGTCTATACATACACACATACACGCTCATTCACACACACACACACACACACATATATATATATATATATATATATATATATATATATATATATATATATATATATATATATATATATATATATATATATATATATATATATATATATATATATATATATATATATATATATATATATATATATATATATATATATTTACCAGGTATGTATGCAACTTAAATATGAAATAGGATTTTTTCCAACAAACATTCAAAAGCGGAATAAGGCCATACTTTTCGTAAGCTTTCCAAAAAGGATCTGCAAAAATGCGGAGTGTTGCTACTTTTTTTCAAAAAAGCTTTTATGCGTATGAAAATAGTATATCTTTTAATAAGTCTATAATATACTATGAGAGAAGGTATCTAAATTACATATGTGTGTGTGTATATATTATTTCTATTTCTTTATGCTATTGAATGGTGTTGAATAAAAGTTTTAGAAAGTAAGCAGTTAATTTAAGACCCAGATGAAATTATGAAACATTTCCATTATAACATATTAAATATATTATTATATATAATATAGTTAATATGTTATTATATACATATTAAATATATTATTATTTATTTATATATATATATATTTATATATATATAAAAAAATAAATAATAATATATTTAATATGTTATTATTATTACACTCACTACGCTGTACGATTTATTAGAATTAGATTTATAGAATTATTAATATATTAGATTTTATTAAATGTTTAAGATTACAGATTAAAAGTATAGATTAAAGCAATATATGAATATTAACAAATATTTGAATATCAATATTGCATATATTTATATTAAAGTTTTTAAAGTTATTAAAAATACATAAATATATTAAAACAAATTGAACATATATAAAAAATTATATGTGAAGACTTTCAATACATACAAACTTAGGAATACTTTATTGTAACATAAATCTTTATAATAATTATATATATAAATGTTTGAAGACAAATATTATAAAAACTTAAGTAAATTAGGAAATACTTAAATATGAACATTATAGTATAATATTTAAGTATTTAACAAATATATATTAACCATTTTTATTTCTCGCAAGCTTTAAATATTTGTTTCATTTAATCTTAACTTATATCCAGCTTCAGATAAATAACAATAATAATTTATATTATAGTACAACATGCTCATCTTATCCTAAGTACATTTACACTGCTCGGCATTAGGTTTGCGCCCCCTTTTTACTTATTATTTGTTTTTTTTTTTCAATTTCTAGTTTCCTATTGCAGTAAGCTTCGATTTGTTTTGGCAAGCATTGAAAAACTATTATTTATTTTCTTGGACGCAAAGGCGTTCCACAGTGAAGCAAAGCTCACCTTAATATTGCAGAAGTACATATGACTAGCTATTCCCGGTTGAAGTATTTGTATTCTTGAGATGAATAAATTTTAAATCGGAAGTCCCGGATGGGATTAACTTTTACTTCTATGATCTTCATAAAGGGGAGTTCAGCTAGATTGGATGATTAGTTTGATGGGGTGGGAAGCCAGCTCTTATAATGCCACCTATAAATTCCAGTTATTAACTTTGCGTATAATTGCTAAGACCTGTAATAATATGTTACAAACAGCTTTTCTGTTTATCGAAAAGTTAGTTGAGAATATTAACTGGCATTTCCAGCACAACAATGCCCCAATCCCTACTGCTGGGCTTATTAAATCGTGGATTCAGACCCAAAATTTCGAGATCCTTCTATATCCTTCACTGCACCCACGTATATATATTCGGGAATAGCTTAAAAAGGCTGGCCAAGAAGGTGTACTAATCCGAAAAATATAGTAAATAAATATAGTAACACAAAAACAAATTTAATTAAAGGCATCAACCAATCATAGTTCACGACTTTATGAAATTATATTGCTTATTTTAACAATTCCCAATCAAAAATTTTCGAAGTAATTTCAAAATAAAGTGGGACTACCCACAACTAATTTGCTAATATCTCATGTATAATATAGGCGTAAAACAATTTCTTAAAAAAAAAACAAATTATCCAAATTTTTCGCTGATGGCGATATTTTTGATTATATTTTTCATACTTTTTTTTAATATTTTTTATAATTTATTTTATTTTAAGAAGTTTTATGAAAGTTTCTTTAGATAAACATTGCAGAACTTTCAATTGATCAATTTGAAATATATTTAGCACAAACGAAGCATAAAAAGGAGAGCTCTAACCTAATGCCGAGCAGTGTCTATCTTATCGAAAAATAATATATGATGCGTATATACATAAATATATATATATAATGTACGTGTATAACGTATTGTATTATAAATAGGAGAAGATGAAAATATTGTTGAGACGCGATCTTTAAGTAAAGAAAACGCTGAAGATAATTTGCTGCAGCCGGAACTAATCAAGCTGGATAAAATGCCATTAAAGCTGGTCATGAATCCACGTGGACAAATGCGCGACTATAATTCATTAAAAGAATCAATAAATATTGAATCGGGTCTTTTATCGCCTGACAATTGCGCTGAGCTAATAACTGCGCTGCAACTGCATAAAGGTCGAGGTAATTAACTATATTTATACTCGTATAAACACATAAGTGTACAGTTGTATTTATTCAAAAATCAGTATACAATATTTCGGTTTCGCCACGCCCCTTTACCGTATCATATGACTTATAGGTTTATCCGATTTTCAATTTCAATTTCAAAACAGAAAGATATATTTATTTCCGATTTCGTAATGCCAATTAAAATATATATTTTCAAATTGCAAACAGAGAAAAAAATATTTTATTTCCTATTTTTATTCGAGGGCTATCAATACGAAAAACCTCAAAATTTATCTGCAAAAGCTATATATAGATTTTCAATAGATATAGATATATCCAAATATATGTGGGTATCAATTGATTGCTCAATATATCTTTAAGTATGCCAATTAGGCCCAGGCAGTAATTTAGATTGATCGATAGTAGATATTTATTATTTTTGGAAATATAGAAAAAAAAGTATTGTGTTATTAGAAATACGAAAACATTTTTAACTTCAATGTTAAAACTTGTATATTAATTAAACTATGTACTCTCTTTTTGACTTAGTGATCGAATATACAAATAGCTCTATAATATAATACGAAAATAATATAATTTTTTATTGAAATAATTGACTTTCCTTTATTTATCATGCTTTTACAACCTGCCAAACGCCTCGGCCTGCTTGCTGCTCAAATGCAATAATTATATATTTAAACAAAAAATTAAATCATCGTGATTTGGCAATCATTAAGGAGCTGAGCTCTTTGCTAAACGTCGAAGAAAGGCTGACAATTGGGTAGTCGATGAGACAAATGCCGGCATTCACAGTCCATCTGGTATTCCAGATTATCAACAATACCAGGCTAATAGACCTGGTCCTACCTCGCCAAGCATCGTGCCAGCGTATTCGGATGCTGGCAAGCATCGCGTCCAATTGAATCTTCATCAGGATCAGCTAATTGAGAAATACTCAAAGCCTGGCGTACAGGTGGTAAAATCCCCGTGGGAAGCAGCTCTACAAACCGGTTCGGCGAGCACCGCATTTTTGGAGCAAGCACAATATAGAAGTCAAACACCGATTGTCGCACAGCCATCACCTGTTCATTTCACTCAAGATTTTACCGATTCACCCAGTTTGCCTGCGTCATATGCCAACTCATCGAATTATGTAAATGATTCATATAAAAGTGTAAGTACCTAAAACAATAAATAAATCTATTTCTATATTGTTGATCATAATATATTTAATTACATTTCTAAAAAAAAAATAATTATAATAATACAATACATTTTTAGGTTCTTAATATTAAAATAAAATAATGAATAACTCTTTCATTATTTTATAATTTGTTATTTATTATTTGTTTGTTTGCAATTCAATTTTTAATTTTTCTTTTCGATTTATATACTTAAATAAATATATAAAATAAATATATAATCCTTATAATCGAAGACGCTTTACATATTTCAGTCGTTCGATACTCGTGCCAAAAGTCAATCGATTCAGTCATCCAATCCACAAAGGGAATTGGCATATAAGCCAAGTGTGGCCCAAGGCTGGGGTGGTCGTAATGTTGAACTACCAAGAGGTAAAGAGGCCATAATAGTGTATTCTAAATATATATAATAAATTAAAATATAATAAATTAATATATATTTGTAGGCTAAAACCTTTAGGGTTGCAGTTGAAAAATGATATTTAATTCAGAAAAATAGTTTATTGTAGTTAATGTGAAATCTAAATATTTCAGAGTATTATTTCCAAATCCAGCAACAACCAGAATTTGAAAAACATAATTTCAATGATCCAAGGAATTCTTATTATAATGGTAATGAACAACTATTTGTGGACCCCAATGCCTATGGAATTAACATGCAATTCCCTCAAACTGATTTCAATTTGAATGATGACATCCACCAGCGGCTACAACAGTTAGAACAATTTCAACAATGCTTTATGCAACAGCAAATGAAACAACTAAAACTGAAATCAAATGGAAATTTGCCTATGGCTAAATGTATTGGAAGTATGAGCTCTACAAATACAAAACCAATCGAACGTTCAGAGGTTCAGCAAGTTGTAGCTGAGGAACGAAGTAAAGCAGAAGAAGCTGGTGAACCAGTCAATGTGCGTGAATTGATATTCACATTTGAGCAACAATCTCTAAGAGAACGTGAACTAACTCCCAACATCCAAAACGAGCTTTCAAGTGATAAAAAGCGATTACCAACTCTAAGTTTGAATACATCGAAAAGTTCAACAAATCAAATGAATGATCAAGACACAATCAAAGGCATGGACTCTAAATGTTCCCCACTTTCTGTCGTTTAGTATATATATATTTATATATATGTATTGATTTTTATTGATAGAAATATCAAAACACTTGAATGTGAAATTGTCTCTCTATGTAACAGCGTTATAATTGAAAATTGCATTATATAGTCATAGTCGGGAGTGCCCGACCAGGAGATACCCTGAACCCCGATCGTTCTAAAATTCTATTTGAAAAAAAAATTCACTTAGCCGGAAACTCAACCTAGGTCACTTCAGTTCATTGGTTCAGGCCATAAAAGTTGTGTTCTATTTATTAACCTACTCCAATTCTTCGTTTATACGAAATATGAGAAAGCTAACTTAGTTTTTGACTACACGTATTATATGTTCATTGAAAATATATATTATATATGACATTATTGTTTCATACCTTTCTTATAGGCCTATATGTACCTAAGGAAATATCGTTGGCTAGTTACGCACCTCCACCTGTACAGTCAACGCATAATTTCCAAAGCTCACCAAAGCCTATGGACTACTCCGCTAAGGAATATGAACTACCATCATATCCTGGTTTCCCCATATCGAATCTAAAGCCTGGTCTATATAATTCAGTGCCGCCCAAAGAGCAGCTATATAATTCAACGAGCTATCAGAAATTCCCATCCAGCTCGGTACAGGCGGGACCACAGGTCAGCTTTAGTCCATCCCCATTATCGTTCGATAAGCTATCGAAGTTCCAAGAATCACCGGATCAGAGAAATCAGCGATATTTTAATGGCAACAAACAGCCAGCCTATAGAGGTGTGCAGAATGTATCCCCAACGCCTTTCTTGTCTGGTGGTGCTGGCGGTCATAATGACCGATTACCGATTTCATCGCCTACATATGGATCAAATACATCGCATAATGTTGGATCTCAACAAGGTCGTGGTGCCAATCAAAGTTTCAATAACTCCGCTCGGGGTTGGAACAAAGGAACGAACAATATTCAACCAAATGTCTACCACCCAAAGACTGTATCAATTTCTGCGACAGAGAGTCTGCCATATTCTGACTTCTGAATTTATTAATTGATCAGCTTTAATTGAATAATAACTTATTATTTTTATTTCCGATTACGATTTACGATATGCTCAACTGATAGTCAACGTATACATGCATACATACGTACTATACATACATCTAACATAAACCAACTCCATTAAACATAAACAAATACATATTCATATATACCATATATAAGTTTATAAACACAATCACACACACATATACACACTCATACTCGCATATACATTCATACAGGTTCAGAAATAATATGCAGATATGTATGTATGTATATGTTTGATTTAATATATACGAGATAAATATTGCTGTTTATTATTGATTTATTGCGTTTGTTTATTTGCGTCTTTAGAACGGTAATTTATAATTATGAAAAATGTGAAACTTTTCAATTAAACATTAAAGAATTTCAATTCTTTTGTATCACCTGTACATTGGTTATTACAATTCGATTGCGTATGTTATAGAAAGGTGCAAGCGTAAAAACAAATTTCAATGTGACATGGGCAAGGACCATTTTACATACATACACATATATGTATATATAAATTGTATACTTATACGTTCACGTTAAGTCATTAAATTGGTAGTGTCTTTATTGCAACATTGCAACATAGTGGTACACATGTGTAATTTATTTCTAAACCTAAGGAAGAAGATGATTTTGGTATACACTGCACCTGAAGTGCAGTTCCTAATTTCAAGATGTAAAGATGTAGAAAATATAGATTTTCGTAGTACATACACTATATGTAGTAACATGAATCTATTAATGGATATATTTTTGTAGTTGAACAGTAACCACTATCCAAATTGCGTGATAATACCTCTACTTTATCGAATTTGTCGCACCTCTTATACATCTACTACATATATGTTTTCATTTTATTAAGTTTAGTTCTAGACCAGTTTCCCAGTCTATAGTTACAATACCGTCTTAAAACACTTGTAAGGTCTTTATGGTTCAAAAGATATATTAATTTCCAATTGGCCACGCACTTATTGAACGACATGCTTTATAATGTGAGGATAATAATGAGTACATGTGGCGGATATAGTTCAAAGCAAATACACCAATATACTCTTTACAATTTGTAATAATACTATGTATGGAGAATAGAGTATCCGCGTAGACGGTGCTTTTTAATCAGCAAAAAGCTGCATTAATGTGTTTCTCTGGCTATCATTACATGCATAAAAGAGAGCTCCTGTGATGTGTACGGCCCAGTTATTTATACTCGGAACATTGAAAACGGGAATTCAGGGTCTAGAACAGTCAGAAGGGGGCGTGACAGACCCATAAAGCTTATATATTCTTGATTAGGACGACGAGCAGATCCTATCTAGCCATGTCCGCCTCATCGTATGTCCGTCCGTATGAACGCTGCAATTTGAAATGTCAGTCCTATCTGGGTTATTTAATATTTTCCATAGTTTGTGTTGAGTGTTCAAAAAAAAAAATAATAACAAGTAAGAAAGCTCTAGTCGGGGTGCCCGACTAGGAGATACCCTGATCCCAGTCCTTTGAGTTTTGTAATATTTTCCGTAGTTTGTATCGAGTATTAAAAAAAAAAAGAAAACAAATAAAAATCGACATTGCGAAACCAGGTTTCGAACCCGGATTATTTGCGCAACGTGCACAAACTCTACCAACATCGCCACTTCAAAACTAAAAAAAATAAAAAAATAAAAAACGTTTCATATCCACTGGTCTCGAACCCGGACCAAGCTGCACACGAGCGGCGCCTCCGCCAACGCAGCCACTGCCCTTCTTACGCGAGTTGTTGCAAATTTGAACATAAGTAGCAGCTAATAATTCAGCACAATTCAATCGCAATTTCAATTCTTGGAATAGAAAAGAATAGGAAAAATGCGTGCGCGTGGCGCTGCTGACATGTGCTTTTGCAAATTGGCCAAACGTTTTGTTTAATAACTTCTGTTTTACTTAATAGATTTTAATGAAATTTTCAGCATATGATCTACATATCCTATTGGCTTGGTTGAGATGCAAACGCCTTTACATAATGGCCCTAGTTCCAACTAAACTTAAATTCTAAGAATTTGGGGGAATTTGGAGCCGGTAGCCTAAATCCAACAAAAATCAAAATTGCATAAAATATACATAAGACTAAATACAAAATTTGGAGGCTCTAGCTCTTAAGACGTTCGAGATATAATTTATTTACTGCATTTCAATAATGTTTTTATTCGATAACAATTAAATGCGAATAGTTATCGAATATTTGAAACAAACTTGACCTGCGCGTGCTATACACGGACCTACAAAAAAAATTTCAAGTCTCTAGCTCTTATAGATGCTGAGATCCACGCGTTCACACATACGGACAGACGGACAGACGGACAGACAGACAGACGGACAGGGCTCAATCGACTCGGCTTGTCGTCCTGTTCAAGAATATATATACTTTATGGGGTCTGCCACGCCTCCTTCTGCCTGTTACATACATTTGCACAAAACCATTATACCCTGATTTCCCATTTTTAATGGGATCAGGGTATAAAAAGCGCCATTACGACCGCAAGATTCAAACCCACATAGTCTACGCAACGCGCATTAACTCTATTATTTATTTATTTATTTAAAAAAAAAAAAAGAAAACAAATAAAAATCGACATTGCATAACCAGGTTTCGAACCCGGATTATTTGCGCAACGTGCACCAACTCTACCAACACCGCTACTTCATAATTTAAAAAAAAATAAAACAATAAAAAACGTCTCATCTCCACCGGTCTCCAAACCCGGACCGAGCTGCTTACGAGCGCCGCCTCTACCAACGCAGACACTGCACTGCTTGCGCGGGCAATTGCAAATTCAAACATAAGTAGCAGCTACTCATTCATCACAATTCAAGCGTAATTTCAATTCTTCGAAAAGAGAAGAAAACACGCTGCTGACATGTGCTTTTATGAATTGGCCAAACGTTTTGTTTAATAACTTGTGTTTTAGTTAATGGATTTTATTGAAATTTTTGGCTATGATCTACATATTCTATTGGTTTGGTAGAAATGCAGAATCTTTAACTTATTGGCACTATTTTCAAGTAAACTTAAATTTTAAGAATTTGGGGAAATTTGAAGCAGGTATCCTAAATCCAGCTCTTCTAGATGCTGAGATCAACGAGTTCACACATACGGACAGACGGACAGACAGACAGACAGGCTCAATCGACTTGGCTTGTCGAGCCTTATCGACTACAACACTTGTTTTACTATTTAAACATACAGCTAAACATTTCAGCTAGTACACAAACGCCTTTGTTCTTGTATAAATTAATTTATTTATGAATTATATATTTATTGTATTTATGTTTATTGTATTTAAATGAGCACATGGGCTGTTAGAGAGGCGAAGCCGTCGTCTTTATTTCCCAAATGATACTAACTCTAAGTGGCATAAATTCTTGTGAGCTTATGGTATTATTATGGTATTATTGTGTTGAACAGGGTATACGGTTAGTTTTTTACATACTATGTTAGGCTTAGGATATCTTATAATAAAATGTAGAAAATTGTTGTTTAGCAAAGCTTTAACTTGGGATACTTCCATTAAGTCAGTAATCGTATTATTTATAGGGTGTTTATTAATAATCAATAAAATCCAATATGTAGGGGTTCACAATTCCAACTTTTGCAAGTGTTACTGATGGTACAAATGTTCCATGTTTTGGTATCTTTTATTAAAAGGTTTACTGCGTTGGTTGTTATTTGCGCTATTTGTTGTAGCATTTTTGTATTTATAGTTATTATTGGCCTATTTTGTGATCTTACGAGCTCTTTCTGGGTAAATTTAAGTTTCACGAAGTCGTCGGAGTCTGGTGTGTCAGGTACGACTTTAAGAACGATGCCTAGCATATTAATATTCCTAGCATGTCTATGACGGATATTTACTGTGGCTACTAGTGTTTCTATATGTTGTATATCTGTGTCTAAAGACTGTCCCATGTGTGATCGTGGAAAATGGTTTCTTAATGGTATGTAATCTTGGTTAGTATAATCGGTAAGTTTCGCCATAATCATTGTGGCAACAACAATTTTAGCCTAAATCCTAAAAAGATAAAAAAGGAATTTAATGTTTTTGTTTATCGTAAATTGTCCTTATGGACCACCCTCCTTTTTATTAAGACCGTTGTCCCCAAGTCTGAGTCAATTTTATTTTCGTTATACTGGGGCGTCAATTTGTTCCCTAACGCCTACTAAAAATTGTCTATCATATCTTGCTTCATTTACTCGGTACATTTGAAGTTGTGACTTTTGAACTTTTTTTCTTATTTCCATTCCAAGTTCTGGGGAGGATGAGTGGATTATGTCGATTGTACATTTGTCTGTTACTGAGTGGACTGTGTTGTTGTATTCGACAGTTGCTTGAAGTATCGTTTCAACAGTATCAGTAATTTTCCTTTGAGCTGTTAGGCATCTTGCAATGTCACTGAGGGTGCTATGAAATCGCTCGACTTGTCTGTTCGATGTACTAAGAAGTGGTGGGGCATTCCCGATTTGGATGTTATACTGGTTGCTTTGTAGTGATTTTATTGTTTCAGACTTTATGGAGGGCTCATTATCGCTCATTATGGTCTTGATATGTCGGTAGAAATTTGTAAAATTGCTGATTGCATGACAATTATTGTCCTTGAATCAATGGGTTGAACGGTTGCGAATTTTGAAAATTTGTCTAAAATGTAGCATTTCACTCACTTAGGGAGGTATGGGAGTTTCTCCAAGTATTTGTTTTTGTGGGTGACGGTTGTACTTAGCTGTTTTACAAATTTTGCAATTTGAAACTACTTTGTTTGCAAGTTGACTGTACGATCAGCAGCTACTTTATTTTCTTCTATTATAATTTAGTTTCTGAAACAGTTGATTGGTTTGTCTGTTGTTTCTATAGTGTACGTGAACGATATTTCACTGTGCGCTGTGGCACTTTTGCGTTTGGATTACGGTCAGATACTGCAAACGTCAGAGGCTGATGGTCCGTAAAGATATTTACATATTTTACTCCGTACAGATAATTTCGGGGGCTTTTCAAGGCCCAAACTATAGCAAGTAATTCCCTTTGCTTTGTTGCGAAAATAAGTAATCTATCTTTCAATGTCATTGATATCTTGGTGATTGGTTTTCCACATTGTGATAGGACTGCCCCTAGACCAAAGGACGAAGCATCTGTTGTTAAATCAAACGCTTTCTTGTAGTCGGGGTAGAATAATATTAGTGCCGTCAGTTGACTTTCGTAGAATTTTACATGTATTTTTTTGATTGTACGGCGCATACTTTGCCGTTTTCGCCTTTTAAAATGTCGCTTATAGGTTTTGCTAAAGACGCAAAGTCTTTGATAAAACACCTATAGTAGCTTGCCAGTCCAAGGAGTGATCTGACGTTAAACAGGGTTGTTGGTAATTCGTGGTTACGAATGGCTTCAACTTTACACTTTCACTTTACACTTTCTTTGAAAAAGTGTGACTTTTCTGGCGAAACTCTCATGTTGGCCTCGTATAGCTTATCTAAGATTCAGTCGATATGCTTGACATGGTTTTCCATGTTTTCAGAAAAAGTTATTACTTCATCAACAAAAACGTAACAAGATTTTCCGATTTGCTCTCTGAGCACATCGTCAATAGCTCTCTGAAAATTACTGGGTACATTTTTCAGGCCTGCAAAACTCATAGTTTCCACTTCCTACGGAAAACCCTGTTTTTTCTCTATCCTTTTCAGCAAGTAAAATCTGGTGGAATCTGGATTTCGAATCAACGGTTGTAAAATACTTTGCTGTACCTAAGTTGGATAAAATGGACTCTATATTGGGGATAGGATATTTATCATCTCTTGTTTTTTTTGTTTTCTGAAGGCTATGACTAAACGTTTCTTTTTTCTTCCTGGTTCGTCGGTACCTTTTTTATCTACAACCCAAGCGGGGTTATTGTATGGTGAACGAGACGGACGTATTATATCGTTTTTTAACAGGTCCGAATTCCGATACGCCCATTGGGAATGGGTATAATTTGGAGCAAATGGGATCCTAATTTTCTGTTCTAATGGTGGTAATGATGTTGGTATTATACGGGAGCGCTTCATTAGGTTCCGCAAAGACTCCTGTTCGGTCCTTGAGCATTGTTTGAAATTCAGAGATGCTTCTATTTCTTTGACACTCATAAAATTTAGGGCTGGGCATTTTAGAAATTTAATCGTCTCTGAACTGCAGTTAGTTGTTAATGTCTAAAGTCCAATAAAACATTGTTTTGATTTAGTAAATCGAGTCTAATTTTAGCGTCAAATGTCGGGAGGTTTGGTAGTAAAAAATGTTGTATTGGTGTTAAAAAGGTGCATTGTACATTGCCTGTCTATGTCATTATAGCCATGAATTGATTTTATTCGAAATGGTTTTTCTACTGGCGAAATATGTTTTAGTTCTCTTAGTGGTTTTACATACATTTTTGAAGCTCCTGTGTCCTTCCTGCCATTGCTCTTTGTATGAACGAGAGCAGGGAGCCATACCTAAAAAATTGACCTGGTCATATTCATCGGATTCGTCTTCAATATCTTCTGCCTCAGTTTCTGCGATAGTCCGATATTCACTACTGTCCTGTTCGTATTCTGTATCTCCTGTTTCTAAGTGGTTATCTCTTTGCTGTTTCGGTCCTGTGATCCGTGCACTACTATTGTTTGTTCGCTTGTTTGCCGTGTTTTGTTGTTTTGTCGAGGGAGCCGTGTTTTATTGGTATTGGATAGTCTGTCTAAAGCGAGAGGATGTATCAACGTCCATTGGTTGGACTTTTTCTTGTCATGGTGAGAATTCTTGTTTCTTAAAATGTGGGCTTTTTCCTGGTTGATTGTATTTCGGGTCCTGAGTTAGATTCCTGTTCCTGCCTTCATGTTTTTGCTCTGTTCTCTGGGCCTTTTCTTCTGAGCTGCGGACAAAATTCGTGGCAAACATGTAACGGTCATGATTAGACTCGACTTCTTGAGCGAATGGCAGTGCAGAGGGAAGATCAGTTGGTATAGCTGAGAATAGGACATCACTTAAGGCTTTCTTGGTTCCTGAGATGACTACTCGTAGAGCGCCTGCTCTGTATTTCTCATTTAACGAAGAGGCAACGATGGTGTCATAGATCATGATTGTCTTATTTATGAGTAAAGTTAGTTTCTCCTTGATGGAGTGTTGACATCTCTTGTTCAGATAGGTATATCGGTCGTTTGTCTGCGAACGTGAAATCTAACCGACTAATAATGACACTAAAATTGAGAGGAATATCAAAAGAAGAGAGTCCCATATTAGCAGCGTTCTTAATTTTGTTTCTTAATATTCCAAAAGCTTGATAATGTTTCGAGCTAACATCGTATTTTTCATATGCTTTGTATGCGGTATGCGCAGCTTTTCTCCATGATACGTAAGTTTCGTTTATTCCCTCAAAGTACGGAAGGGATTTCATGATATCAAGAGTTTCATTGCAAATGATGCTTGCCCCAATTTCGGCCTCTTTGAATGTTTCTACTTCAGGAGTGCTAACTTGTACAACATTAATATGTTGTTCAATGACATGTAATTTTTTATCAAAGTTTTTCTTGGCCGCCAAAGCGCTTGCGACTGAGCCTTCTACTATGGCTTTTAATTGTTCGTTAGATAGAGGCATTTTTAAATTTTCACCTGTATCTATACTTTCTTGAAATGTTGTGCTGCATATTTTTTGAAATATTATTACCAAATCTTGTATCTCACTATCACTCATAACATGCAAATAAGGACAAGGAATTTTGTGTATTACGTATTTTATTAGTAATGAATATTCAAAAGTTGGAGTTGTGTTTTTATTGAATTTTAATAATTTGTCTTTTTTTCTTTTTTTTTAATGAACGCCACACTCACATGTTCTTACATTATATTAGGTGAGGCGTTGCACCGTGTTTTCATCTGATGTTTGCTTCGGTAGATAGAGCACTGTTTCGTTGGTGGCCTGCTTCGTTGTGTACTGCTTCGTTATGTACTGCTTTATTGTTAGACTGCTTCGTTAGTGAACTGCTTCGTTAGTGAACTGCTTCGTTATTGAACTGCTTCGCTGTGTACTTTGTTTTATTATTTTTGTTTTTTGCACCAGTTTAAGGTTGTTGTTACTTCACTTGTGGAAATATTTCATTCACCGAATATTTGCTTAATCGAAGTTAGATTCGGTTTTTTTTATACCCTGATCCCATTGTAAATGGGAAATCACTGTATAATGGTTTTGTGCAAATGTATGTAACAGGCAGACCCCATCAAGTATATATATTCTTGATCAGGACGACAAGCCGAGTCGATTGAGCCCTGTCCATTTGTCTCTCCGTCTGTCCGTATGTGTGAACGCGTCGATCTCAGCATCTATAAGAGCATTACAAATTTGTTTCAAATATTCAATAACTATTTGCATTTAATTGTTATCGAATAAAATGCAGTTAATAATTTATATCTCGGGCGTCTTAAGAGCTAGAGCCTTCAAATTTTGTATTTAGTTTTATATTATTTTATGCAATTTTGATTTTTGATGGATTTTGGATACCGGCTCTAAATTTCCCCAAATTCTTAAAATTTAAGTTTAATTGGAAATAGGGCCATTATGTGAAGGCAATCATATGCTGAAAATTTCATCGAAATCTATTAAATAAAACACAAGTTATTAAATAAAACGTTTGGCCGATTTGCAAATGAACATGTCAGCAGCGCCACGCGCACGCATTTTTCCTATGCATTCAAATGCGTGTATTCAATTCTATTCAAAGAATCGAAATTGCGAATGAATACTGCTTGAATTATCAGCTGCTACTTAACTTCAAATTTGTTGGTAGAGGCAACGCTCGTAAGCGATAATCTCTGGGTTAGAGCACAGCAGAGAGGAGACGTTTTTTATTGTTTTTTAATTATGAGGTGGCGGTGTAGGTGGAGTTGATGCAGGTTGCGTAATCAATTAGAGTCCGAATCTTGGTGTCGTAATGTCAGTATTTATTTGTTTTTATTTTTTAATACTCGATAAAAAGAACGAAAAATATTGAAAAACGTTGATAGTCGGGCACCCCGAATAGAGCTGATGTTACTTGTTTTTTAGAGTTCGATTCCATGGGCGCCAATTCATTTATTCATGAAATAATTTATTTATTGTATTTATGTTTATTGTATTTAAATGAGCAGACGGGTTTTGGAGAGGCGAAGCCGTCGTCTTTATTTCCCAAGTGATACTAACTCTAAGTGACATAAATTCTTGTTAACTTATATGTCTATAACTACTAATTCGTCTACTTTTTCTTGCTACAACTAGTTCTACTACTATTTCTCTTATATTTTCTACCTACTTAAACTATAATTAATACAACTGTTTTACTACTATTATTTCTCCTACAATATGTATAATTTTTCTGTTTACTAAAATTCAATTTATACTACTGCTTTACAAATTACTACGAACCCTCCAACTACTTCACACGCTGAACAAACACCTCTGTCGAGGCATCTGGCAACACTCAAGGCTGCCACAACGCACAGGCTTTATGGAGAAGGCAACCCTTGTAAAAGTATTCGGTGGTTGAATAAAGCAAAGCTGCGCAGTAGACGCAAAAAGGAATTGTGAATACAAATCGCAAGATTAAATATATTGAACACATTTTTTTGCCACAGAAAATCAAGTTTACTCTTTTTGTTATTCCTTTAAAATTATTCAGTGTTTTTTTTAAGATCCAGTTATTGTGATCTTATATGTACTTCAAAAGGAAAACCGAAAAGCATTTAGAAATTATATATAAAGTTGAAGTGAAGAAGTTATAAGTGCGAATTTCCATGGCTTATTAAGAAGGTGGATAAGGTTTCAAGCTGGTAAAATTAGTAAGTATTATATGAGCAACAATATATATCCAGGACTCGTCCCACATATGCGTAGAACAATAAAAAAATTAATTAAAAACAAATTAATCCATAGATATGTTGTTAATATATTGTTAGACGCTACTATTTATTTGTATAAATAAGTATATGATGACATTTACAGCCTCGACTGGGAAAAGAATATGAGAAGTGCACGACTATAATATATTCTTTATGCAATACAGTGTCAGGCAGATGCTGAAATGAAGATGATTTGAACTGAATTGTGTTGTTCAAAATATATGGTCATTCATATACATTCATTCTATTTATATTTATTTGAGATAAGGAACATTGTACTTAATTTGAAATCTTGTTTTTATTTACTTTCCAGCACTTTCATGTTCAATTAATTACAATTAAAACTGCTTTTCAAATTATAATAATATTCATGTTAATATTTATTATAATCAATAACTATTAAAAAAATATTAATTATAATCAATAATATAAATGTAACTTATTAACAAATTATTTATTTAATTTTTATATTTCCTTTATTTACTTTTTGCCATAATTTAATAAAGATCTGGCCATATAAAAACATATAATGATAAATATCAAAAGGAACAAGAAAACATCCACAACATGTTGAGATATTTGAACTTTTGCTTTATGCCTTGGAACATTGAAAATGACTTTCTTTTCAAATACCCATTTGTATAGCCACATGGAGGCGTAACGAGCTCGATCTAGTGCAGTGTCTATTCATGTCTGCCTGAATATCGAACATAATCGATATACTGACTTAACTACTTTATATGCTAGAGATACCAAATGTTGCATATTACTCCTCGAGCAAACTTATCCTAGATAACTACAATTATTTCTAATATTGAAAAATAATTCATATTAAATAGGTAAGACCTTGTGACCTTAATTGAAATGAGTTACATTGAATTAAAAACAATATTTCAGAAATATCACGACAGAAATAAAAGGGCCAACATTACAAAACCGCGAAACTTTAATGAGATTTTGTGCGGATTATGGCGACTTCATATGGAAGCAAAAAACGTTCGAATAACTTAAATAAATTCAAGCCGATTCTCTTTTTCATCTTGCATTTAAATATTAGTATTCAACGAATTAGCGCAACGTCGTTTTTAATTATCAATGGTAAGCATAGACTACCAATCTGTTAATGAACTAATAATCTTTCCTCTTGTTGCATAGATTTAGCCAATGTGAATCGACCCTATTTTGACGACATAAGCCCAAGAAATATTTCAGCAGTTGTCGATGAAACAGCAATCTTAAGATGCCGAGTTAAAAATAAAGGAAATCGAACTGTACGTAGAAAGATATATATGTAAATATATTTACTCTAGTTTATTTCAAAGTTATAAAGTTATATTATACAATTAGAATACAATTAGAATATGAAAAGACCATAAAATCGTATTATTATTCTAAAATTCATATTTCAAATAACTTTATTTTTGTCTGCAAATGAAAACAAATGTACTTCATATTCATATTTCAAATACCAGATATCATATCAATATTGCTAAGATCTAGCCTCTGTTTTCATTCATATACTATATTATATATAGTAATCTATATCCATTTTATAATCGATAAACAGGTTTCGTGGATGCGTAAACGAGATCTTCACATTTTGACAACTAACATATATACATACACTGGGGATCAAAGGTTCTCTGTTATACATCCGCCAAATAGTGACGACTGGGACTTGAAGATTGACTACGCCCAAGCACGCGACAGTGGAATATATGAGTGTCAAGTAAACACAGAGCCTAAAATTAATATGGCTATTACTTTGGAGGTCACTGGTAATTCATGTTGATTGAAACTTTTTTATTTATAACTTTATATATATTTTTTTTGTTATTCTGTTCTTATTTCTTCAATTTATTTCTCTTCTATTCTCATCCATCTTTTTTCTTCTCTCTTCCTTTATTTTCTTTCTTTACGATTCTGTCATTTTCTCTCCTTTTCTAAATTTCAACGTATGCTTGTTTTTCTACTTTTCTCCTCTCTTCCTTTTTTTCTCTTCACGTTTTTATTTATTCTTCCTCTTCCTTGTTCATCATTTCTATTAACTGCTCGAATCCCTCTTCTTTAAATTTATTCAACTTTGAATTCTTCTTTGATCTTCTTTTCCCATTTTTTCCATTCGCCTGCTTTTTCTTTGTATTTTAATTTATTTTTTGCTCTTCTATTTCAATTTGTTTTCCAGCTGAATATGATATGAGAGATAAAAATTCGGAGAATCTATACTATAATTCTAAAGGTTTGTTATTAAATCAATTTTTAATAAAACGTATGTCTTGAAAGATCGAAAGATTGGTTAAACATAGTTTTACAAATATACATTTTTAAAATTTTTGGCTTAGTCATTTACATATGTCAATTTATTTAAATGAATCCACAATTCATAATCCATAAGTTTATATACCTAAATTTAAAACAAATAAAAAAGTTCTAGTCTGGGTGCCCGACTAGGAGATTCCCTGATCCCAGTCTGATCTGCGTTTTTTAATATTTTCTATAGTTTTCAGAAACTCTACTAAAACCGGCACTTTAATAAAAATAAAAATTGTAGAAAGTATACATAAAACTAAACAAAATTTTGAGGCTCTAGCTTTTAAGACGTACGAGATATAATTTAATAACTATATTTCTATCATGTTTTTAATTGATAATAATAAAATGGGAATGGTTACCGAATATTTGAAACAAAGTTTATATGCGTCTGCTATATACGGATCTAGCTCTTATACAGACCGACAGACAGACGAACAGGGCTCAATCGACTCGGCTTGTCGTCCTGATCAAGAATTTATGTGAAAGCGAAGCAGTGTGTGCAGTGCAGCACTGGCGGTGATGGTAGAGACGTCGCTCGTAAGCAGTAACTTCTGGGTTTAAGCCAGGCACCGAAGGGACATTTTTAATGTTTTTTTTTTTTTATTTTTTTAATTATGAAGAGGCTGTATTGGTAGAATTGATGTAAGTTACGCAAACAATGTGCGTTCGAATCTGGGTGTCGTAATTTTTGTCTTCATTTGTTGATTTTTAAATACTTGATATAAACTATGGATAATATTAAAAAACGCAGATATGACTGGGATCACTTATCTTCTAGTCGGGCACCCCGACTAGAGCTTTCGTACTTGTAAAATATATTTATTTATTTGACTTAAATAAATGTATTTTTCATTTCCATACCAAAGCGGCACGTGCTAAAATTTTGGGATCGACAGAAATACACGTGAAGCGAGATAGTACCATTGCTCTAGCATGCTCCGTTAATATACATGCATCATCTGTATTGTGGTAAATAATATTCTATATATATGTGCATATATCCTTGCTGAACTGGTAAATATTGCAGGTATCATGGCTCAGCGATTGTCGATTTTGATTCATTGCGTGGCGGCATTAGTTTGGAAACTGAGAAAACTGACGCAGGTACTACGAGTCGGCTAATGTTGACCCGCGCATCACTGAGAGACTCTGGAAACTATACGTGTGTACCCAATGCAGCTGTACCAGCTTCTGTTCGAGTTCACGTCTTGACGGGTAGGTGAAAATATTCTTCCAGATCTGCTAACTTATCCGCAGGACAGAGTCCTGATATTTATTTATCGTGGCGTGTACCCCGAGGGGGTTTACAACCACGGTACGCGTTTGAGCCACATATGTGACACAAAGTACAGCCGGTGAATACGATGCGTCCACCAACGCCCCTAAAAGAAACTCTTTTAGGTACCAAGTTCGAATGCATGCTGTCGGGCATGGCTTCCCTCTTGGGTAGAGGCGAGGCCTATCTTAACCTCTGCTGACTGCGGGAACATCTTCCGGCTGTGGTCCAACTTTACGTTGAACCACAACATTTTATAAACCACAGTCACCACGATACTCCCACTAAAGGGGGCCAACCTCAATTGGGCTGGCCTTGGCCACCAGCCCATCCCGTGGTTCAAATTAACAGCTTTGATCGGCTGATCGCAGTCAGAGACTGCTTCCCATTTTGGTTTCCGACAACCAGGAACTGGGTAAACACCGGCGGCTGACTCCCGAAGGAGTGAGTCTACCAAATTAACAGGCTTTGGTCCGCCCTTCGACTAGTCCATAAGGATTTGTCTCCCAAACTGAGGACTTTGGTCAGCCTTCCGACTTTCTCCGGAGAGAAGAGAGTCTACTAAATTGAGGTTTTGGTTTGCCCTTCGACTAGTCCGTGAGGATTCGTCCACCAAACTTAAAGGACTTTGGTAAGACCTTCGATGTATCCACAAGGACACGTCTCCCAGATTAAGGCTCTGGTACGCCCTTCGACTCATCGCGAGAATTTTGTCTACCAAATTAAGGCTCTGGTAGGCCTTTGGACTAGTCCGTTAGGATTCGTCTCCCAAAATTGAGGACTTTGGTATGACCCTCGACTTTCTCCGTTACGAAGAAAATCTACCAAATTGAGGCTTTGGTCTGCCCTTCGACTCGTCCGAGTGGATTTTGTCTACCAAATTTATGGACTTTGGTTGGACCTGCGATTCACTCCGGGGAGATCGTCTGCCAATTTGAGGCATTGGTGGGCCTTTCGTAGTAAGTGCTTCTACCAGTTTTGACTAACGTCAGTCCGGTACTGGTCGACCAGGTCCAGCTCCAGCGTCAAGCAGCATGCGTCGCCTGCTGAAGACTATGCGAGCATAATCTTCAAGCAGTTGCATGCTCTCGTTGGTCGTCAGGGTGTCAACAAAAGTCCAGTCACCGGATGCATTCTACTGAAGCTTACGGCGGGCGGTCTGCCAGATGACAGCCTTCCCTTAAGGAGCATCGTCACAGTCTTCGTTGCCGAGACTGAGACGCCTACCTCGATACCCCATCCTCCAACTAATTCCATTAGTTGGGCACCTTTGAGCTCCAGTTGGGATCTGAAATTTCCCTCAACGAGCAGCAAGAGGTCGTCAGCAGATGCACTTAGAGTGCATTCCGCTTTAAGGCGATGCAGAAGAGTGTCCATCAGGATGTTCCAAATAAATGGACCACTGATGGACCCCTGCGGACAGCCACGTGTAACATCGACACTGACTTCGCCGAAGCTGCTGATGATACTTGCCTTTCGGTCTGAAAAGAAGCTGCGCCAGATCCCAACTTCCCTGCATTCTAGATCCGATAGTCGGCGTAGAGCTGCGTCCCATTCGACATGGTCGAACGCACCCCTGAAGTCAACGAAGATACCGAGCACATATCGAGCCGAGCTGGCTTCGACACTGCTCACGACGTGACTCCAGGCATCCTCAACGCAGCGCCCGGGTCGAAAGCCAAATTGCCATCGACTCTCGTCCGTGAGCACCTCCTTCACACGGTTCCCTTCGAGTACTTTGCCGAAGACAGGCAACAGGCAGATACCCCGATAGGACGCTGGATGCTCCTGTCCTTATCTGGGCCCTTGAGGAGCGCAACCATACGTGGGCGCTTCCACTCAGTGGGGAAGTATCCCTCTGCCAGGCAGCGGGAAAACAACGCTGTCAAGTACTCAGGGATGGCGCGCCAAGCTGCTTTGACCATACCCCCAGTTATGCCGTCTAAACCAGGTGAGCGTTTGCTCCGAACTCTGGCGATGCATGTTTCTACCTCGAACCTGTCAAGGGCTGGGGGTACTTCGCTAGGAATGGTAACGTCCACTGGCCTCTCAGCAGTAGGAAAGAAGCTGCGGAGCAGGACGTTCGCACAGTCGTGCCAGGTTACAACTTGCTCATCATTCCAGCGAAGGCAACCGAGATCGATGCACGTCTTGCGGCCTCGGCATATCCGGTAGGCACGCCCCCATGGGTCTTCCTGGTGCTCGCCGACAAATCGTTTCCAGTCTTCCTCTTTCACCTTAAGCATCATCCTCACGTATTCCTTTCGGGTGATCCTGAAATACGTGGTTTCGACGCGCATGCTGAAGCCTTCGTCGGGCTCTCCTGAGCTCGCGACGTGCATCAGTGAGGGCAGCATTCCACCAACCCACACGACGTCTGGCTTGTAGCTGTTGGCGTCCCAACACAGTGTCGCTCACCTGATGAACTAGGGAGCGAAGTGCGGAGACCTGCTCATCAGATGCCATCTGGTGAAACTCCTCCAGAGAAAGTTCCAACGATGCAGTCATCAGCTCATCACTGAAACGTCGCCAGTCAGCACGTTGGAGTTTCCACGAGGGCACCGGAGCATAGCTCTCAACAGTGCTTAGCGGATCCGGCGTTACAACAACAGTAATGATGTTGTGATCGCTCAGATCCCATTCGCTTACACTCCAATCATACGTGGCCCACGTAGACGCTGAATCGCTGACGATCGTTACGTTGATATCGCTTCTTGACCTGCGATTATCGAACGTGTACACACTGCTGCGGACATTTAGCACTCCGGCTCGGCTGCCCTGTACCCAATTTGCTAGCAGCTCACCCCGCTGCCTGTTCAAGTAGCCCCGAGAGCGCTCGGGGAGCTTACTGAACCACAGATGCGTTCGCATCTAGGCCATAGATGACAGGCGTGCGGCTGGCTAGCGGCAGCACCGCATCCATGTACAGCAGGTACTGTTCAATTTCAGTATTGAACTGGCAATACACGGAGGTGAGGAAAATTGAGCTAAAATTCCCAGACACACTCACGCATACGCCGTACTCAGTGATGAGCGACGAGACAGGCATGCAGACGACCTCCTGGTCGTCAACGACTATGGCAGCTTTATTGCGGCGGTCGGAGAAAACTCGCATGCCTGCCGGCAATCCGGTGATCCTTCCCCCACGATCAACGTAAGGCTCCTGCCGAGCTCTATCTCGGCAGCTCGACTGCGACCGCAGTTTCCCTGGGTGATGCTAAACATTAATGTCTAGCAGCCACCTTGGCGAGCACAGCTCCGTAAATCGGGCAAGCCGCTGAGAGCATAAGATGCTCACAGGGTAGCCCCATGAAGCTGCAATTCCTGCAGTGCACAGGGTTGCAGCATTTCCCGGCTCGGTGCCCAGACTGTCCGCACTGACGGCAGATTTGCTCCTTCATCCGGCACTGGGCGATCTTGTGGTCAAAGCTGACACACCTGTGGCACGCATACGTGCGCACCATCTAACGCCAGCGGAAGGCGAACCAATCCACGTAAATCCTGTCGTGTTCCTCCAGGATATCCAGGGCCTTCTGCTCCAGCTCCAGCTGGATAGGCACCGGTCCAGCATCTTGCGTCCATGCCTTCGACACAATGGCCACCGACTTCTCGAAGGCAGCAATAGGCATGTGCCCCGAGAAGTGGTTTTTAAACAAACCGCCCATGAACTGCTTGACAGTAATACTACTGTCAACGTCAAGGACAGATCGATTTTTTGTCTTGAAAGGGAGCTTTGTCTCCTTGCTTGGTTTCAGACAAAATCTATTTAACGTATTTTTTTCTTTTCAAACCAAGCCCATTCAATTCCATTTTTTTTTCTTGGAGCTGTTTTAATTTATATGTCTATCTTAAAAGAACGTCAACACAATTTCACTGTAAATCTTGTTTAAGTATATACTTGAATTTTAATCGAATAGGTTTTTAACTGAATACTTTGTTCTGTTTGTCACTTTAACAACAGCAAGAGGCCCACAATTTATAATATATATTTTGTATACCATAAGCGCGCTTATTGTTTTGTGTGTGTTTTTTTGTGTATGTATAGATGTATACATGTAACTGTAATATGTAAATGATGTATCTCTTAGTCGAGCACTGCCGACTACAGCACATTTATTTGAATAAAAAGAGATACGTATTTTGAGCCGATGTTTTAATATATAGATATAAAATATCTTAAAATTAATTTAAAAATATATATTTTTGTATATTTGTGTTTGTAGGCGAGCAACCGGCAGCAATGCAGACGAGCGTTGCGAGCGTATTACATGATTCCACTGCAATCATAATTACGTATTTCATCATATCAGAAGAAGTGTTGTTAAGCATTTTAAACATACTCCTTTTACATCGAAGTTCAAGATGACTAACTTATAAAATTCAGCCATAACTCCAAAGAAAAAGAAATCAAGGAAACTAAAATAATGCTATATATAAAGGTACAACAAATTTGGTTTTAGTTAATGTGGTTTTGTATAAATTATACGATTTTCAAAAGTACATAATGATTTAATTTATAATTAAGTTTCTAGGATTTATTTATTGTTTTCATAGTAAAGGCGGCTTTTCAATCTTTGAGCCATCATATGGATCTAATAATGAAAGTCTGTGTAAGAAGTGAGACTTTGGAGCCGTCAATGAGTTCCACTTACTCGTTTCGTAAAACTAAACAATATCACATGAATATTACTTCAAGCTGATTTCACTAAATACAGATTGATTTCTGTTTGTGCATTTGCCTGGACTTATCTCACGGCTTTCACTTTCTGATGCAAGTAAATTCCCTGTCATACCATAGTTTTTAGTTATGCCTTTAAGAAACTCAAAATTTAGTTATATACCTTATATAGTTATATACAAACATATATATATATAACATGTGACTATATAAATTAGTATATTCCACTTAATTATAGATTACAAGCATATTCCAAGGGAACGAATGTAAATGAATGAAGTTTACCGAAAATAAAAATAAAAGAAAAAACTTAAAACAAGAAAAGAAAGGAAAACAAATTTTAAATGCATACCTATATTAAGTATAATTCCTATAGTCTTATGTAATATTAATAAAAGATTAACAATATTAAATAAATAAATAAATAAATAAATATATATATATATATATATATATATATATATATATATATATATATATATGTGTATAGTTATATGTATACATTCTTTTGTTTAACTATGTAAGCATTACACGTATGATAACTAATTAACAAATAATATATATATATATATATTATTTGTTATTTAGTTATATATATATATATTATTTGTTAATTAGTTATATATATATATATATATGTATATCTTTGTCTGCAGATGTGGGCTCCATCTTTGAAGATCGTGAACATCTAGTTGATCTGATATCTGGTATGTTATCGCTTGGAACTGGATATTAACTGCTGTCGTTTATAAAGTGGTTTAACCTTCGCCGTTGGCATTGAAGTTTTTGTCGTGTTGTTTCTCTCAAATTCGGCCGTCTTTGCACACAATGTTGCCCCGCCTATATTCGATATACTAGTCGGCAGCTTTGGCTCAGATATGGTCGTTGTTTGAACTTTACTCTCTAAATAAATTAATTAAATGAGTTAAAGAAATCAAATTTTAAATAATCAATTACTGGAGCAATAGTCAACTGGTACATGATTCAACTGCATATTACGAATTGAGCTTGCCTTCCGTAAAGTTTATCTTGTACACTTGAATTTCGATGAAATTTTCAACTGCGTTATTAGCTAACAGAACTACCCATAGAACAAAGGTACACCTATGTGCGTGAGTTTGATACTCTGCTCGAAAGATTCATGCGCAAATGAACACTTGAAATAAAAAGTTTGTTTTATGAATATAATTATAACAACTAATAATGCGAATTTTCCGTTTTTATTTTATCATAGTTAAATTTGCTGAATTCCAAAGCTGAAAGTCGGTGCACTTTGGTCTGACGTCATCCTTTTACACTGTTAAGTTAAGTTGCCATTTGGCCAGAAACTAGTCGTCAATCAGGGTGCTGCTTATATACATATAGCCGTGTTTATAAATATATATACAAATAGGAAATGTACATGCTTATTGAGAAAGGATCTAAAGTATAGTCCAGTTCGTAAAGTTTGCTCCTATTATTTTATTTATATGTTGTATGGTTAGTGGGATCACCAGTTTTATTAGAACAATTATTGTAAATGGAAATCTTCTACAAAAAAATCATTTCAGTTCACTTTACTCTAGTCACATTTGATGTACAGAATCATAATATTTTACCTTGCATTTTATTTGCTCTCGCCTTTGATTTTGATGTCGGCTCGTCAGGTTTTGATATCTGTAAGCTGGCCGAGAACACGTTTTGATTTTCTAATATAATCGGAGTCGATTGTCGCCTGCCATCAGGCAAAAGTGCCGAATTGTAGGTGCCATCTCTTGGGCTTACTTGATTTTCAATAGATTTTGATATCTCAACCTGCGTACTAAAACTCAAATTAATTAGAACACAGTATTTATCTGTTATATACTATACACGTATGTTAAATAGTTATCAACATTGATGACAAATATGTAATAATTGTTAAGAAGTTAGAGGAAGGAACTTGACTAGTAAATTTCCTAATCTGATCTAAAGAAAATTTCATTTAGAAACAGTTATGAAAAAACGAAGTTTTAAATTTTATATAAGCTAGATGTATTAGAAAAGGGCTTTAAAAACCCGAATATTTATTAAGTAAGAATATTTGAATCGGGGCAAATATTAAGTTTCTTTTTTGCAATTTATAACAGCACTCATGACCGTTGACACTTTTATGACGAGGGTTTCCGAGAACATATTCTCGATTGTAAACGAAATGCTTTGCATTCATACGGACAGAAAGAAGGAAGACTGAAAGATGTAACCAAGATCCAAACTATCTATATACATCGACGATTTAATACAGACGGAACGATGGATTGCCTATTTGTTTTGTAGTTTACGATTCCTTCTGGCTGTTACACACATTTTCACAAAACCTTTATATGTAAAACTTGAATTTTCAATGGGTTCAGTGTGAAAGAAAAATGACAGCAACATGTTCCCCCATTATCCTCTATTTTATGGCTTGCTCGCTTAGGAGGGAGTAGCAACTGACAATTCAAACACAATTCCATCACAATTGTTAAGTAAGTATGATTATATGAGTGCACATGTAAAATGAAGCCGTCTCGATACCCAAATTGAGTATGTGAGAATTCTATTGAAACTTAGAAGATAAAAAATGGTGGGGACGTAAAACTTTATATATTTTAGAGCTAAGTCTCCCAAATGTAGCATTTTAGTTAATGTAAAGATTATTTACAGATTGAAGCCCAAAGGGATCTGACTGTATAGTGTCCAGTACAAATTCTGATATATTTTGAACACTATTGGTGATAGAGACTTGAAATTTATAACGCGCTCATTTGGGGCTAAAATTGAATTGAAGATTATTAAAAAAATTATATGTCTACTGTGATAACTTTAACAAATCGGTACTACAGTAGTAGAAACTCAAAATTGACCAACAAAATAGCTGTGGAACTTCTTCGTTGCTCTACCAAAATGAATATAGACGTGGAAAATCGGATGATGTCTTCCAAAGTTTTGCAACTGGCAGCGCTTAGGCTGTGAACTTGTTTTAATTTTATTTAATAATATTTGTGTTACCTAACGGATAACAATGACTATTTCATCATATTGTCAGCATACTCTATTAAATATTTGTCAATTTTTTAAAAATACTTCCAAAGAATTTTGTTCGAATTCTCAGAAGAGTAGATAGACTTAGCTTGTCGTCCTGATTAATGTTAAGTTTCCCAGCACAGGCCCGTGATCAAGAATAGCCTTAGTAGCCTCAACAATCACTATTCTTTATGCATATTAGTGTTATGAGCTACTTCGCTTTCTAATCAGAATAATATTGTTAATTGAATCAGATAAAAATTTAACATGTACTCCTATTATATATTATATACTATAATAAGCGCTTGGAATAAGAAGAAAGAAAGCGATTATTGTATTATTTAGTTTTGAAAAGTTTATGGCAGAAATTCTTACGTTGAAGATTCATTGATTTTAGTCGTGATTAGCGTGTGCAATTGTTCTGGACAAGTATCTAACATATGGGTGTAAAGAAGATCTAAAAGATCTACAGGGACTTTAAAGATTTCTTCATAGTGGTCAATCATTATTCTGCAAAGTAAAAAGCATAATAAAAATGATAAATAAAATAAAACATATAATATTTTCATGTAAATATATAATAGAAAGAGAGAGACACGGTATGCAGTAATATATGTAGTTATATTTATAGAAAGATTAAATTTTATCCATAAACAAGTAAGAAAGCTTTAGTCGGGGTGCCCGACTAGGAGATACCCCGATCCAAGTCCTATCTGCGTTTATAAATATTTTCCGTAGTTTGATCGAAAAAAAAAAAAACAAGTAAAAAACGACATTAGGAGACCAGGATTCGAAATCGGATTGTTTGCGCAACGTGCACCAACTCTACCAACACCGCCACTTCATAATTAAAAAAATAAATAAAACAATAAAAATGTCTCATCGCCGCGAATTTTGAACCGCTTACGAGCGCCGCCTCTACCAACGCAGCCACTGCACCGCTTGCAAGAAGAGTTGCAAATTTGAAGTGAGTAGCAGCTGATAATTCAGCACAATTCAATCGCAATTTCGATTCTTGGAATAGAATTGAATACACGCATTTGAATGTATGTGTGCACACGCATAGAAAAAATGTGCTTTTGCAAATTGGCCAAACGTTTTGTTTAATAACTTCTGTTCTGCTTAATGGATTTTAATGAAAGCCTATGATCAATGAATGGCCCTATTTTCAACTAAACTTAAATTTTAAGAATTTGGGGAAATTTGGAGCCGGTATCCAAAACCCAACAAAAACAACATATAATATATTAACTGTATTTCAATTATGTTTTTATTCGATTACAATTAAATGCGAATAGTTATCGAATATTGATCTGCGCGTGCTACACACGGACCTACAAACAATTTTTAGTCTCTAGCTCTTATAGATGCTGGGATCCACGCGTTCACACATACGGACAGACGGACAGACGGGCGGACGGGCGGACGGAGAGACATACAGACGGACATGGCTCAATCGACTCGGCTTGTCGTCCTGATCAAGAATATATACTTTATGGGGTCTGCCACGCCTCCTTCTGCCTGTTACATACATTTGAACAAAACCATTATACCCTGATTTCCCATTTTCAATGGGATCGGGGTATAAAAAACGCGTGTTTAATTGGTAAAATCAGAAGAGTGTATAAGGCCTATGAATGAAAGCAACCCATTTCGTGGCTACTATTGCAGGCAGATACATAATTGATATTTGGTAAAATATACATTTTTTTTATAAAGAAAATATAATTAATAATATTACCTAATGACATTGATGGCATCGGTCATGTTGCCCTGCTCTTTGTATTCTGCTGACTTTGGTGGATAATAACGCAAAATGTTTGGAGCAAAGACGGTGGATAGATTGTTGCTATCCATTTTGTTGCCAATCGTATGAATGGAGCCATCTGGATTGCACATATTATCACAATGGGCAGCTACATTGCCCAGAAACTTTAATAATACATATAATGTATCACGATGAGCAACGGGTAATAATTTGATTAAATGGGATATCGCTTCCAGTTGTAGGCGTCGATTTCGTATCCCTAAGAAAATTTGTAAAATTACATATAGTTGTAATATATTTTAATACATTTAGCTGTTTAGCTCTATTGCCTTACGTTGCGTTTCCAAAAATGTTGTATATAATCTTTTGCACAATAGGGGCTCGGGTAAGTCCCGTAGAAACTCTTTAAGCAATGTTGCTACATCATGTGGACATGTATTATCGGGAATGCGCATGTTGCAGTTCTTATCAAAATCCTCACGAAGCTAAAAATAGATATAAAAATGGTAATATAAATATATATATACTCAATCCAACTCTAAATTTATAAGAGGGAGAGTGGGATGGGATTTAGACTAGCTATAAAAATTGCAGAGGTGTCTATAATATCCTATCTTCACTGAACGGTATACTTCGTAAAAGTAAAGAGCAACGTAGAGGGGATAAGCGGAAAGAACAGATGATGTAGACATTTATATTTTCCGGTCATCTCCTCTACGTTTTTTCAACAAAGTTCTAAAAATAGTACTGGTATCGGTGTTGTGTCAGTAAATTTTATAACTAAGGATATCCTAACGAGATTTAAATTTTGAAAACCGATATTCTATATAAAGACAGGCAAAATGCTTAAGTGACCCACCTCGGCCAATCGACGTCTACTAACATAGCTTATAGCTTATATCTATGCACACATGCACACGTACAATGTGCACACATACATGTATACACATATATGGTTGTGACTTTAGAACTTTGACACATAGATTAGATATATGTTAACTCATAAGAGTCATATATATATTAACTATACATGAAACAATGTGCAAAAATGGGGATTCTCCCCAAATACGAGACATAATGTACGATAATCGTTTTTAATCGATTAGATCAAGAAAATTAAGAAACATTTATGGCTTTAGCGCTTATACGTTTTGAGATCGATGCATTCTATACATACATTCGGACAGACAGTTCGAGAATATATATACTTTTAGCGGTCAGCCACACTTCTTTCTGTCTTCATATACATTTACCCAATCTTGGTTATTTAATTTGATTAGTTCTATTAATTAAATTAACATTTTAACGACTTACCTGTTTCACGCGCTTTTGAGATGTACTAACTCTAAAGAGTCCGACTTTTTGTAGTCCATATTCCTCCAAATATTCTATACAAATTGTTACGAACGTTGGCACATTCAATGCTAAACTATTTTTTGGTTCTGTAAATAATATTCGATCGAGATCGAGCTCAACATTTCGCATATCAAACTGACTCCGCGACATTTCTATTGACATTGATGAGGATTTTTGTAGATTTGTTAAGTAGTCTGTAGAGGAAGCCACCTGATCTGAAGGACTACAACGTCCGTAGTCCATTGATTTAGTTGGCAAGCTTTCATACGAACGTACCTAAAAGTGAATAAAAATAATAAATTTGAAAATGTGTATTTACAATGGAGAGTGACATAGTGCTGAAATCTACAGAACATGTACCAATGAGTCAGATTCTATATTTTGAAAAATACTTATTTTTAATTTATAGGCAAGAGTTGGGGCATTTATCCGAAATCAAAAATATGTGCAATACAATTTGCTAAAGAGCAGCTCATTACTTTTTGGGAATGAATGGAGTTATATAAAAACAAGTAAGAAAGCTCTAGTCGGGGTGCCCGACTAGGAGATACCCTGATCCCAGTCCTTTGAGTTTTAATATTTTCCGTAGTTTGTATCGAGTATTAAAAAAAAAGAAAACAAATAAAAATCGACATTGCGAGACCAGGTTTCGAACCCGGATTATTTGCGCAACGTGCACAAACTCTACCAACACCGCCACTTCATAACTAAAAAAAAAATAAAACAATAAAAAACGTTTCTTCTCCACTGGTCTCGAACCCGAACCAAGCTGCATACGATCGGCGCCTCTACCAACGCAGCCACTGCCCTTCTTACGCGAGTTGTTGCAAATTTGAACATAAGTAGCAGCTAATAATTCAGCACAATTCAATCGCAATTTCAATTCTTGGAATAGAAAAGAATACACGCATTTGAATGTATGTGTGCACACGCATAGGAAAAATGCGTGCGCGTGGCGCTTCTGACATGTGCTTTTGCAAATTAGCCAAACGTTTTGTTTAATAACTTCTGTTTTACTTAATGGATTTTAATGAAATTTTCAGCATATGATCTACATATCCTATTGGCATGGTTGAGATGCAAACGCCTTTACATAATGGCCCTAGTTCCAACTAAACTTAAATTCTAAGAATTTGGGGAAATTTGGAGCCGGTATCCAAAATCCAACAAAAATCAAAATTGCATAAAATATACATAAGACTAAATACAAAATTTGGAAGCTCTAGCTCTTAAGACGTTCGAGATATAATTTATTTACTGCATTTCAATAATGTTTTTATTCGATAACAATTAAATGCGAATAGTTATCGAATATTTGAAACAAACTTGACCTGCGCGTGCTATACATGGACCTACAAAAAAAATTTCAAGTCTCTAGCTCTTATAGATGCTGAGATCCACGCGTTCACACATACGGACAGACGGACAGACGGACAGACGGACGGACGGACAGACGGACAGACGGACAGACGGACGGACAGACAGACGGGCAGGGCTCAATCGACTCGGCTTGTCATCCTGATCAAGAATATATATACTTTATGGGGTCTGCCACGCCTCCTTCTGCCTGTTACATACATTTGCACAAAACCATTATACCCTGATTTCCCATTTTTAATGGGATCAGGGTATAAAAAAAAACAGAATAGAATAGAATAGACATAGTAAATTAAAATGCTCCAGCTTTTGTGAAATTGCTGCACGCCTTGGTACGAATAGACTGATCGACGCAACAGCTAGATAGACTCAACTCATCGTCCTAATCAATTATGTATGTACTTAATGGGTGCTACAACGCTTTCTCTTAGCCCCCAATATTATACAAGTTCTTACGTTATCATTCAGTTTTCCAACTCGACTACTTCGAAATACTGAAGCCAGCGAATGTTTTGATCCGGTTTCCACTTCTCCGCATTGCTGTTTGTCTCTTGATAAGCAGCACTCCAAAGAGGTTCCAAATAAGTTATCACGTCCATCTTTTTTAAAAAGTATGTAAAGTTATGAAACAATTAGCAAGAAAGAATAAAATAAACTTGACTGATGCAGTCGGACTAAACCGACTAAAACTCGTATTACTCGTAACGCCTCAAGGGCGGTCCATATAATTTATAGGTTTGTCTATGAAAGATATGGAGGAAGTCAACAGTAATACACCTGTAAAATTTGGCGATTTTAACTGTAAAATTTTAGAAAATAAAGGTTTCCCGTTTCGCAGCGCCCCCAATAGATTATATAGGTCAATCTTAAGAGGGCGTCTACAGTCACTTTACTATCACATTTAAAGGCTCTTTCTCCTAAACTGTGGGTTATATAGTTTACCGATTGCACATGCCCTCAAGGAGCGAGTCTATTGGGTCTATACGGTCTACGAGAAAATCTTAAAACTCTTGAAGATTTGTTGCGCCTTTTTTCAGTATATATTACAATTATTAGTGTATATATTATAAGTTAAAATACCCGAGTTTCAACAGAGTCTTGAGATCAGTAAAAAAAATGGTGAGTTTGTCTGAGATCTTCTAGATCTCTGTGCTCAAACGACCGGATGAACAGACGGACGGATGTACATGATTAGATAAACTCAGCGATACCTCCTTCTGCCTGCTTCAAATATTTCTACAAAAACAGTGCACCCAGAATATCACTTTATGGATTCAGGGTATAAAAATCTTGCTTACTGTGTTCGTCCTTTCGGCCAATATCAAAAAAGCTTGTTGTGAGCGCTCTTTTTTTTGATATAACTCGTGTTTTCGGCGTATTTCGATCTAAATCTGAATCAAGAATACAAATAGTATATTTTAGTATTTTCGTATGTGTGTGAAACATGTAAATCAAGAACTTCGCATATAATTACTTACCTATATTCATGCCAATATTTAGTTCCTTAATTTTTTCTAGAGCAATGTGTATTAGGAATTCAGTTTCGATGTTGGAAAGTTTTTCTAATGATGTATCTGTTAGATGAAGGATTTGGCCTTCTTCTGATATCCATGAGCATTTCTCCTACGCAATATGTATATAGAAAAGTGTATATTAGCTTTCTGCTATTTTTATTTCATTGTCTTAGATTTTAACGTTACTCCTGTTTCAAATAAGAAAGAAACTTCATGCAACCCCACATAATTATACAAATTTTGTCTTACCAGGGGAGTCCATTTTTGTCGCTGTGGTGCAAAGTCCTGACTGTGATTTTGTCTGTTTTGACATTTGGAACGACTCCCCCAAATTTTTCTTGATACAAATTGTCCAACATTAGATAAAGATTTGGATTTTTGCATGTTTGTTGTTTCATTTTTATCTGAATCTGAATCTGAAAGTAAATCGAATGAAATGAGAAAAACTAGGGGAAGCTCTGGGTATAACTCAGGATAGTATATATATCAGGCTTAACGGTACGCACACAATTGCATATGAGGCTGGTGCTCATCTCACAAGAACAATTAGACCAAATATAGTCATAAGACGTGATTTCTATTTCTCTCTCTTATTCTCACACCCACACTTTACATATGTGCCCGGGTGTGTAGATCTCTCTGCATTAAGACTACTTATATACATATTTATTGGCTGAAAGAGTCTAAATACCTTCAGACATTAAGATACATAGAGATGTTCAGGTGGACGGAGAGTATATGTGTGTACGTATACTTACTTATAAATGTTTTATTTACATTTCCATACTTTAAACTTTGTGTACTTGGGGGCTCGCTAGAGTTAGCATGCCAAAAATTTGATAGAAAATGTGAACTTGATGTTAATATGGCGCTAGCCGTTCTTCCACTTTTCTCCTTTGGTTGATGATGATGCTGAATGGGACTTGTTGGGGAGTTGGGTGCGGACATGCAAACCGATTGGGCAATCGGCTTTCTGCTAAGGCTAGCACGTTGTTCATCCGTGTTGCGCTCTTGAAATTGCTTATCCCACTCATTTTTCTTCCGTATACGCTCATCTAAATCCTTTTGCCAGGCAATGTGTGCATTATGTAAATTTATTGAATTTTCGTTGCCGCGGATATAGTCCAAGGCAACTTGAGCCCATGCATCCAAAGTTTGTACTGCCTTATTATTGCCCTCATCCAGGCCAGGTGGGTTGATTTCACCTTTTGCCTTAATATTACGTAAATTTCGATCATAATTGACAGACTTAAAGCGATTCTCATCCCCATCATGCAAATTCTTCTTGCGTGCCATACGCAAATAACGTTTTATCGTATCGCTAACGGATTGAGAGACATCTACATTGTCAATCGAGCTACGTCTATGGTTGGCAATATGCTTGCTTAACTGCGTTTTATCGGCTTCGTCATTTTCTGAATTATTATTATAACTAATTTCGTTCAACATTTGCTCATATTGTTCCGCAATTAATTTTAATTCAGATAATTGTACGAAATTCGTTTGCGTTCCACATGAATTCAACATGAGGAACTTATCACGTAATCCCCGATTAGGATTTTTATCAAGAATATTTGTTTCCAAATTCTTAGTACTTCCGCGCCTTAGTTCAAGTGTTTCCGGTGGCTTTTGTATGCGCTTAACTGCATTTGATGACTCAATCGATTTGGTCTTTTGAATCATCTGAACAGTATCATCCAAATACGACATATAATTTGAGGCGATGTCATAACAGCTGTTACTTGTATTGTTATACAGAAGGCTCGAATATGAGGTAGATCTGGCTAAATTAGCTTTGCTCGATGTTGGCTCAGTGGAATGTAAAATACGATGTAATTGCTGTTTCTTTAGCACATTATAAATCTTTTTTAATAAAGCCTTATCTTCAAGAATTGCTGGCGTTATATTATCAGTATACAGTTTTATGCTGCATAATGATGAGTTTTGTAAGAATTTCAAGCGTTCTAATAGCACTAATTCATAGTTCGGATTAGTCACATTCAAACCATTTGAATTTAAGATCTTATTCTCATAGTTGGGTCGCTGGGAACTCGGAGAAGATGTTTGGTCTGGACGGACGGTTTTTGTGCCCAGTAATGTTGTTGTCTTATACGAATCCCGAATTTTGAGATAGGATTGTAAAATTTCTATAGTTACATCTACATTCTCATTCAATTCTTGAGTTCGTTGATGGACTTGTGCAGCATAATTATTGCCTCGATGTTGGGAGAGTATCTTAAGACGCCGCTTGGAACAGCTTTTTGTGGCACCTGGAAACGAGGATTTCCGTCGCCACAATATAAATCGAGGCTCCGACGCACAGACACGCTGGAATTGCTCCTCTATATGGGATATACTATCTACGCCATGGATTGTCTTGCCCTCTGGCAACAATTTGCGACCAGCATCGGTCATATATCGCCAAGTTTTTCGTGTCAATAGCCAACGTTCGCGTTTTTTATCCTTCTCTTTCGACTGGAATCGTCGACGTCCAGTCGACACAACCGTTGATGTCGGATGTTGATTAACATTTGCGTGGCGCCCACTTTCTTCGACTTGTTGCAATTCATCAATCACACTATCTAACGGACCCGATTTTTTCTTTATGACTGTCACAGGCTGGCGCAAATTACTGTTCGATGCATTTTGCATTTTTGGTTTTCTTATTATATCCAGTTCTTGTGCAGTTGCCATCTAAAACAAAAATATAATCGTCAATACTTTGGACATCGATTCGTTATTCGGCATTTCAATTCTATATTCTATAACAATAATATCCATTTACTTTTCAGCTACAGTCCTTCAAGATAGACGTATATAAAATGAATTATGAAATATATATTTGAACGAGCATTACGCAGTCGCTTGCACCCGACTCTTGCGTTGAGCACAAAGTGTTTTCCTGAACTTATCTACTTTCAAGTATTAAGTTGCAAATTGATTATTTATTACTTGTTAACGGTAGTATTTTGTATTTAAATATCAATGACTTGATTATTATCACTGATACTAAAATACTAAATACGAACTTGATATAAGAACATTTAAAATATTACATTGATATTTTTGTTAGCTTAAGTTTTTGTTTTAAGACTCCAAATTGAACATAGGGTTTTTAGGTAACTGGCCTATATTAAAATATTATAGTAAATATCAAATATGTATTTATTTACCTTTTTTAAAGCGAAAATTTATAATATTAAAATTAGTTAATCAAATTGATCGTCTTTTTCATTCATTATAATAAATACCAAAAGATCACTGTTCTTTTCATAATTGTTCTTATTTGTTAAACCACTAAATAATTTAATTTATTTAAAATTTACTGACTAACATAAAACTCTACACTTTAGTCTTTCTGCTAATACCACACAGAAAATTTAAAAAATGGAAACTACTTTTTTATTTCCCAATTTTGTTTTGGTAACTATTTTCTTTTATGACTTAAACTTTTTTCGTGTTTTTATTTCACGTACTCTCTTATTTTTGAATTATATTTTGTTTTAGCTGTTGAGTATTTAGCAAAAGGTAAAATATGCCTTAAGTATATTAATACTAGCAATTTAAATGATCTACAAGTACAACACTCACACACATACTTGACAAATATATATTTACTTACAGATCTTTTGTATTTACTTATTTCTTTTTGAAGTATTGCAGATCCAAAAAAAAATTATTTCAAAGGAGTCTTAATATTGTGTTGTCTGTTTTCACACTTGTTAGACTTCACTAAACTCGTTCTGACATGGGGCAAAAGGTTAATAGATATTAACTTTTGATAGACCCCATGTACATACATGTATATGTATGTTTTACATAGGCACACACATTAAAAATACGTAATTTCACTTCAACTTATTTATCCAATACATATACATATGTATTATATATACATATTTATTTATTAATAATACTCACAATATAATTATTAATTTATATATATATATATATATATATACACACCCACACACATACATACATATATACATATGTATATATAAATATATAAATACACATATATTTATATAGAAGATCAACTTTATTTTTATCTAAATTTTAGATATGATAAATCTGTCTTTATGTGTACATATATAGAAGATATACGTATGTTAACATATATATATATATATATATATATATATATATATATATATATATATATATAAATATATATATATGTAAATATATATATTTATTTATTTTTTTCTAATTATGCAAAAATCACATCGATTTTAGACTGTTCAACAAACTCAAGTCTCGAGAATAACGTCAAATATTTTTGAGAGCATGCATAAAAAGATGGAATATATAAAAAATCAGTTTATTCTTGGGAAAATATCGCTGTGTATATGTATACAAATGTTTATAAATATATATACGCACAGGCGTTCCCTCTCTCTCGCTCTCTCTCTCTCTCTCTCTCTCTCTCTCTCTCTCTCTCTCTCTCTCTCTATATATATATATTTATATATATACATATATATATATATATATATATATATATATATATATATATATATATATATGTATATATATATATATATATATAAATATATATATATATATATATATGTGTGTGTGTATATATAAATATATATAATAAAAACTTAAATACTCGCGCTCTCAATCTGCGTTATGTGTGTATAGAAACATTAATATACATTTTCTTTTATATACATATATAAATTATATTTATAATATAAATTATATACTTTATATACACTATATATATTATATACATATACTTAAAATTATATAACAATATAATTATTATTATACATATACACAAGCGAATATATCCAGTTCTCTGCTTTTCTTGTATATTGAAACGTTACTAAAAATTGGTAAACAAGGTATAATGTTGCTTATACCCTGAGGCAATTGGAATTGGGAATACAAGGTATATCGGTTTTGTAATAATATACGTAACAGGCAGACGTGGCGTTGCAGACACCATAAAGTATATATATTTTTGATCAGTCAATCTAGTCATGTCTGTGTGTTCGTCTGTCTGTCTGAGGTTTGTCCACCATTATTTTTCCCTGAATTTCATTAAGAAACCCCATTTATAACATAGTAAAATCCAAGAAATACTGAAGCTCTATGTCAACTGCGTAGTAAGCAGAGCGCGTGCTTATGTGTGTGCTAGGTTACTTGCAAGGTACGTGTAAAAGAATCGTTGTCTGATTCGCAGGGTTCAGGGTATCTATTACTAGAGCACTCTTATTTGTTTTTTTAAACTCTATATAACAGCCATACATACATACATATGTAAATTGCATATGTAAATTGTCTTACTTTAATCAATCTATGGAGACATGACAATTTGTCTGGCTAATCTCATGAGCTACAAAAGCTAGCAATTTAAAGTGCGAAATCAGAGTATAATGGTTTTGTTAAAACGTACGTTACAGGCAGAAGGGGCATGGCAGATCCCATAAAATATTCTTAATTAGGACGACAAGTCGATTGAGTCCTATACGTCCCTCTGTCCTTATGTATGAATGCGTCGATTTCAGCATCTGTAAGATGGGTTGTGTATAGCACATAGCACATATCATGCTTGTTTAAATTCATCGACAAATATTCCAGTTTTATTGTTATCGGTTAAAAACATGATCGAAATGCAGTTGCTAATTTATATGATCTAGGTCCTCCATTTTTGTATTTTGTATTTAGTTATATCATTATATGTTGGACACCGGCTTAAAAGTTTTCATTTTTATAAATCTCTAATAGAATATGTAGATTATATGCTGAAAATTTTATTAATAATCCATTAAGTAAGCCAGGAGTAATTAAACAAAACGCTTGGCCAATTTGCAAAAGCACGTGGCAAGCAGAGCCAAGCATACGCTTTTTTCCTATTCGCGCGCATACATCCATTCGAATGAATATATATTTCTATTCGAAGAATCGAAATTGCGATTGGATTATGCTTGAATTGTCAGCTGACACTTTAGTTGAAATTTGCAACCTATTTCGAAAGCAGTGCAGTGACGGTGTTGGTAGGGTTGGTGCGCGTTGCGTAGGCAATCTTGGTTCGAGCCATGGTGTATTGTCGTCGTTTTTTTTTAATACTCCATACAAACTATTGAAAATATTAAAATACGCAGATAGGACTGGGATCTGGGTAACTTTTATTTATTTCATGAATACACCATTACTGATAAGGAACTAAACAGGCTTACTCTATACAATGTTGATTGTACCCAAATTTAAAAAAACAGCTAGAGTCCAAAAATTTGAGTGTTAAATTACGATAGCTACATTTTAGATTGGCCAAAAAACATTATTTTTTATAGACAATATTGCCAAATTCCAGTTATCGATTTCCTACTCAAATGGACTTGTAAATTATAATGGTGCGCCCATCCGGACATGTCAAATCCCAAAATACTGATTGTTTTCAGATTGCACATATTTCGAAACAATTGCAGTACAAAGTCAATAAATTTGATTTTCATTTCTTTCATTTTATTTATTTTTAATTGTTTACAATTGATTATATATATTTATATATATATATATATATATAATTATGGTATATATGTTAGGTATTGGTATATTTACTAATAAAGTAACAGATAGCACTCTTTTTTAGATTTAGGTTCGTATGAATAACTCAATACTTATATAATTGATAATTGGTTGGTATATATATATATATTCATACACAACATATATGTATGTATGTGTGAGTGGAACTAATCAGCATTAGCAATAAACTATATATTCACAGCCAATTTGTCGACGTATAATAAATATATTTAATTTTGCCTTTAGCTTACGATTGTTATTATTACATATATTTATTTATTTTCGTACTTAGTACAAATATTACTTAAATTAAAAAATATATATACACACATAGACCACATATTGCAGTTCTTACACTCAGACGCATGTTGGGCGGGGCACAAAAAGTTATAAAATGCCAACGCAATTGACGAATATATCTTAAAATTTAAGATGCAAATATGAAGCTATTTAGAATTTTGCTCACACCTTGTGTACATGTTTAGACATTTTCTCATCAATTTTGCAGGCTCGATATCTCTTATTTAATTGTCACCTAACAACATGCCCGATGGCTAGTAAATATATAGTGAGAGAGAGCGGCGCTCTCTAACAATTTAACAGCAATTACATTTTTTCATATACAGACTGTCTATATACAAAGCAGGCTTAAGTTTGTTTGTTAAAACCTTTGTCATATTTTTAATTAACAAATCATTTGTATTATATGCATACATATATATAACACGAACAGTCCTGTTTGCATTTCTATAAATTGTGTCAGATGGTGTATATATTTATTTATATATAAAATAAAAATATGTAAAATTATAACTTATAATAAATAAAGTCATTTAGAGTTATACAAAAATAGAAAATACAACCAATAACAGAATAGTAGTAACCGAAAGTTCAACTATACTTATCCAAACGCTGTGCTGGTGCTGATTCTGATTATAAGTTATGTAGGGAGAGAGATAGAAAAAACTAACTGTAAAGCAACTCAAGTATAAACGCACACATTTTTTATTTAAAATTACGATGTGAAACGGCTTTCACAGCTGTATTTTGATTTCAGATTCAGGGTCAGCATTCAAAAACATTTGGAACGACCTTCAGTATAGTTTGAATTCGGAATTAATTAATATTATTCAACTTCTTTCTATGCCATACATAATTTGTTGTAAATTTTTTTTTTTTGTCACAATTGTTACTAAATCCTAAATATTGTCGCAATATATATGTCCATTTTATATGAACAGAAGGATCATTTAATATGTTCAATACATTGAATAATATTGTATATATAAATATATATATAATATATGTGTGTAATCGTACATGCCTTTACATTTTTATAATTGTTAAATAAAGTTTTTATCATCTTTAAAATCTTTCAAATACATATATATTTTTATAGCAATTTATTGTATTAAGAAGTAGCTAATAAAAACTTGATGGGGTCTTCATAATTTTTACATACATTACGTACTTTACTTTCTATAGTTATTTATAATGAAACGTATGTTTACTTTTTGTCAAGCATTTATAATTTTGTTAAATAAACAAGTGTTTTTACCCAAATTATTAACATCATTTCGAATAAATCTGTGTTCAGCTGTTTTCTATTACTTTTATCTTGAGTTTCTCCTGGAAAGTTTTGGTTTACAAAAAAATTACCATTTCGATTAAATAATTTAAATAATTTAATAATATATAATATATAATAATAAATAATTTAAATATTAGAAACTATATCCGAAAATTGGTTATGTGCATACATATATATATATATATATATATATATATATATATATATATATATATATATATATTTCTATGTATGCACATAAAAAAGTTTCGGATATAATTTGTAATATTTATAATATTCAATCGAAATGGTAATTATATATATATATATATATTATATATTTTCAGTCATTTAAAATTTAGAGAACTTTTTGCTCCCAAAAACCACGTTTTAGTAGGTCAATGTACATATTATGTATTATAAATAATGAATATATATCCTTTTATATGTTTATTTATATGTATTCAACGCTTAGACCATCGATGAACACATACCAACAACATATACGAAACAAAAAATGAAATAATACTTGATATATATATATATATTATCAAATTTTTTACGGCTGAGCCTTTCATTTGCCTTTTATCTTTCTATGATCTCTTTGATGCATATGTACAATGTATTAAATTTAATTTAAATAAATTTAAAATTACTAAATACATATTATCAGTTATCAGTTATCAGTTATCAGTTACAGCTTGCCCAAAGCCTAGATTCACATTATTCTGTTGGTATTTCATTATACATAATCACGATTTGAATTTGTTGAGTATTCATCGGTAAAACGACCCGTTGCTGAAATATAAAAGATTTCAAATTTATGTATGTAATTTAATTGTAATTTTTCAAACAATTAGTGTCTTCGAAAACAGTTTATTCAAAATTTGTACATAGGTGTCAACAGTTGATCCGTAAGGTTTAAATTTTTCCAATTACTAGCCACAGCCTCAGAAAGAATGCTCAAACATGATCACATGACAAAAATAAAAGTTATGAATTCAATAACCTATAGGTTATCTCACAAGCATAACTCTAATCAATAACATTGGAGTCTATTAGTTAGGAGTGTACAAATAGGAGATACGATGATACCTGAACTTCGCGCAGTGGTGCAATTGCAGTTATTCTGCGTTTATTTCAAACATGCATAATACACACCGATGGGTGCGCATTTGCCAAATTATAAGGCGTGGGAAAATATTCAAAATCTGTGTCCACATCCCAGGTTTCTACACAGTGTAGCTTTTATGGCAATGATGGATTATTATCGATAATATGGAGATGGGATGAATTTATATGGACGGATAGATGGCGAGACTGACTTATCTCTCAATTGGTATAATTACAACAGTATATCCAATAATAATTTAAAATGAGCCATGAGTGCATGACAAATATGAACCTTCCAATATCTGTAGGCTCATTTAAGATTGTCAGGTTCGGTTAGGATTTTAAATAAGTAAGCGGGTTCAAATCTTGCATTCACAATTTTGTATACATTGAACCCATTGAAGATCAGGGTATAATAGTTTTGTTAAAACGTATGTATGTATGAACTAGAGATTTGCATTTTTTTGGAAGGTTCTTTTAAATAAATTATATTCATTTCCCTTTTTTTTGTTATCGATTAAAAACATGATTGAAAATAACTTTTTTTAATTTCAGTTTTAAATATTGCCAATATGTGAAAGAGTTCACATTTTTACATTTATATTTACAACTCAAGAGCGTGCATTCTTTTCTATTCGAAGAATCGAAAGTGCGATTGAATTGTGCTTGTATTGTCAGCTGCTAGTTCAGTTAAGATTTGAAACTTCTCGCTCAAGGAGTGCAGTCGAAATTTTGGGCTCATGGTCAGGCAGAGAGGGGACGTTGTTATACCCTGATCCCATTGAAAATGGGATTTTGGATACCGGTTCCAAATTTCTCCAAATTCTTAAAATTTAAGTTCAGTGGGTCATTATGCGAAGGCATTAGCATTTCTACCAAGCCATATGTAGATCAAAAGCTGAAAATGTCATTAATATCCATTAAGTAAAACAGAAGCTGTTGAACAAAACATTATCCAATTTGCAAAAGCACATATCAGCAGCGCCAAGCGCACGCATTTTCCCTATGCATGTGCAAACATGCATTCAAATGTGTGTATTCTTTTTTATTCGAAGAATCGAAATTGCGATTGAATTGTGCTGAATTATTAGCTGCTACTTAAGTTCAAATTTGCAAATAATTTTTCAAGCTGTGCAGGGGTTGTGTTAGTAGAGTCCGCGGTCGAAAGAGGTTAGTCCCTGGGTTCGAGCCTAGCGGCAATGGGACATTTTTTATAGTTTTATTTCTTAATTATAAAGTGGCGGAGTTGGTAGAGTTGATGCGCGTTGTGTAGAAATTGTGGATTCGAATCTTGGTGTCGTAATGTCGATTTTTATTTGTTTTTTTTTTTAACTCTATACAAACTACGGAAAATATTTAAAAAGGCAGACAGGACTGGGATCAGGGCATCTAATAGTCGGGTACCCTGACTAGAGCTTTCTTGTTTTTATTTTTTTTAAATTGCGAAGTGGCGATTTTGGTAGAAATGATGTGCATTGCGTAGGCAATTTTGGTTCGTATCTTGTAATTTTCAATTTTTATTTGTTTAATAGTCGATATCTTTTTTGTTTTATATTAAAACTAAAATATAATACTTACAATCTTCCATTAATATAACCTGTGTATTTTCTATATTTGTACTAGCTACAGAGTGCGGAATTAAGTTGAACTCGTCTTCAGGAAGTCCATTATTCCATCGCGATCTGGCACTTGAACGATGTGCAGAGGTCACAGACATTGTTGGTGTTGAGTATAGGCTAAGATTTGTTGGGCTCATAACACCAGACATTGTCGAAATAGATCCGGCATAACCCAATAACTGCAAAAATAAAAATAGATAAATCTATATTGCTAATATTTAGTATATAGAACGCAAACATAAATATATATTTATGAAGTTTCCTTTTATTCATGAATCTTTTTATTATACCCGGATCCTATTGATGGGAAATCAGGGTACAATGGTTTTGTGCAAATGTATGTAACACGCGAAAGGAGGCGTGGCAGACCCCATAAAGTATATATATTCTTGATCAGGACGACAACCGAGTCGATTAAGCCCTGTCCGTCTGTCTGTCCGTCCGTTTGTCCGTCCGTGCGTCTGTATGTCTGTTCGTATGTGTGAGCGCGAAGATCTCAGCATCTATAAGAGAGACTTGAAATTTTGTTGTAGGTTCGTGTATAGCACGCGCATATCGGATTTGTTTCAAAAATTCGATAATTATTCGCATTTAAGCCAATAGAATGTGTAGAATATGTAATGCCAGTTTTTATTGGTTTTTATTTTTTAATACTCGATACAAACTACGGAAAATATTAAAAAACGCAGATGGGACTGTAATCAGGGTATCACCTAGTCTGACACCCCGACTAGAGTTTTGTTACTAATTATGAAGTGGCGATGTTAGTAGAGTTGATGTGCGTTGCGTAGAAATTATGGGTTCAAATCGTGGTGTCGTAATGTCGATTTTTATTTGTTTTTTTTTTTTAATATTTGATACAAACTACGGAAAATATTAAAAAACGCGGAAAGGACTGTTTTATACTCGCTTATATACACGAAACGAAAAGAGTATATTCGATCTTAGCATTACCCACCTAGCTACCCGTTTTATATCTCTGCCTGGCTCCCACATATATATATAAAAAATTTTAAATTATATTTAACATTTTATATTATATATTTATATTTAACATTTTAAATATATACTCATGCATAAAAGCTTCGTAGGAGTGTATATAGTAGTATAAATATCTACCCCATAAACTAAAACGAATCTGCCTCAACTTAAGAATTAAAATTGATCTGTAAAATTTAGACAGTAAAAAATGGGTGCGTACGAGGGCTGCATGGATAGGAATTACAACAAACATTTAGCCTTGAATATAGCTTCAAATATTACTACTACTTACCGATGTCGATTGGGTATGGAAGTGATTGAAATACTCTCGACTATTCGCCGTGGGATACAGTGGCGTTGAGATTCGAGTTAGAGAGTTCGGGGCAATCGATGGCATTTTACATCGAAGAGCTTCGTTTGAATGAATATGGGGACTGGTCGCTGGGTGTGGCTGTGGCGACGATCTTGCCACCAAAGTTGTGCAATCTGCATTTGTATTTGGATCTGTCTCTGGATTAACTGGACTTTGATTGCCTGCATCCATAGAATTGACATTACGATTCTCATCCTCATTGGCCAACGTGCCACCCTTTGTTGATGAGGACGTGGCTGGCGACTGAGCCGTTGCCAAATCGGCGCTGGTACGAATTATGGCAACAGGTCGAGCCATCGGCGGCAACATCGGTGGCAACATTGTGCTATGATAATGAGTTGCTGATGGAGCTGCTGTTAATTTCGTCGTTCTCAGCTGTGGATGGATTTGATAGTGTGGTGAATGATGGCTGTGATGTGTGGACAACTGATGCGCATGTTGCGCATGCTGAAAGACTGGATTCTCCAAAGTTGCGGCTGCTGCAGTTGCTGCTGCTATGCTTGTGGAATGCCCTCCTCCTCCATCTTGACAAACGTATGTAACAAAATCGGTTATATCATGTGCATCGTTACCATGTTGGTGTTGCTGTTGTTGCTGCTGTTGCTGTTGCTGCTGTTGCTGCTGTTGCTGCTGTTGCTGTGCGGCGTGTTCATGTTCCTGATCTAATATCGCATGTGTCAAAAGTCGTGGACTACTATGTTGTGGATAATAGATCGTATTCACCGGACTAACAGACGACGTCAGAAACGTCGAGCAGTTGTGATGCAATATGGCTACACATACATTGAAAAGAGAGACAATAAATACAAGAAAATATTTAGATGAAAGGAGGTCTCTCGTTTAGCATTCAGAGGGATTTGCCAATTGCAAATCGGTGGGGGCTTATAAGTCGATTTGTTTATAAGGTCGAACAGTAGATTTCCATGAGAGACACAATGAGTGGCGCAGATATACACTTGCCATATTATATCGAATATATAATCAGAAATTCAAATTCTTTCAAAATAGTTACATCCAATAAATGGACGGTCCAGGTATTTTATAGGTCTATCTGCCAATCTGACTTGCTCATAAGCTGTGAAAGATATATAAATATCTATGAAGTTAGTTTCTTTTTGCTGAGTTCCGGTACACCCAGACTTAAGATTGACTAAACATAATAAAAGAAAATAAACTTTGCTCAGTTTTAGAGTTGGCTTAATTTTTCATGATCTCCGCCACAGATAGATTTATAGACCTGATTTCCTAGTTCTAATATATTCTATTCTAATATTCATAATGATGTACTTCTAGCCCTCGGCTAATTGATACTGGAGATTGAGAATCATACAACCATATAACTTACCTTCTGCTGATCGAATTGCCGGCATAGTTGCGATTGGCCGACTATTTAATGGGGTATACCGATTCAGGGATATTGAGGATTCAGTTGAAGCCGCTGTTGGCTCATCGTTGGAATTAATGTTATCAGCTGATCGTAGCACGACAGAGAAACTGCCAGTTAGGCAGTTTTCGGTGCCAGTTGTTGATGTACATGAAATTAATGGAGGCGAAGAACTTTGGTCGATTTTACATGCATCGCTCGAACCATTCGTCGTGTCAGCGCGCAACAATGGAGACGATGATAAATGCACGGTCCTCTGATTCTGATCGACAAAGTCAACTGCAAATCATTAACGATATTAATTATATATATATTTATATATATATATATATAAATATATATATATATATATATATATATGAACATTAATGCAATTCTGTTAGTACTCACTGCTGTAACCGCCAGGAATTGGGTTGGAGACAATAGCACCCGCCTGTGCCTGACTCTGTGAACTGGATATCGGTGAATCGGGGGTCAGTTGATATGTGTTACAGTCAAAAGCTGTTCCCAGATTCTCCCTTTTAATCATGTTTGTTTGCAAACTATTATCACTCACTTCATCCAGTATTGAATCTACAAAATTATATATATATTACATTAAATTGATATATATATATATATAAATATATGTGTATAACAATAAGATTTTTTACTAATGGTTTGAAGTTGACTTTTATGTTATAATTTTTGCAAGCAAAAAAAAAACGAAAAATATGTATTTTGTGATATTTTCGCTTTGAATATTGAATTTTTTTGAGTGTTGTTCGAATATACGGATACTTTACCCTTGGATAGTGTCCAGAGCTCCTGTGATGAGAAAACTCCGGTGGCCAAGATAATATCGTTGCATACAACACCATTGTATGGATTGTGCCGAAGACCTTTTGTTTTTGCATCAATATCATTGTCATCTTTTCGGTCAGCTGGTATATTATTGTTTCGAATTTGATTACAAATGGCAACTTGGGCCGATCGACTGGTAAGCACCGAAGTGGAGATCGTACTTATCGATGAGTTATGCGTATTGATGAAATTCGCTAAATACAAGTCCAACTCTCTGACGGAGACGTTTATGTGATACGGATTGACACAGAGACCGGGATGAAGGCATTCGGGATTTTTTTCCAAGCGTTCGCCGTCTGTACTCTCCAATGGTATGGCCTTAAAGAGTATAACCATAACGAGATCAAGACGCCAGACTTTGTCAGCTTGTCTCAGGCAATCGATTCGTCGCATTTTTCCTTTTTGATCGGGATTCGATAGGACACAAATCGATTTACGTTTCCCAATTATCGATTGAACAAAATCTTCTCGACTCTCTTGTGTTATATCCTTTCGTAATTTACCCAAAAGTCGTGACGCCCATTTCTGTTTCACCTCTGTTTTCTCATTCTGTAAATATATATATATATATATATATATATATATATATATATATATATATATATATATATATATATATATATATATATATGTGTATTTATTTATATAGATTTATATAGATATTTATATAAATTTTGCTTTATATGACAGGTGATGCGCTTACCTGTAGCTCGTCTTTGCAATGCCTTTCTTCTTCCAATGACATACGCTTCTCGTGTTTCTTGTAATACTTTCGTTTAGCAGCTTGCAAGTTAAACCAAGAGTACGAGAATGATTTGACGTATGGTAATAATGCCTCAATGAATGGGTGAAATTCATCCTACACATAGAAAAGATACGTACAAATAGATTTTATATACATTTTAATATATTTACTTCAATTTAACAACAATTTTCAAAGTTTGCACAAATTTACGAGTGATTAGGTATTTTCTTCTACATACGTATACAATGAAAATGAAACCGTATAAAACAGCTATAAAGCTGTTTTCAAACTAATTTTTAACATTTATTGAAAAACATTTTTATAATATATAAAATGAAAATATATCTTCACATTTTTATAATTATTATAAAAATTAATTCAATAATTAATGAAATAATCCTTTTATAAATATTAAATAATATACAAATTATTCGTTTACAGATTGTGATGACAACTCTGCTAAAATTATACACTTGATATATCTACGACCATTGAGACCTTGCATAACGGATAAACTGTATCTTCGACAGTCTTTGAACTCACTAGAGTTTCTTTCTCTCGTGCTCTATTATTTAACATTTAAAACAATTTTTAAATCGGAAAGCAACTGAGTTAGTATTGACCCCTCTCAAAATTGATATACATATTTAAAATGTCGATGTCGAAAATGTCGTCAAATGTAGGAGTTTCTCAAGCAATTATTATGTAATCGGTTCTTCTGAGTTTTAAGGATTATGAAAAGAATTATTTGAAAAAACATAGTTAATATAAGTATGTACTATGTAAACATAGTTAATATAAGTATATGTATGAATCAATTTAAATAAATATTAATTATTGCAATAAGTTGAGATATTATTTTTCTTTGTTGTAATATTTTTGGAAGTAAATGCATTTAAAAAATATTAGATATTGAAAAATTAAAATAAAAATATGTAAATAACTTTTTTAAATTTTTATTTTATATTGGTTACTAATTTTGAAAGTAAACAACTTTTATTTATCTTAATATTTAAATGAAAATTGTACTATTTCATTTATATATTTTTTATAATATATGTAATACAAACTTAATTACTTATTCAATATTTAATATTTAATTATAAATAGTTCATTTAATTTACAATTTTCTAAAAAAAAAATAGTAGCAAGTTTTCTGTTTTTGATAAGGTAATTTTGCTTGTTCGTTTGTACGGTTTCACTTTCGACTACAAATTAATTACGAGAGGTGAAAACTTTCGTGTGCTGCACTGGATTTTTACGTATAGTGGCTCACATGAAAACATTTAAAACAGACACCAAAACAATTTTGAAACGATTATTGTTTTTTTTTTTTAAATAGTATTATCAAGCATTCGTATATATAGAAGAAATGAGATTAAAAGAATGATACAAATTTATATATACATAAATATATGAACTTGCTGTTTTTGTTTATCATATTATTTAATTATGGAGATGATGTAAAAAAAACTCACAAAACCATCACATCATTAATTATATATATATATATATATATATATATATATATATATATATATATATATATATATATGTGAGAAAATGGTAGAACTTATCATGCTGTGTATCACATTGTTTTGTGAGTTTTTTACATAAGTCGCAATAATTTATATCTCCAGAATCAACTAATATAATAGACAACTAAAAGAGAAGTTCAATCTTCAAAGAGATTCGATCCATTACTTTTTTAGCGACATCATGACCAATCCAACATGCATTAATATCGTTGAAAATGCTTAACTAAAGTAGACTGGCAGCTGATAATTCATAATTTGATTTAGGACCTGAAGCTCGATAGTGATCTAAGTCAGTGTAATAGCAACGGGAAAAGTGATCGAATATTTGAATACAACTTGATCTGCGCATGCTATAGGGAGAGCATCAGGCTAGGCTATATCTATTTTTCTGTTAATACTGGCCAAGGATAAATATATTTTGTGAGTCGTCCTTCTGCATGTTAGTCATTAATCTCAGAATTCCCATTTTAATGGCTGCTGGAATTCTTTTTTTAAATATATTATTAAAACTTGAGGATAAAAATTTAAATATATCCAATGATTGCTTAAAAGTGTGATTATATGAGTTTTTAAATACTTAATACAAAATAAAAGTAACACACAGATACACATTCATTGAAAATGCATTTAATCTAAATATACATAATATATATATTATATACATAATATATATATATACATATATAAATATAAACATATATAACAAGTGTTGGACGCTTTTCTTGACTTGCAATGATGGCAGCAAAGAATAAAGTCGGAAAACCCTGATAAAACACTAGCAATCACTGCGATCTTGTATGTAGAAAATGTTAAAAGATCTTAAGGAAATTTTCTCGTCTGAATGAATGTGAGAATACTTATTTTTTCAGGTACTTTTGTCCTCTAAAAATATCTAAAAATCTGTAGGAATCCGTGATTGAACTGAACTAAAAAATCGAATTCTATATATAGAGTATTAGAGTCCGAGCATCCAATTTGTAGGACGGAACCTCGTGAAGAAAAATAGAGTCTCTTATCGGTATTAAAAAATTAGGGACGTGCCCAATAACATCGATAGATGTGTCCTCCATACGGTTTATAAGTAAATATACATAAACAGAATTATTTAAGATCTTTCGCTTTTGAAACTCACAATAGCATATGGACGAACAGACGAACAGCCGGACTGACGGATATTGCTTGTCCTCCTGTTAAACTAAGGACTATATTAATACAACGATTCCAATCAAAAGTAACGTCCTTTAAAATCGAAACTTCGAAAGCAGATAAGTTTCAATTTTGAAAGTATGCCAAGTATGGAAGGAAACATATATGCCAAAGAAAAAACACGAACTTGCACAGTAAGAAGTTAAATGTGAGAGGTGAGAGGAGACAAACAAGATGCACTCAATTTATATATATATATATATATATATATATATTTATATATATATATATATATATATATATATATATATATATATATATATATATATATATATATACACATATATATATATATGTATGCATATCAACATAGAGACATACACCAAGAATTTTATTTGAAAAAAAAAACTCAATGTATCAATAAAAATTTCTTTAGTTACATTTTGAAATATTTTTGATTAATGGTGTAACATGGAAATCGCATTTATTATTTTTTCCTACAAATCCAGACCATTTCTTTTATACCTAACAATTAGAATTAATTGATTTGATTAGTTGCATTGTAAACATATACTCAAGTTATAATGATTATTAAACATATATATTTATGTTTGTCAAAATCTGTCAAAATTTAAATATATTTGGAAGCCCTAAACGTTGGCTTTGACAATTATATTTGTATATGCTATAACAGGCTATACCTAAAACTCTGCACTAATTTAAATTGTCGTTTTTGGTTCGGATGAAGGGCTGAGTCAAGCGTAAGTCTGCCTCTCTAGGACCAAAAAAATTTTGTGAACTTTGGGGTCAAAATTATAAAAACAAACAAAACTATGTAGACATGAAATGAATGCAAAGTTTGAAGACTCTAGCTCCAAAGATATATGACTTAACGACAACTGAAAAAGACACTTGATTTCCACATGCTATAGGGACACCAAGGATTCTGAAATCGACTCACTCAAACTTACGGACAGAAGGACTTACAGACAAATGGACACTGCTAAATCGATTCACCTGTTGGTGCTAATCATGAATATATATGTACACTTTATGGTGTCTGACGCACATCCTTCTGTCTGTTGCATACATTTCTACAGAACGCCTTTACGTGTACAATAAGTTCATATTCAATTAGTTTGAAAAAACAGTAATTTTGAATGTCGAGCATTATTTGTAGCAACGATCTAATAGCTTAAAACACCAATATTTACTATATATTCTTTTTTTGCTCAGCGCATTTTGGCCTAACCAAACCAATTGGACTAGCAATTGATCATGAAATATTGGCTACTTAATGTTAGGACAACATTTTGATTCCTCTCTACTCTTATTATCCTATACAAGCATTAAGGTTGTCTGCTCAAAAAAAAACATTGACTATTGAATCTTCATCTTCATACTAAATTAAGTAATTCACTGTTTTGTTTGGTTGTCATTCTATTTAGTGCAGCGATTTAGATATAGCCCGAAATGTATAGATCTTATATTAATAGTTAGTTTACCTGACCGGTCGATGATGTTTGTAAATAAGAAGATACGTCCGTCTCGATCATACAGCTTCTTAGTGTTTCTGGTATAAACATACCTTGCGCGCTTTATATATCATTGAATGTCCTATGAGCCCGATTTTAACAACAAGAATCTATCGACAAAATAACATGCTATATTTATTATTGTACACCTTTATTTTTATAGTTTACCTGTATATTTTGGGCATGCTATTTGTTCAAATTGCTTGTATTGCAGTTGTCTTTTTTAAGCTAATTCCATTATTTCGTATCGTGGTTTTGTTTTATAGGTGTGCTATTCATTTTTAGAGCCGACATTTCTGAAAGGTCATTTGCAATCTTAATATATATATATATATATATATATTTAAATATATATATATATATATAAATATATATATATATATATATATATTTAAATATATATATATATATATATAAATATATATATATATACATATATATATATACATAAATATATATATATATACATATATATATATATATATACATATATTCCATTTATTGCATCACTTTTATTCTATGATTTAAGGAATTTTAATATATTTAAATTCAAATTCAAATTGGTATCTTTGCATTACACAATTATTACACAATACACAGACGTAACCATACATATATTTGTAGACATGTAATAAACGTTTGCTCTTGTAATGTTTTGATACAGTCCATGGAAATAATTTTAGAACATGTTCCAGGCATATCCAGTGAATTGCATTTCGACTTGTAGGAAGTCATACGTATGTGTGTACCTACAAACACACACATATACAAATGTACCTACATAGCGTGTACATGTACCTACACTAACATATGGCCCTACATATGCGCACACATAAATACATACATACATTCACATATACATAGATATATATGTACCTACACACACATAATATTCAAGCACAAAACTATGTGAGGTGCGTTGTGCCATACGGGTACCTTTCGACTAAACTTAAGCTGAATTGACTCTAGCCAGCTGGTCGAGTCAATAGCAAAAATAGCTCTTTTCTCTCTCTTTTCTCTTCGGCTTTTCATATGAATACATATGTTTGTTGTATGTGTGTATATATGTATTTGTGTATGTATGTTTGTTTGTATATATGCAAGTGTGTGTGTATGTACGGTTAGTGCGCTTAGATGGCGCGTCAAATCATTCTAAAAAATAGGAAAAATTTCTCCACTCTGATAAATAGCGTAATGCCAGACATGCGTTTGGTGAGGCCAGCGACATGTGCAGATATTAAAATTCTTAAAGCGCATGGCCCAAGAGAACTACGAAATAGTACTCTCCAAGAATGCACCTCCTTTCCTCTCTCTCATTCTCTCTCTCTTTTGCTGTCATTCCCTCTCACTTTCTGTATGTTTTGGTTCCTTTCTTTCTCGCTACGAATTGATATTGTAATAAAACTCCCCCGGTTTTAACAACTTAGGTCGAATTATTATGACTAACGGGTATCCTTTTCGTAAATATTTATTAGATATACAACGATTTTGTCAGTAAGTCTTATCTTGTTCAAAAGAATATTCGGTTCAAACGAATCATAAAAATCAGTATTTTCTTTAATACAACCAAGCTATATACTATATATATAACTATAAATATATAAAATAATTATAATCGATAATGGATGTATATCCCATATCGATTATAAATATTTTTATTAATTATTAAAGTATTTTAATACAGAAGGCCCTCACAATTGCTTAAGTTTATATCCTTATAAATCTTATAATTTATTTAAAACTTTTTGTACATCGATATTTTAAGCTTAAGAGCTGTAAGACAAAACTGAAAATTAATATAGAATTCAATGATTAGTTTAAAAACGGAAAGCATATAAATAGAATACGAAATCCCCATAAAAGCATAAGAAACTGATTTCGATAATCGATAGTTTTGCCTTAGTTTTGCCTTTGTTAATATATATATTTATATAATATAGTTTACAAGATTTTCAGGGCCTAATGATATTTAGATAGTTCTGAAAATTATAATTATAAGTTATATCAAAATAAAATGAAGTTAGGGAAAAATATAATTTGAAATCGGAAATGTAGAAATAAAACTTACCAATTGTTTAACTTTTAGTCAGACTTATATAGGAATTAGAAGATGACCTGCGCAAAAGAGCTACTAACTGAGCTTTCCCAAGCACAGTTACAACTCTTATAATACATATGTAGTATGTATATATATACGAGCTACATGTAAGTTTTATATTCCATAATAATAATTTGGGCATGTTCAGTTAGTATATGTATAATTGAACTTATTAAAGGTTAATGCAAAATTTTGGTTAACTCGACCGTTTCTTTCATATTCAGTTATCTTTATGTAATATATACATATATATATATATATATATATATATATATATATATGTGTGTGTGTACACATTCATTTTCCAATATCAAGCTCTGACTCTCCATAGAGATGGGTGAGCTTTTCAGTTTTCGGCTGTTTTCCTTTTACCAGTTCGTCGGTTACTGTTATCGTCATCCCCTGCTGCTTAGTCACATTTACTTATACATACATAAGTTGCCGAAGTAAAAGTGTTTTAAAAAGGCCACAAAAAATTAAAAAAAATTGTTTAAAAAATATATGTAATGTGAAAAAGAGTTTAAATTTTATTTATATATATATATATATAAATATATAAGGAAAAAAACCGAAAGCAAAATCTATATTCTTTCCAATTTTGTGCCTAAAAAATATATACAACAAATTTCACATTAGCTAATGCGTCATAATACAGTTGTTGTTTGTCTTTAATTTTGTCTTTATATATATATATATATATATATATATATATATATATATATATATATATATATATATATATATATGTAAATTCATATATGAGAACATTTAAAAGGTAAGATCCGAAAGTTTTCTCTACATGTTAGCCATACATAAAAACTATTTTCCCTTTATCAGTGAGGTTCATTGTAGGACAAGCATATATAAATATTGAATTTGATTACATACACGCACAAACCCTTATACATATATATATATATATATATATATATATATATATATATATATATGTATATATACGTAAAGGAAGCCCCTTTACCAGCCATGTGTGTATATATGAAAGCGCGAATGCTTTTATGAACATATTTAGTAATTCGATTATGACATCCATATATATACATTTATATACATATCATATTTATCATGTATCATGTCTATATATTGTATTATGTATATATATTTTGTTGTTTGGCCATATTAATATAATATTTTAAATTAAATTAGAAATTATCAAAAAAGATTTCATTACATAAAAATTAAGTTCTATTGCAACAAATTTTGTTATTAGCTCAAGATTATATATACATAAATGATTTTATTTGTTTACACAGTTCAAACTTCCAACATATACTAAAGGCCTCCTATCATCAGATAGTGCCAAACATTACAAATGTGTATTAGGTAGTCGGTTAGACCCTACATGAATTTAATATCTATATAATTATTCATCGATTTTGAAAGTTTATTAAAATCTCAAAAATGATGTAATTCTAAATTTACGTACAGATATGGCGAGCATAATATTAATAGCTTGCCTAGCTATACTGGGCTTAATAATTGCGATAGCATTATTTTTGGCCGGTGGCTACTTGTGGTGGAGGCACAAAAGGTCACAACTGCAGTTTATAGAGCCGAATGAAGACGAGGAATCAAGTAGCTACAGCTTAAGGTAAGCTTATATGAATCTCTATATTCGTATATATGGAATAGATAGAAAGATTAAAATGAATTGAATTCATATCCATATCAATATCCCAATCGCCGCTTAGTACTTTGTGGTAGGTGCTCTTAACCCGATTCCTATCGGGTCTCATATCTGAGCTTACCCTCAAGAGACACCCTGATCCCAGTCCTATGTGCGTTTTTAATATTTTCTGTTTTTAATGCTTTGTATCGAATATTAAAATTAAAAAAAAAAAAACAAATAAAAACCAAAATTACGACACCGAAAGTCGAACTAACATTTTTAATTGTGAAGTGGAGGTGTTGGACGAGTTAATGCCCGTTGCGTAGGCAATGTTGGATCGAATCGTGATGTCGTAATGTCGGTTTTAATTTGTTTTTTTTTTAATACATATTCGATACAAACTATTCAAAATATTTAAAAATGGAAATATAACTGGGATCTGAACATCTCCTAGTCCGGGAAACCCACTTTAGCTTCTTACCTGTTAATATTCAATATTGTTAGATTGCTTACTTATCTTAACTTATCGGGCACGCCTCTCTCTGAATTTCACAAATAGCTATTTGTCAGAAACACACACTAATGATGCCCATTAAATTATTAATTAAATATGCCCATATTAAAAAATAATCAAATTTGATGTAGAGCTGCCCAGGACATTTTGGAATCTGGAAATCCGCCAAATAAGCCGCAAGTGCCCGTTGCCCAAGCGATTACGAATCCTCTACAAAATAACATTAATCGAAAATTGAATGGATTCTTAAATCTTCGAACGCCTCTCATTGGGTAGGTACAACCATTTACAGATATATCCGACTAAAAAAGTATATGTTAATATTCTCAAAAATAATATTAACATAGTAAGCAGAAGAAGGAAAAAATATAAAACACTGTAATTCAGTAAAATGAAATATTCAGTTGGAACTCAATCCAGTTACTTATTTCCTAGTAAGCCAATTAGGACTCAAATCGGATGTTATATATTGATTGTAATTGTTATATTTTATATTATAAAATATTATATACAACCATATTGCTATATAAAGACTAAAATTCATTACAGGAGCGGCTCAGCAGCAACACCAACAAAAAAATCAAATACTTCCACAGGTGCAAGTGCGAATGATGGTACAGCTAAGGATGCTGCGGTGTGTATCCATATAACATACATATAGTTCCTAAATTTATGTTACTAAAACTAATTAACTGAGATTAGTGTGTATTGTAATATGTAATATACCAAAATAAGTAAGAAAGCTCTAGTCGGGGTGCCCGACTAAGAGATACCCTGATTGCAGTCTTATCTGTGTTTTTTAATATTATCCGTAGTTTGTATCGAGTATTCAAAAAAAACAAATAAAACCCGACATTACACGACACCAAGATTCGAACCCACAATTTCTACGTAAGGCGCATCAACTCTAGCAAAAATGTCCCTTCGCCGCCAGGCTCGAACAACATCGCTACTGCACTGACTGTGAAAAGTGTTGCAAATACACGCATTTGAATGTATAGCATATCAATATGAGTGCGCTGACATCTGCTTTTGCCAATTGGTCAATTGGTTAATACTTAATGGATTTTAAAGAAATTTTCAGCAAGTGATCTACATATTCTATTGGCTTGGTAGAGATTCAAAAGCCTTCACATAATGGTCCGCTTTCCAACTAAACTTAAATGTTAAGAATTTGGGGAATTTTGGAGCAGGTATCCAATATCTCACAAAAATTAACATATACCTATATACATAACATATACCTATATACATAAAACTGAATACAACATTTGGAGGCTCTAGCTTTTAAGACGTACGAGATATAATAGTTATCGAATATATGAAACAAACTTGATATGCGCGTGCTAAACACAGACCTACTAAAAAAAATTTAAAAAAAACCCAGAGTTTAACTCACTATTTATTTGCATCGAAAGAGGACAGTCAAATAAGTGTATACAGTAGATTTGAAGTCTCTAACACTTATGGTATTCAGCATTTTTATCGATAAAGATAGACTTGTACTGCGCATCGTACACATGAGTATACATTTCCAATTTCAAGTCTCTAGCTTTTGTGGCTTACTTGATCGCTGCATTCATGCGATAGACAAAAAATATATCGATCCTCTATGGGGTCTGCCACGCTTCCTTCTGGCTGTTACATAAATTTACAGACAGCCATTATACCCCGAATTCCCATTTCCAATGGTTTCAGGGTATAAAAACCTATTTAACAAAGAATTTCCCATAGTAAAGCTCATACTGCAGCCCATATCTTTATCACCCATCGTAAGCGTTTATAATATCTTCAAGTGGAACTGTCTCGATTAGAGTATATATTTATTAATTTTGTAAAGTTGTTTTCTGGTTTTTTTGTTTGACTAGTCCAGTAAATTGACAAAATTTATATATAAGTATAAATGTGAAAGATATATTTATATTGAAAATATACATATAAGTATTTAATGTTTTTTTATAGAATAAGAATAATCGACTAAAAGTTCGCCTAACATTTTTTTTTCTTTTTAGAATAAAAGCATCTCAATGACCGATATGTATCTGGATAGTACGGATCCCAGTGAAAACGTCGGACAAATTCACTTTTCATTGGAATATGATTTTCAAAACACGACGCTAATATTAAAAGTGCTGCAGGGCAAAGAGCTGCCAGCAAAGGACTTAAGTGGAACATCCGATCCCTATGTACGAGTGACACTGTTGCCAGATAAAAAACATCGCCTCGAAACTAAAATAAAGAGAAGAACTCTGAATCCGCGCTGGAATGAAACATTCTATTTCGAAGGCTTTCCAATACAAAAGCTGCAATCACGTGTAAGTTGTAAATCGTCGCGAGATTTCGAAAACTTTGACAAATACAATATTAACATATTAACATTTTATTTAGGTACTTCATTTACATGTCTTCGATTATGATCGTTTCTCACGGGACGATTCAATTGGTGAAGTATTTTTGCCACTGTGTCAGGTAATATTAAATAATATATATATATATATATATATATATATATATATATATATATATATATATATATATATATATATATATATATATATATATATATATATATATATTATTTATTATTTATTATACATATATATGTATTTATATATATCTCACAGGTGGACTTTGCTGGCAAGCAATCATTTTGGAAGGCCTTGAAACCGCCAGCTAAGGATAAGTGCGGCGAACTTTTATCTTCACTATGCTATCATCCTTCGAATTCTATTTTAACGCTGACATTGATCAAAGCTAGGAATTTAAAAGCTAAAGATATCAATGGAAAGTCAGGTAAATAAAAAATGTTAAAAATATATATTTAAACAACTAAACTAAGATTCTCAAATTGGATAACTTGGAGTTGCTTGGAGCTCCCTGTGCAGAGTTGCTGTTTGAATCGTTCGAGGCTCCCATACACTCTCACAGACTCTCAGACAAATAAGAACGTTAGTGGTGAAAGTGCTCGACTACGAGATACCCTGAACAATGAACCCTTCTTTTGTAGACATACATACTCATAGACATACTCACACACGAATATACACACAAAGGCACATGCTTCGCCCACTAGAGTCATTCTGCAGCGCCTACCCTTGGGCTGTATTATTGAATTACTTTTGTTGTGGATGTACTTACTTAATGAAATTTTCAGAACGTAATTATGTCAACCAATCAGTTCAGTTGCTAAATTTGAAGTATATTTTTCTTGGAGGAATGGGAAGAGAGATATAAAGGCGAAAGTAGGAGTACCTGCTATTGCATATTCTGTATGTATATAGAAAAACAGACGCGCGCACACTTACTCAGAGACATAAGCAGACACAAATTTGTGCTTAACAATTGAAATACAGGTTTCGAACTGCCTCAATTGCTCAATCAACTATATTGGCTATAAAAAGTTAGCTTCTTCACACGAGCCAAGATAAATTAATTTCAATGGAAATCAAATAAGTTTTCGATCGGTAGAAAATAAACCTGATTTGCACGCTGTATGTAGATAAAACTGCCGAGTTGTGGGCGGATGAATTAAAAATATAAATTGATTTTAACAGATCCTTATGTGAAGGTTTGGCTTCAATTCGGCGACAAGCGTGTAGAAAAGAGAAAAACACCTATATTCACCTGTACGCTTAATCCAGTCTTTAACGAATCATTCAGCTTTAATGTGCCATGGGAAAAGATACGCGAATGCTCTTTGGATGTTATGGTCATGGACTTCGATAATATTGGGAGAAACGAGCTGATCGGCCGAATATTGCTAGCAGGTAAATGGAAATACTAACTTTCCATATTTAATAAATATATGTATACATAATCTTTAAACAGGTAAGAACGGTTCAGGTGCCTCAGAAACAAAGCATTGGCAAGATATGATCTCGAAGCCCAAACAAACTGTGGTACAATGGCATCGCTTAAAGCCTGAATAGATCCTGATCTGCGAACTACTGCAGTTTAGTAAAGGGCTATAATGAATGCCCTCAATATAATATAAATTTGATTATAAACTAAGATTTCAATGAAACATACATACGATATAGAGGCATTGAAATCGGAGCACACGAAAAACAAAAGCACATTGTATTAGGGTATAATCGACTGCATATACCCGTTCACGAATACAAAACTGTATACATTTTTGTTGGGACAAATTTGCCACAAATACAGGAAACTACAGGGATCAAGCGCGAAAACTTGGTCATCCTAGCTCATTGGCCTAATAGGATTAGATGACGCTGATCTATATACAAAATATGAAAGCAGTAATCATCCCGGAAAACTAGATAATCCTCGTTTATTCTCTCACCGATTTTTCCGATTTACCACCAACTATAGAGCTTGTGTAGAGCTAGTCTATATGCAAATACATATCTAAAATCCAATGCTTCAGCCTTAAATCGAACAGGAATTATAGAGAAACACTAAATGTATATAATAATTCCTTGATTTCCCCAGAAGCCATTATCCATTATCCTCCAAATTAACACCAAATACCGTATTCTTTTATTTCCGACTTCGTGAACGAGTATCAAAATGCTTAAGCTTTAGTCGGAATCTAAATTGAATCTGAATTGTAAAGTTGTAGCGAGAAGCCAGCTAAGGTGAACAAACAATTGAATTGTGCAAAAAAAGTTTAAAAGAAGAAATGTTTTTACTCATCTTTTTCTGGCAGCTAGATCAGCTTAATATTAGAATGATTTGTGCGTTATTTATATTTGATATAAAAGAAGTAAAAGTAAAAGAATTCAATTTAAAAATTTACTTAATTCTAAAAAAAAATTAATAAAATAAATAGCAAATAAATTGAACAAAAACTATATGAAGGAAGAGACACATAAAGCAAAAAAAAAAAATCACCTTATTATATGTATATAATAAAAAAGTTGTTTGTTATTAAATAGTTGTATATATATATATATATATATATATATATATATATATATATATATATATAGTATCGTAAATCGTATGACGACATTGTTACAAGTTACTTAAAATGCGAATTTTTGTTTCTTTTACAACTTGCTAAATTTAAATATATATATATATATATATAAATATATATATATGTATATATATATATATATATATTTATATATTTACATATATAACTATATGTATACATAAATTTATATAAAATAGTTTAAATCAAATAAAACAAAACAATTTAGTAAAATAGGCTGTAGGATAAAATAAACATATTTTTATTAGAAAATATTAGAAAATAAAACGAATATATAATAATATATGTATATATATATTTCTATACATATATTTATATATAGTAACTGTAAAGAAATTAGCCAACCATTGCCGGAACACGCCTCTACTGAGAGATGAAGTGCACAACCAAAAACAAAACCAAAATAAGAAGAAAACGAAAAAGAGGAAGAAAAATAAAAAATAATGATGGATTGACATTTAAGAGTTTAACAATAATTAAAAATATATAAAAGCAAACAACAAATAAAATTATAAATTGATGATGAAAGAGAAACTGAGTTTAAAAAACGAAAAAAATCGAAAATTCAACCCACCTTGAAATTACATATTTGTTATATACCTGTTAAAATATTATTAAAAATCAATTTATGATAAATTAAATTGCTGCAAATAAAGCATTTTTAACCTAGAATCTGTGATTGAAGTATCATTTGTTTTAGTCGGGTCTCAAATCTTACTCAAAATATTTAGCACACAATAGTTGCGCAAGTTGTTTTTTTATACCCTGATCCCATTGAAATTGAGAAATCAGGGTATAATGGTTGTAACATGCAGGAGGCGTATGTATAAATTATATCTTGTACGTCTCAAGAGCTAGTGCCTCCAAATTTAGTATTTAGTTTTATGCATATTTTATGCAAATTGGATTTTTGTTGGATTTTGGACGCCTGGTCCAAAATTCCCCAAAATCTTAAAATGGAAGTTCAGTTGGAAATAGCGCCAATAAGTGATTGCATTTCTACGAAACCTATAGAATATTTAGACAAATTCAAATGCGTGTATTCTTTTCTATTCAAAAAACATTTTAACATTTTTACCGGTGATAATGGGCTTCTTTGTTTTCTGTAAAGTTCGATGCCGCTATCTTAACTCAGATGTGTACATTCCCCTATATCGACCCTCTATGCACAGCATAGCTCAATTTAAGCCTGTACCGCCGTAGGCCTGTTAAGGCTGAAGTCCTAGAATACTGCATCCGTCAGCTCATGTGCAATCGATCGAAAAATTCCATTACATTTTGGTATAACCAATAGTATATCATTTACCAATCCAAAAAAAAAATGGTTGTGAAAAAAGGTGTTTTGTGATTTGTTTGTTTGTTCACCTTTAAAAACATTATATTTAAAACGGATTAATAATTCCTTTTTTAAGTTACAAATAGATTGATCATCTCTTAGAGATACAAATATAAACGATTAGGCAATTAGGTCTATAAAATTTTGCAAGATTACTTTTATACTTGGTTGGATTAAATTTTGTATTAAAATTGTTTTTTTTTATTTTGTTTGTTGTTTTCATTTGACATACAATTTTCAAAACATACAAAATGAGGCAACATGATTCGTTCCATTTCAGAGTGTGTGTTTGTGTGTGTGGAAGCGACTTTAAATATTTTTGTAGATGCTGCCAATATCCGCAACAATTATACTGCGTCCACAATGTAATATAACATTTTATAGTAAATAAATATTATATAACTATAAATTTCCTTCAGGTTAGCTTTTATTTTTATAGTACATTCATACACAGTAATTTACATGCATATATATATATATATATATATATATATATATATATATATATATATATATATATATATATATATATATATATATATATATATATATATATATATATATATATACTCCGTCCGTGTAAAATCGCGTAGTTTATATGCATTCATCCACATATTGTAATAGAATATATATTTTCTCTGGTTCCTCCGCCCGAACTTCACACTTCATTCTTATATATGAAAGTATATATTTCTCATTTTTCTGCAAAGTTTACTTTGTTTTGCTGTTTTATTAAATAGTGTTTTTGCTTTGCCCTAAAACTCGCTGTCTGTCAGTTTTACGAGTATATATATATTGATACATTAATTGGCTTCATCGTTGAATAAGTTGTTTAAAAATGGATTCACACTCTTCACAGCCACACCTGTATACGAAAACAAATAATTGTAAATGATTTAATTTAATTTCATTGATATAATAATTACCTTTGCCAGCTGAATGATCTTTTGAATCGCGCCATTTATAAAGCGACTCTTTGTTTATGACAAAGGTATCGTACAGTTCACCAAACAGTTCGCTTAACAGCCCTGAACAAAAAAATAAAAAGATTACATATATATTTTTGAAAATCTAAATGAAATTATCTTGTGTCACACCTCGAGGCTGCTCCAAGCTATGAACAAACAGCTGTACTCCGTAAAGGCACTCGAGCTGAAGATCTTCATTGGTACCAATATAACACTGAAAAACTGGTATGCAAAATTTTTGAAAGACTTCCGGCTCAAGCTTATAGCTATTATCCTTGTAAACAATTGCAAATTTGCTTAAAGTTTCTGCCAATCCTCTAATAAACAGCTTATCGGCCACAACAATATTGCCCTGTATTTTATTTCAATCAAAGTTAAAAAGAAAAACAAGTAAGAATGTTGAAGTCGGACGTGCTCGTTCAGCAAGCATGTGTTCGTGAACTATTATGCGAATTTGGAAACTTACATTGCAATAATCAATAATGCAATCGGCAGCGGAGCCTTCTTTAAGCAACTGCTCAATATGATCTATCACATTTTTGACGTGTGTTTCGTGGGAATCGCGTTCATCAATCACTGGCATCTTCTTTACATTTTCCACATATTCCAATTTCTATATAAGTTATTAGAAATTGATCATTTGTAACGCACAGACATTTGTCTTCTATAAAAGAAGCCCAACTTACATTATTTTCAATAAAGTCATTAACCTCATTGTCGGGCATAAAATCTGACCATCGCATGTTAAATTTTTTCCATATGTTGTGTGTGTAGCTCGGTCCCACTTCTCTTGTAGAATAGAGCAAGAAAGATTTAAGGAACATTTTACCCATGCTCAATTGGCTGCTGTCTAGCAGATTTTTGTTCCACAAATCAGTTATCACCAAATGTTTCTTGACTATTAATGGACCTACACACAAAATGCAAAAAACATGTATTTAATATACAAATTTAATAAAAAATATACAAACCAATAAATTGATGAATATACAGCCATAATTCTGGAACATCAAAATATAAATCGCTAGCACACTTGAAAAACTCGTGGTATGCCAGTTTAAAATGTTCCACAGAAATGTAGTTCTGCTGTATTAGTTGGGTAATTTTGTTTGCCAGATATCTTCTGTTTTGTTTGTCCACCTCCGATAAATGCAAATAATTAGTTAGTATATAATATAAAAATCCACACCGTTGCGCTTCTGGTATCCGCTGTATGCATTCAGCAATTGTAACTTCAGCTTCGAAAATATCAGCCAAAACAGATTTAAATAGTTTTATATATTTATATATTTACATATATAACTATATGTATACATAAATTTATATAAAATAGTTTAAATCAAATAAAACAAAACAATTTAGTAAAATAGGCTGTAGGATAAAATAAACATATTTTTATTAGAAAATATTAGAAAATAAAACGAATATATAATAATATATGTATATATATATTTCTATACATATATTTATATATAGTAACTGTAAAGAAATTAGCCAACCATTGCCGGAACACGCGTCTACTGAGAGATGAAGTGCAAAACCAAAAACAAAACCAAAATAAGAAGAAAACGAAAAAGAGGAAGAAAAATAAAAAATAATGATGGATTGACATTTAAGAGTTTAACAATAATTAAAAATATATAAAAGCAAACAACAAATAAAATTATAAATTGATGATGAAAGAGAAACTGAGTTTAAAAAACGAAAAAAATCGAAAATTCAACCCACCTTGAAATTACATATTTGTTATATACCTGTTAAAATATTATTAAAAATCAATTTATGATAAATTAAATTGCTGCAAATAAAGCATTTTTAACCTAGAATCTGTGATTGAAGTATCATTTGTTTTAGTCGGGTCTCAAATCTTACTCAAAATATTTAGCACACAATAGTTGCGCAAGTTGTTTTTTTATACCCTGATCCCATTGAAATTGAGAAATCAGGGTATAATGGTTGTAACATGCAGGAGGCGTATGTATAAATTATATCTTGTACGTCTCAAGAGCTAGTGCCTCCAAATTTAGTATTTAGTTTTATGCATATTTTATGCAAATTGGATTTTTGTTGGATTTTGGACGCCTGGTCCAAAATTCCCCAAAATCTTAAAATGGAAGTTCAGTTGGAAATAGCGCCAATAAGTGATTGCATTTCTACGAAACCTATAGAATATTTAGACAAATTCAAATGCGTGTATTCTTTTCTATTCAAAAAACATTTTAACATTTTTACCGGTGATAATGGGCTTCTTTGTTTTCTGTAAAGTTCGATGCCGCTATCTTAACTCAGATGTGTACATTCCCCTATATCGACCCTCTATGCACAGCATAGCTCAATTTAAGCCTGTACCGCCGTAGGCCTGTTAAGGCTGAAGTCCTAGAATACTGCATCCGTCAGCTCATGTGCAATCGATCGAAAAATTCCATTACATTTTGGTATAACCAATAGTATATCATTTACCAATCCAAAAAAAAAATGGTTGTGAAAAAAGGTGTTTTGTGATTTGTTTGTTTGTTCACCTTTAAAAACATTATATTTAAAACGGATTAATAATTCCTTTTTTAAGTTACAAATAGATTGATCATCTCTTAGAGATACAAATATAAACGATTAGGCAATTAGGTCTATAAAATTTTGCAAGATTACTTTTATACTTGGTTGGATTAAATTTTGTATTAAAATTGTTTTTTTTTATTTTGTTTGTTGTTTTCATTTGACATACAATTTTCAAAACATACAAAATGAGGCAACATGATTCGTTCCATTTCAGAGTGTGTGTTTGTGTGTGTGGAAGCGACTTTAAATATTTTTGTAGATGCTGCCAATATCCGCAACAATTATACTGCGTCCACAATGTAATATAACATTTTATAGTAAATAAATATTATATAACTATAAATTTCCTTCAGGTTAGCTTTTATTTTTATAGTACATTCATACACAGTAATTTACATGCATATATATATATATATATATATATATATATATATATATATATATATATATATATATATATATATATATATATATATATATATATATATATATATATATATATATACTCCGTCCGTGTAAAATCGCGTAGTTTATATGCATTCATCCACATATTGTAATAGAATATATATTTTCTCTGGTTCCTCCGCCCGAACTTCACACTTCATTCTTATATATGAAAGTATATATTTCTCATTTTTCTGCAAAGTTTACTTTGTTTTGCTGTTTTATTAAATAGTGTTTTTGCTTTGCCCTAAAACTCGCTGTCTGTCAGTTTTACGAGTATATATATATTGATACATTAATTGGCTTCATCGTTGAATAAGTTGTTTAAAAATGGATTCACACTCTTCACAGCCACACCTGTATACGAAAACAAATAATTGTAAATGATTTAATTTAATTTCATTGATATAATAATTACCTTTGCCAGCTGAATGATCTTTTGAATCGCGCCATTTATAAAGCGACTCTTTGTTTATGACAAAGGTATCGTACAGTTCACCAAACAGTTCGCTTAACAGCCCTGAACAAAAAAATAAAAAGATTACATATATATTTTTGAAAATCTAAATGAAATTATCTTGTGTCACACCTCGAGGCTGCTCCAAGCTATGAACAAACAGCTGTACTCCGTAAAGGCACTCGAGCTGAAGATCTTCATTGGTACCAATATAACACTGAAAAACTGGTATGCAAAATTTTTGAAAGACTTCCGGCTCAAGCTTATAGCTATTATCCTTGTAAACAATTGCAAATTTGCTTAAAGTTTCTGCCAATCCTCTAATAAACAGCTTATCGGCCACAACAATATTGCCCTGTATTTTATTTCAATCAAAGTTAAAAAGAAAAACAAGTAAGAATGTTGAAGTCGGACGTGCTCGTTCAGCAAGCATGTGTTCGTGAACTATTATGCGAATTTGGAAACTTACATTGCAATAATCAATAATGCAATCGGCAGCGGAGCCTTCTTTAAGCAACTGCTCAATATGATCTATCACATTTTTGACGTGTGTTTCGTGGGAATCGCGTTCATCAATCACTGGCATCTTCTTTACATTTTCCACATATTCCAATTTCTATATAAGTTATTAGAAATTGATCATTTGTAACGCACAGACATTTGTCTTCTATAAAAGAAGCCCAACTTACATTATTTTCAATAAAGTCATTAACCTCATTGTCGGGCATAAAATCTGACCATCGCATGTTAAATTTTTTCCATATGTTGTGTGTGTAGCTCGGTCCCACTTCTCTTGTAGAATAGAGCAAGAAAGATTTAAGGAACATTTTACCCATGCTCAATTGGCTGCTGTCTAGCAGATTTTTGTTCCACAAATCAGTTATCACCAAATGTTTCTTGACTATTAATGGACCTACACACAAAATGCAAAAAACATGTATTTAATATACAAATTTAATAAAAAATATACAAACCAATAAATTGATGAATATACAGCCATAATTCTGGAACATCAAAATATAAATCGCTAGCACACTTGAAAAACTCGTGGTATGCCAGTTTAAAATGTTCCACAGAAATGTAGTTCTGCTGTATTAGTTGGGTAATTTTGTTTGCCAGATATCTTCTGTTTTGTTTGTCCACCTCCGATAAATGCAAATAATTAGTTAGTATATAATATAAAAATCCACACCGTTGCGCTTCTGGTATCCGCTGTATGCATTCAGCAATTGTAACTTCAGCTTCGAAAATATCAGCCAAAACAGATTTAAATAGTTTTACATCACTGTCGTTTGGTTCAGTGAATGTAGCAGGCGGCGGGGAAACACCTTTAGCTGTTGACGGAGATGCAGAGATACTAGTGGAGGTTGAGGCACTTGATAAATGCGGCTGTTGCTGCTGCTGATCGATGCCCCTGTATATGCCGCCCGAACCGCTTAACGAAGAAGATCCTAGAGACTGTGAAGTAAATGAGAATTTAATATCGGATCAGAAGAATATGAATATATATATATATATATATATAGAAGGTACCTACCTTGTTGGAAAGTCTGCTTGGGGGTGGCGCTGATTGAGTATACTTTGACTGACTAGCAGACTTTTGCATTGAAGAGCTCATGACACGATTCTGCGGATTTTGTACAACGCGCGATGACGAATTCTCTCGCGAGCCTTGCGATGAACCAGTTCGCGAATGCATGCCTAAAACAACAAATAACATTCATCTATATAAATTGAACTATTGATTATAGTTTATGCTATATACACACCACGATCATTATAACGATCCCGCTCAGTGGAACCTTTGTTATATGAACCTTTATTTCTGGGACCACCACTACGATCTCGATCCGAGCTACCTAGCGATGAAAGCGCGGCAAATGAATTTGAAGGTGTTGTCGTTGGCGTTGTCGACGATTGTCTGTTGCCATTGTTATTCCAGTTAATGAACTGATAAGCTCCGCCCATCTTTTTAATATCCAAATTTTGATTCAGCTGAAAAGTCTGTAAATATGAGTTTAAGTAAACCAAATAGAAGTGCTCTAGTCTATACTGCTCGACTAGCAGATACCCTGAACCCTGTGAAAAGCTAATATTCCAATTAATCTCCTTTTTTACAACTATGTATTTAGTGAACACATGCACATTTTGTGCACGCGTTTACTGCATACTTTACAGCGTACAGCAGCTGCGCTTAGCCTGCAATATAGACTAAACTTTGAGAGCCTAATTCTTGAATAACTTTTAAAAAAAAATTGGGTTGGGATGAGTTATGGAAAAGAAAAGTGATACTTGAACTGCGTATAGTATAAGCGACTATATATTTATAATTTCAAGTCCAGCTTTTGCGCATAGCGAAAGGGCGACGTTCATACGGACGGACATATGAACATAATTAGATGGGGCTGCCACGCGCCTTCCGAGTTTTACTTACATTTTGACACAGCCATTTTTACCTAAATTCGCATTTTCAACAGGTTCTAGGCTATAAAATGTAAAAAGAATTCGTACTAACCAAACCCTCTAGCTTGTTACTATCCACAGCTTGGGAGCGACTGCCTTTGCTAGTCTGAACATGCCACGTAGTGTCATCATTATTTCCATTCGAATGATTGCTGCCGATATTGCTGCCACTGCCGCCGCCACCGCCGCTGCTGCCACCGCCGCTGTTTGATTGTTGATGCCGCATATTGGCAACACCATCGCCGCCGCGTTGACTATGACTGCCGCCATAGCCGCCAGCTGAGCGGGCATCACCGAAACGTGCATCACGTTTGCCGGAACCACCACTACCACCACCACCATTGGGACTGGATGTTGATGTTGTTGCTGATAATGAACTGCTATAGTTCATATATTGTGCCGATAGCTGTTCATTTTTAGCCTCCTTTTCAATCTGTCCCATTGTCTTCGGCGCCTCATTCCGTGTCGATTGCCATTTGTTTTTGCGCAAATCAATAACGTCCTGAAGCATAAAACGCACTCGGGAGCTGACTTTGGCGCTATCCTTATCAGTTTTTGATGCAATCGATTGCATTCTGCCTATTGACTTTTCAAGAGAATAACATCGACTTGACTCCTTGGCATTAATTGGCGTCTGTTCAAATTTGGCTCCAACTGTTGTCAGCAGCTTGCATAGGCATTCGAGCATATCTTCCGAATTCGGATTAAGCAACGTATCAATGCAAGAGTATATAATCTTTCCAGTTAACATTGAAATTTTAAAGAGTTCACCAATGAAACGCACAGTACCTCCGGAACGACGACGTATCTTGCGTTCCTCCTCTTCGAGCAGAGCTTCCAGTTCAGCCTTTTCATTGGGATCATTACATTTTTTGATCTTTTCAACTATCGGTTGTAGTTTTTTCTCTTTGGCCGCGCCTTGCGAGACATTTTGTGTGAATTCCTTTTCTGTTTTATCGAGTAGCGCATTACGGAAATGCTGTAAATTCGATTTTGTGCCACTTTCCATGCGTACATCACGCGCCTTCACTTCACTTATCAGACGATGGCACAGTCTGGCATATGATACGGAGAAATTTGGTTCATCGATAGCTTTCTCAAAGACAAGTACAATCACCTCATTCATTTTATCTGGTGTATCGATTTTCAGTTTAATTATCTCCTCAACCAACGTATCGAATCTCTCCGGCGTTAATTTATTCAAAATTCCACGCACCTTACGCACAAGTTCATCTTTTTCATGTGTTGATTTCATATTATCGGAGCTATTGTTACTGCTGCTCGACTCCTGCTGCTGGTGTTTATTATTTTGTAGACGCGGTCGCCAGGCATTTTCCGTTTCATTCAGCTTAACATCTTGATTAAGCGATAGATTAACATGGATCATACCTTTCATACTACTACGACCACCTCCACCGCCTTGTACACCGGACATTGAAACTTGTTTTCCAGCAAAATTGTTACCAATCGATTCACTATTTCGATTGCCACCAATCGTGCCAACCATCGATTGAACACGCTTATTACTATTATTGTTATTGTTATTATTATTGCGCATAAACATAGGCATTAGATTTGGATGCGGCAATATCGAGACATTCTTCACTTCCGGTTGTATACGTGAAGCCTTCGCTTCTCGCAACTGCAACAATTGCTCGCGATCGTATTGCTTCTTGCCACCGGGATTACTTGGCGACCATTGACCTTCATTGTAGTTAATCAACGATGTGGCAATTTCCGTAGTATCCATGGCAGCATTACAGACGATAGCTTCTTTTTGTTCAGTACCCGAAGGTGCTTCCGTCTCTTTTGAGTCTGCTGCTTTTTCTATGTCCGCATCCTTAGTATCCGTTACTGTTTCTAAGCTGTGAGTTAATATCGTTTCCGTTAATGTTTCACTTTTTCCACTTTCTTCTTTAACATTTTCGACAATTGTTGTGTCTTCCAAGTTTTGCTGTTGGGCACGATCAGTCTCATCGGGTGTGCTTTCATGTGAGCTAGTTACTACAGGGCCAACATTATGTTGTCCCTCCTCCCTTTCCATCTGGCTAAAAGCTACATTTTCGCTTAAATTAGTTGGGAGACTTGACTCAGTTATATACATGCTAGTTACGTTGTCGGCCAATATAGAAACTTCACTTGCTGAGTTACTGTTCGAACTCAACTCGACATTTTCTGGCGTTGAGTCCACTTCGACTGCAGTAAAGGTGAGTCCTTTTTCGTTGTTATGTTGCTGGACTGTTTCTGCTGCGACTATGTCAACAATTGGCTCAGTTGTGTTTGCCATAAACTGTAAATGTGATTCCTGTTGCTGCTGTAGCTGGGACTGTTGTTGTTGTTGTTGTGCAACACAGTCTGACTGTAAGTGTTGATTTGGCTCGTTCGCAATTTTAACGCACGTTTTCGCTGCAACATCATCCACTTTGACTTTAAATAAAATTCACAAAAAGGAAATTAGTACAAATTTTAAAAATATGTTTTACCAATACAATGTAACTATATAATTTATATGCCAAAACTACAACTGAATTATAAAAATATTTCCGTTCATTTTGACAGTTATTTATTAGTTAAGATTAGAGAGGAGCGATTTCAATCCAATCGACTTCTAAGTCTATCAAATCATATATTATGTATATAAAATTGTCATGAAAATCACGATTGGATTATCTCACTAGATACCCTGGATCCTGCGCAGAGCTGCTGTCCAATTATTGAACGCTTCCCTTATACATATATAACAAACAATACATGCGCACACATACATAAGCACATTATCCACTTACTACAAATGTATAATGGTTAATTAATTAATAAAAAGCCTTAGTTTCAAATGGAAATTACAATTATAGATCTGATATAACAATATGCATACTTAATGGGGTCTGCCACTCTTCATTCTCCACGAGTCTTATCGGGTTCTATCTTTTAATAAAATTGTCTAGAATACTTTTATATTGAGTTGTGGCGAGTTGCTATATAGGCATGAAATTCTTATATTTTTTCGTTTTTATTTTTTTTTTCTAATAAAAACTATATAAATTTCGCCACGTTGATATAAGTGTGTATATTTGCTATCACATGTATGTGTATGTATATGTATATGTATATACACACATAAACATACACACTTATAAACCTATACATCTAATATATATTAGACATATCAATATATGATGCCTGACTATGATATTTGTTATCCCATTATTTTGGATCACAGATGAGATAATTAACATACGGTAGGATGATAGGTCTTTTTACGACAAAACTATGTTTATGAAACACAGTGAAAAGTAAAAAGTAAAAAGTAAATGTATTTTCATGTTCTACTGTTAGAGCAAAAGATGTACTAATTAACCGTTAAGTTGAATGATAGTTTGCACACGTTTTTCGTTTCTTTTAAGTACGTAAATAGTAGCATATGTTTTTTCTTTTTTGTGCATGTATATATGTGTGTGTATGCTGCTTAACGAATTGTCGCGTTGTTGCTTAGCACTATAGATAGAAACACAAATAATATCGGATCGCACCAACACAAACCAAACGATCGCATCCAACAGCGAACGGTTAGCGGACCGGCCGCGGTTTAAGCAACAAGCAGCGAAGGCCGCAACTGAAATACTCTGCATGCGTCGAGGGAAGCAGAAAGACGGCACTCGAGACAACGGGAACTAGCACTAGCACCAACGCCAGCGCCAGCGCCAGCGTCAGCAGCAGCAGCAGCAGCAACCTCAACAGAGAACAACCTTATAAACATGTTAGAGTAATAGAAAAAGCAAAAGTCAAAATTTATGCATACACTCTCACTTTAGCGGACCCGTGCAAGCAGCCAAGCAGATGGCATAGATGCATGTACGTATACGAAATTACGCGTTCACAAACACATGCTCACCCATACTCACAGAGGCAGATAGACACATATACACACACATTAACAATTCAGGCCAAAAACCACGTGTTTGTGTGCGCCGATAAAGTTGAATATATTTAATGAACCAACCACCCAATGATGTGATTGCTCACATTCTTCAGTATTAAACAAGTATGAAAGCTCTAGTCGGGATGCCCACTAGGAGATACCCTGATCCCAGTCTTCCTGCGTTTTTTATATTTTCAATAGTTTGTATAGAGTATTAAAAAATTTCTACTAATTTCAAAATTAAAAAAAAGGAAAAAATTTCTTTACTAACAGCTGATAATTCAAGCAGAATTCAATCGCATTTTCGATTCTTCACATAGAAAAGAATACACGCATTTGAATGTACATGTATGTGTATAAAAGGAATGCGTACGCTTGGCGCTGCTTGCCACGTGCTTTTGCAACTTTGGCCGAACGTTTTGTTTAATAACTACTGTTGTATTTAATGAATTTCAATGGATTTTTAGCATATAATCTCCACATTTTATAACACTTTAATAAAAATGCATAATAATAATTAATATACATTAAATTAAATACATACATTTAATAATTGCATTTTGTTCATATCAACGATAACAATAAAATAACACTGAGATAGACGCGTTCGCACATACGGAAAGACGGACATGGCTCAATCGAATCGGCTCATCGTCAAAAATATATATACTCTATGTGGTCTGCCACGCCTCCTCTTACCTGTTGCATACATTTGCAAAACCATTATAATATCAAGTATACGCCTTGGAAAATAATTGGAATATTCTTCTTCTCCCTGATTTCGTCTGCCGAGAGACGAGAATTTAAAGCATGTCGGAGGAAAATCCTTTCATATTTTCGTAATTCTTTTCCTTAAAGGGAAATTTTTGATAACGTGAATGCGGCTAATCCTTGGAGCTATTAGTGTTTAATACCTGACTAAATATGGCTTTTTATTTGATATATTTAAAGATCGCTCAATGGTTGTGTGAGATTCTCTTAAAAAATCCCAACTTCAGTATATCTATCGATTGCAAATTTAAGTTTAAGTTCTGAAACCAATTCAGATGAGCCAAAATTAAGTAAAATTCTGATATATTATTGCACATTAGTTTATCTGCTATGTTAACATCACTGTATTGAAAGTATCGAATTAATACTCCTGGTTTTACTGCTACTTTAAATGCTTGAAACAGCTATTTAAGTGCCGAGATTACTGTCCATTAATATCTTCAAAGAACTTTCATTTGCCTTTCTACGGAACTTGCAAATATATATATATTATATTATATAATCTATTGTGTGTAAGTCCAAATCAGACAGAACAAGAAAGTTCTAGTCGGGGGCCCGACTAGGAGATACCCTGATCCCAGTCCTTTGAGCGTTTTTTTAATTTTTCTGTAGTTTGTATAGAGTATTAAAAAAATACAAATAAAAACTGACATTACCACACCAAGATTCGAACCCACACTTTATACGCAAGGCGCATCAACTCCACCAAAACCGCCACTTCATAATTAAAAAATAAATAAAACAATAAAAAATGTCTCGTCGTCGCGAGGATTGAACCCGAGATAAACGAGACGAGCGCCACCATGCAGCCACTGCACTGCTTACTCAAACAGTTGCAAATTTGAAGTTAAGTAGCAGCTAATAATTCAGCACAATTCAATCGCAATTTCGATTCTTCGAATAGAAAAGAATACACGCATTTGAATGAATGTGTGCACACATAAATTTTCAGCACATGATCTACATATCCTATTGGCTTGGTAGAGTTGCGAACGCTTTCACATAATGGCCCTATTTCTAATTGAACTTATATTTTAAGAATTTGGGAGATTTTGGAGCAGGTATCCAAAATAAAACAAAAATCAAAATTGCATAAAATATACATAAAACTAAACACAAAATTTAGAGGCTCTAGCTCTTAAGACGTCCGAGATATAATTTATTAATTGCATTTCAATTATGTTTTTACTCGATAACAATTAAATGCGAATATTTATCGAATATTTGAAACAAATTCAATAAACTCGATATGCGCGTGCTATACACGGACCTACGAAAAATTTCAAGCCTCTAGCTCATAGATGCTGAGATCGACTCGTTCACACATACGGACAGACAGACAGACGAACAGGGCTCAATCGACATGGCTTGTCGTCTTGATTAAGAATACATATACTTTATGGGGTCTGCCATGCCTCCGTCTGCCTGTTACATACATTTGCACAAAACCATTATACCCTGATTTCCCATTTTCAATTGGATCAGGGTATAAAAAAAGTATCTAGTTAAATGGGTTTTCTGGTTTTCTATTTTGATAAATTATTTAATGATTAAGTTAATTCATTAAAAATTTAATGTACTAGAAAGTATTTCGCCAAAATTTATGATAACATGTAGATTGTGAACTTATACTACATACTACAATACTACATACGTTTTGTGGAGGATCTTAACTGTAACTCACATGCCAAATTTGAAAGTTCCAGGTATAAAACTGTGGAAGATACAGTCTTATCCTATTTTAAACCCTATGTTAAGCATTTCAACTTTCTAGCGGTTTCAATAATAACGACATATCAGACATAGTTTTTCTGGGAAAATATCAACACTATATCGGACGAGAATATAAATTCTACTGCTGCTTACTGAAAGCTTACTTTGATTCTAAACTGTCGGTAAATAAAAACTAATAAGAGTAAACTGGTATTGCCAATAACAAATAACACAAACAGAAGGCAATTCACACAACAAAAGTTCACCCATTTATTCAACTTTCAGGTCATTACATTTTAAATTGTCATTGAATATTTATTCTCAATGGCTTTAAAGTTAATCTTAATGATCAAGCTTTTCAAAAATCAAAGTCCAATAAAAAAAAGTAAGACGATGGCTCAAATGTTACAATGGCAATACTGAATATAACCCAAGGACGTGTGGAATATACTATCCCAATATGTATAATATATATGACTACTTACATGAAGAAAAACTAGACGAGGATTCCGGCGCATCTTTCGGGGAGACTATGGGAATTCTGAAAATAAAAATTCAACAATTTGATTGTAGCAAAACAGACAACAACTTTGTCCTCATTTATGAAACTTACTTTTTACTCTTGTTTTTCTGGGAAGTCGGCAATATTTCTACAGATGGAGCATCAGACATAGCTGAGACCACAGGTGTCTGTCCCACTATTATATCCTGGCGTTGAGAGGGAGTTTGATCTGAAAGAGTATGTAATTCGAATTAGAACAGGATTGCTCCAGTTGAGTTTGCTCGACTAGTGTGAGTATGCAAACAATTTTAAGTTATTAATACCTACAACGAATGCGACAATACTAAAACCCAAGATTGATCAGGATGAAAGCTAGAAACTAATATATGTAATGTAAGCATTGTAAATGAACGAATATATTAAAAATGTAGAACGCTCTTTGTCTGTGTATTAATCACAGGATCTTCTCTAGCTTTCTTAGTTTTCAAATTCTAATCCAAATCTAATTTCAAATCTAATTCAAATCCAACCTAAAATATAAATCGATTAATAAATCGAATGAATTATCGAAATCTTCATATGTATCTGAAATTTCTTATTATTAGCCGAGGCCAACGTGTTCATAGTTCAGTTGAAGAAGCAGCAAGCTTTTTGCAGACTTTTCATACACTTAAAAGAGCGAGGTGCAGGGTAACAGGATATACAAATTTACAATTCGATTTTATAAATTTTACCTAATTTGTACTGCATACTAGCCCTCGGATCTGGGCCTTGGATTAATACATTACTTGGGGGTAAACAGATGCCACCAGCGTCTGGCTGGGAAATACACAATGAGACATCTGGTTGCACGACGACAGCTGCTGTCGTTAATGTAGCAGCAGGAGTAGCATGTGCAATAGCAGCAACAGAAGCAGATCCAGCCTCCTGATAGTCACTCTCCGTACTCGCATTACTCTATATGAATGAATTGTATTATATATTTATATTAATCTCTATTTACAAAATATTTCTTACCTTATCCATTTCATCGAGTATATTCTTTTTTGTTGTGGGATCGATAATCTGTAAACGATGCTGATGTCGACGCCTATTTGGTGGTGGCACTTGGACTGGTTGTGGCGCCACATTGGCTGACATAACGCTGACCATGGGCGGCACACCGACATTTACACCCACACCCACTTGACCACTCGCCGTTCCACCGACACCAATAACTGTATTAGCGCCTGGCTGTACAGCACCTGTTAGCAATTGTAATTGAGATGGTGTCGCACCACCGGGACCAGCCAGCGGTCCATTGGGTCCACCGGGCTGCACAGATTGCATTGTATTGCCTAAGTTAACGCTCGTGTTAACCGCAACACCGCTGCGTGAATGTGGCGGTGGTTGCTGTTGTGGCAATGTGGAAAGATATGGATAGGGATAATAGGGTATAGGCGTGTGCGTAAATTGTAAATGCGGCGCCGGATAAGCTGGTTGTCGTTGACTATATTGTGGATACTGTTGCAATACCATATTTGAATATATCGGTGGCATATGGACATGGGGGCGTGCTCCACCCCCAGCTCCGTTGCCACGTGGCGCATTTGATGCTGGCTGTGGTCCACGATAAATTTGTTGATTTGAACGACTGTTTCCAGAACTGTTGTTGCCCGTCGACACATACTGTAAAATGTATTCAATAGCTTTAGTTGTTACAGTTCTGAATAATTTTAAATTGTTCAGTGTTTCTCGAACCCAAAAAACCTACCCTAGACGGGCATTCAACATCTGATCAGTTTTACTCTTGTTTATTTTCATAAATTCATTATGCAAATTACATTGATCACATATATCATATAGACTCTATTCCAACTAGATAACATTTCTTTCTTATATATGTAACTTGGGGTATGTCAGAGAGAACTAGCCAGACCTATATTCCACATGTATCCTAGAGTGAAAGCGAAAACCACGACAATACAATACGTGGTCCACTATAGACATAGAACAGAACACCAAAATACTCTTTTTTAACTTTGCAAACAATTATAAAAGGTCAAATTGTACTTCCCAATTGGTGTTTTTCGATTTGCCCCTCATATACAACATTTTGTAGCTCTTTCTGACGTAAATGTCAACTGTGACATTAATAATTTGAAGTTCATTTTTATAGGTCAACATTTTATAATTCATTTATCTATATATTCAACCTGTCGAAACACTTGACAGATTAAGTGTAATTTTTAACTGGATGAAATATATATAAGAGTTAGAAATTAAGACGTTGTACCGACTGTATAATACAATCTAAATGCTGTCAGCTTCACTACATTTTAAGATAGAGCTTCATCCAGTCACGCCCTCAAAACACACACATATATATCAAATAGTTTGGTACATTGATGATGAAGGTCAGCAGTAACTCAGGAATCGAACTTTTATGTTTCTAGCCCTACTTAAGAATAAATGAACTTGCACTTTAAGTAGTACCATGACTTTCTGACACACCTGATTTGGTATTTCACGATTTGCCCCTAGTGGGCGGAAAAAATCTTTACACCCGGTATCTGCTTTTAATAGATAGACTGACAGAACACGGATACTGCAGAAAACCGATATACTCATTTCACTTCGGGAATGAGTATAACCAAATAAGAAAGTTCTAGTCGGGGTTCCCAACTAGCAGATACCTGATCCCAGTCCTATCTGCGTTTTTTAATAATACTTTGTATCAAGTATCCCATGACTCGGCGCTTACAAGCGCCGCCTCTAATAGCATCGCCACTGTACTGCTTGGACAATTTAATCACACTTTCGATTCTTGGAATAGTAAATATGGAAACGTAAATATGTACACGGAAAGGGATAGATCGACTCAGCTGATGATCCTGCTCAAAAATAAATACTTTACTTTATTACACCCACACACTCATATACAACCACACATACACACACATACACGGACGCATGCATGCATAAGCCCATGCTGCAGTATGGATTTTACTATGGGATGTCTAGATGGCCTTTCTTATGGAAACTCATGCCATAATTGTAGTATCTATTTGCCAAAGTACAAATTTTTATTATTTGCAATTTTTTTTGTTAAGTAAAGGGGAAGGGGGAGGTATCCCAACTCCACAACATACAAAGTCTCTGTTGTTAGTAGAGGAAGCTGCGCAGTAAATCTGAAGTCTCCAAATTTTCAGTATTCAATCTACGCCAAAGTATCAAAGCCAAAGTATGCATTTTTATAAATAAATGGAATGAGTTGGGGATATAAAAGAGTATACATTTCAAAATGCAAATCTCTAGCTTAGGAGATTTACTAGATCGCTGCGCGATCTGAAGGACAGAAGGACCTGACTAGAGCGATTCAGCTCGTCGTCCTGATCAAAAATATATATATATTTTATGGGGCTTGCCTCCCTCTGCCTGTCACATACATTTTCAGAAAATCATTATACTTTGGACATAAAAAGGAAGTTGTAGAGTTGCCTACCTCTTGGGCTGTTTGTTGAAAATTACTGTTCGATAGCAGATTATTGTTTTTATAGTCGTATTTTCTATTATCGATACAACTGACGTTAATACCGACGCCGACGCTAACACCAACAGTACCCAACAGATTCTTGTCATGCATATAGGCAGATGGATTATTCGATGAGCCGAGTGTTAGGCCATGAGAATTGGCCAGAGTAATGATGCTTTGGTTGCTGCCATTAATATTGTTGATGTTGTTACTGCCACTATTATTGCTATTGCTGCCCACAGCAGCAACAGTTGTTAGTTGTTGTTGTTGCTGTTGTTGACTGTTATTTGGACCAACTTGACTCGACTTGGATATATCCGATAGTAGGCGACAATTTGTTTCGATGATTCCATTATTGCCCCCGCAAGTAGCAGCAGCAGCAGCACGATGTCCCGTTAGATTATAAATGGCGGCTGTATTCAAATCTTGCTGAATTGTTGTTGAATTCAAATTCAATTGACAATTGTTAACCGCCATTATATTTCCGCCGCTACAGATAACTGTTGTCGATTGCTGTTGCTGTGTATTAACAGATGTTAATGGCCTGTTAACAACATTTGCATAGCTTTGCTGGTGTTGATGTGACTGTTGTTGCAGATGTGTTTGATGTACCATGTGAGCGGAAGCTTGTTGAGCATTTGTGGTTGTTGCAGTGGTTTTTAATATGGAAACAACATTGTAAGCCTTGTTTATCTGAAATTGTGGCTGTGATGTACTATGTTGTTGCTGCTGTTGCTGTGACTGTTGCTGCTGCTTTGTAACAGGCACTTGCGTTGCGTACTTTTTAGTCTTTTTATTTGCCGGCAATATCTACAACAAATTTAAGTAGCGCCCACAAAAATCATTCGATATTTAAAATATATATATATATATATATATATATATATATATATATATATATATATATATATATATATATATATATATATATATATATATATATATATATATATATATATATATATATATTGCGACAAAAATCGAAAATCCAACGAATCGAGTAACTAAATAAAAACTCAATGTATAAAAACTAAACGAAATAATCACTATGACACAAAAAAGTGGGACATGTAAATAGAAATCAAAGTAAAAGAGTTTTTACATCCTATATATATATATATATATATATATATATATATATATATATATATATATATATATATACACATGCTACTGTCATTTTCATCAAGCTAATCATATAAATTTGTATTCGCGCATTCATAACAATGGAAGAGTCGCACTATACTCTATTCATATTTAGCATAGAGCATAGCATCCCAACCTATTGATATATTATTGGGAATGGATTTATCGTTCTGGCTTTAGTCGAATCTTTAAATTTTTCTGGTGTCTTTGTATTATTTTATTAAAAATTCACAACTTTTCTACAAAATTTAGCGTGCAACATCGATTTTTCAACGATGTTCTCCTATTTACATACTGAAGGAATACCATCCTAATTTGGAACTCAAGCTATTCATTAGTCCTTCATGTTAACAAACAAGTAGAGAAAAAGAAAATTATTTTAAAAATCAAACACAATTAATATTCTTAACTTAACTGATTACTTATTGTTATAAAAATAAAATACCCTATGTCAGCATTTGGAGCATTGCAACCAGAAAAACCAATGTTCCGGATAAATGTACTCTGATGCTTGCATACTGAGTCCTGCTGACCAATGTTATTGTTATAAGCAAATTATCGCTTAGTAAAGAAAAGAGTTAAGTAATAATACAAATAATTTTCTCGTTGTGAAAGCGATTTTAAGCCAATTATTTTCAAAGTTTCAGCTTTTAAGCTGAGTGTGAATATATATATATATATATATATATATATATATATATATATATATATATATATATATATATATATATATATATATATATATATATATATATATATATATATATATTTAAATAATAATAATATAAATGAGAGAAAATATAATTAAAATAGGAACATACCATATTTTGGGGCTGCATGGCTTTAGCAATATCGGCTTGTGTTGCTAGTGTTGGAGCAGCTGGTTGCATTACGAATGGAGCAATCCGTTTGTTAATCGGAAGTCGTCAAACGGTTTGCTTACCGTTTTATTGGCGATTTCCGGGATGACTTTAGACTCCCGTTAGCAATCTGTCACACAACCATTTGATTATTATGCTGTGAATGATAACAATAATAATTATTATTATTAATGTTGATGCTAATGCCTCTTACCTGCAAATATGTTGGTGCTATTATATAGAAAAAAATTCGGCGAGACAATTCTGATAATTTCGGAACAACTACTCGGCCTGGAAATAATAAAGTTAAATACACTTCTTTTTTATAGTCAACAAACTAATTATTTTTTACATTTAAATATTGTATGTTCAAATTGCATTCAAAAAATTATTTTTATATTGCTTTTATACTGTTTATGTATTTCGCATTTATTACATTTCAAAATTAATTAACAGTTATTAAGGCTCTGTATTTTCATTAACTGTTTTATCATGCTTTTTACCTACATATTTGCCGACGTTGCGACGTTGGCGCACATGCGACCGACAGATGAGCGCGAAGTGAGAGTGAGGGGGGTGAGAGTGAGATAGAGAGATTAACTGAACAACTCTCGAACGATGGGAACACACAAAGAAAATGGAATAGTTAAAAAATCGCTATGTTCACATAATTTCTTTATTTTGTGAACTAGCGTTGTACTAAGAGTTAAACGATTGGAGAAACACAAATTTTCAGAGTTCCACGTAGTATTTGCATTATGGTTAAAGTTTAATATGTAATGAGAGCGCAACGTCAACTAATTGCATTGTGGTAAAAAATGTCATCATGTAATTTTACTTTACGTCCGTTCTCGTTCGCAAAATGTATTTTACCTGGAGCATTCGTCACTAGTATATTCAACCAATTATATACAATAGTAAAACCAGTTCTCGCACTTTTTATGTAAACTTGCACAGTAGTAAACTAAGTTATACTTGTCTTTCTTTATGTTTATTGCCAAAAACAAATTTTCTATCAATTTCATTCCACATGCAATGTGCTGCCTAGGAATGGTGACATCGTATCAATATATAAATCGATATATCGATATATACTGAGATCCTAGCATGGTTGATCACTTTACTTATCGATATTTGCTGTCGGACAATATTTTCATGTAGGAGTATCTGTAAGAATTTTTAATATATGAATATTAATATATAATTTAATTTACATATGCATAAATTGTAAGACACATACTTAGTCACATAAAATATATATTGCGCAAAGATGTAATTAAAACAATCGAATAAGGTTTTGGTATTTTTTCGAAAAATCGTAACATCGCAAAAGAGTGCATGTTAAAACGGAACCAGCATTTGTAAATTACAATAATGAAATTTACAAATGGCAAACAGCTGATTGCCACGTTGATCGCATTTGATGCCGAATTTGGGATCCGTTTTGAATTAAGCCATGAAATTACAATTTTGATATAAATATTCAATATCATGCGTACATAAATATGTATATATATATATATATATATATCTTAGTGTTCCTTCCATATATTTATCTGTTTCCTTTGTATACATACAACATATAGTATGTGTAAGTGCAATCAGTAAGTTTCTCTTTACAACATAAAATCGAGCTACTGAAAGAGTAAAGCTTTGAAATAAGCTCTCTCTCGGTGCTCTTTGCGACTCGTTCAGGCCGACTCCTACTGAGTTGTTAGGCATGTGTTGTTTTTGGTAAGAGCGTATGTCGGAACATCTTCGCCATTTTTTTAAATGTAATGTACTCTTTGAGATCTATGTCGGCGGCCATTGCTGCTGTAGTGTTGCTCGTGCTTCCTAAATTGAGTATTCAAGGAGAGATGGACAGTTAGATGGCTGCTGTAGGTATCGTTGCTGGTGGTGGTGGCGCTGCTGCTGTTTCTGCTGCTTCTGGTGCTGCTGCTTCTGCTGCTGCTGCTTCTGCGTCTGCTGCTGCTGCTGTTGCTGCTGCTGGTGACGCTCCTGCTGATTGATACTGTTCTTAGCCACGATGCTACCACAGCGGCTCCTATTATTGTTGTTGTGTTGCTGTCGTGGTCGCTGCTGATGCTGCTGCCACTGCTTCTTCTGCTGCTGCTGTTGCTGCTTGTACAAGAACTGTTTTGGGCTTATCATAAGTAAATCAGTTTATCTACTGTTAATGCCATGGACAGATGTATGTGCTTTTCGCTCGGTTTTATGATAAGTGTCAACTGAAAAGAAAATTTATTAATAAAGTGAATTCAAACGCCTTTAAGCGAAGAACTACATGTGTAACATTCGTACATGTACACATACACATACATATATAGATATATGTGACGTACAAGAAGGGAAATTTTAATAACGGTAAGTACTTAGTGCGTTATCCATAATTTTAATTTAAGTTTTAATTTAAGTTTGTCCAGTTCAATTACGTACCAATAGCATATATATATATATATATATATATATATATATGTATATATATATATATATATATTTATATTATATATATATCATAGATACTTGTATATATATGTACATATGCATATGTGTGAATGGTGCATATACAATACTTTACGCACAGATAACTGTGCATGTACTTTGATACATTTGATACATGCATGCATGTGTACCTTAACACTCACACAGTAACAGCACCGTGGCACATGAATTACGGGAACCATGAACCAGAAAAAAAGAAATCACATACACAACATACATACATATATTCTTTAATATACTTGTATAAATATATATATATATATATATATATATATATATATATATATATATATATATATATATATATATATATATATATACATACCTGTATTTAAATATATTATATTATTTTATTAGCATTAGCATTAGCTGCCATTAGCTCCGCAAGTTAAACAAGTCTTTTGTACCTACATACGTACATCTATTACATCTATATAATAGACGTACGTACATACATTTATTGCTGAAGTTATATGTACTAAGATATATATATATATATATATATATATATACATATATATATATATATATATATATATATATATATATATATATATATATATACATATATATATACATACGGTTCCGTTGCTGTTGCTGCTTTCGCTGCTTTGCGCATTGCCATCATCGGTAGAACCATTCTTCCTTGGTACTTCTGGTAAAGTTCTTGCATCGAAGCTTTTTCTGGGTCGACATTGTTATTTTCTTCCCATGTAACATACTAACACACACACAGTGTGCTTGTGCAGCGTCGCTGTAAGCTCACAAAAACTTTTTGTGCTTGTGTCAAAAGTATCCCCAACTGTTATGCTCTTTTAATAGTTGGCATCTCCCTCTTTCTCTCTTACTGCTTACTCCCTCGCGCTCTCGCGGGCTTTCTCTTAATAAGCTGAGAGCGATTTTCTGCAAACTCTTACTAATGGCCATCTGCGAAGAATAAGTAACCATCAGTGTGAATATTTCGACATTTAGCATTTCACTATTCAATTAGTTACAATTTTGTCAAATATATCTTATTATGCACATGCATGTGTATGTTTGACTGCTCGTTATACCCTGATTCCAATGAAAATGGAAAATCAGGATTTTTAAAAAAATTTGTTTTATGTTTATTTTTAAAATATGAGATATTTTAACGAAAATTAGAACTGGATGGCACTCCATTTGTAATTGAATGAAACCGTTAACTAAGCTAGCTTAATGCTTTTAATTAATTTTGTTTTTATATTATATTGTTTTCCGGGTCATATACCTTATCAGCCAACAATTTTCAGATATTCCCGATGATATTTACGTGGAGGCAATATAAGGGCTATAAAAGGATCTTGACATTTTGGGTCTTAATCTGATTTAATATACCTAGCAGATGGGATTGGCACATTGTTGTGCTGGAAATGTCAGTTCATATTCTCAAATAACTTTTCGAAGAGGATAAAAGCTGTTTCTAACACGTCAATATATGACTTCGCCATAATATGCAAAATTTAAAACTGCAATTACAGGTGTTATAGATAGGTAAGAGATGGTTTCCCATGTCCCATGTCGATTGTCCAAGCGGTCCAACTGATGCTCCTCTATACGGAGAGCACAATACTAACGGTTAAGCCCATGCGGGAAGCCCATTAATGTACATTTTTTGATCTGAGCAAATAAGTACATGAACTGGGATTACTGAGTCATATGCACTTGTGCAATATTTGGGTGAGCTTTGCTCCGAAGCTTATTAAGTGGAGATATATTATTGGCTTTAGTTTCTGCAAGTCTTCAGCTTTTGAAATAATTCATTAGACCTTTAAAAAACATGGCTTACGACAGCTTCTTCCTACAAACAAATAGTGTGAGTTGGAGAATTCTTTTAGTGTCGAGCGTCTTTACGTCTTACCACTTAGTACCAATGAAATTTTCCCTTAAAGATAGCTCTAAATTTCGTCTCTGTAATTTTTTTCGTAAAGAAGATAAATAAAAAGATGATAAACAAAAATTGAGCGACATATTCATAATTGAATTTGGGGGAGCTATCCTGATGGCGCAAAATAAGTGAAAGTTTTTTCGACTGAACAATATAGCATACAAATATACCGGTTCATTTATCGAGCTTAATCTTTTGTCAGAGAGCTCACATATTAGGATTGCAAATCCAAAAAAAAAAATCTAAACCTAAAGACAAGCAGCTTATACTTATGTATGTATATATCGAAATCATGCAATGTTTTAATGCATTGATGAATCTATTAAAATATACCGCATATTAGAGTACCAGTAGAAATTGTCGAGAAGAGCCAATGTAATAAATAAATGTTGAATACTAAAAATAGTTGTATATAATAGTAAGTAAAAAAGTGCAGCAAATAGCCGTTGAATCGAAATCAAGTAGAGTATTATGCAGTCGAAAATGTTTGTTTTAAACATATAAGAAAAGAAAAGTAATTATTATCAATAATAATTTCAGATGATTTGGGTTGAGCGAATACGCCTGCACTAAGGCAGAAAACAAGGTATGTATATATGTATATAGTATATGTGGCATATATAATGCAAATGACATTCTTAGTAGAGCTGAATAGAGAACCAGGGTATCAGTCGAGCAATTATGTGCGAAGTGTTTAAGATGAAGTCGAATGTGTGGGATGCGCCTATTGGAATTATGCTCATGTTAGCCACCTGTTGGCTATCCCAATTGGTTATAGCCGGCTCAACGCCAGTGCAGGACACTGTGTCGGTATCATTGCCAGGTGATATAATACTAGGTGGACTATTTCCGGTACACGAGAAAGGAGAAGGTGCACCGCCTTGCGGTCCAAAAGTCTATAATCGTGGTGTTCAGCGCTTGGAGGCGATGCTATATGCTATCGATCGCGTTAATAACGATACAAATATATTGCCCGGCATCACAATAGGCGTGCATATACTAGATACCTGCTCCCGGGATACGTATGCCCTAAACCAATCGCTGCAATTTGTCCGAGCATCACTCAACAATTTGGATACATCTGTGTTTGAATGCTCCGATACATCGATACCCCAATTGAGAAAGAATGCAACGTCTGGCCCCGTGTTTGGTGTTATTGGCGGCTCGTATAGTTCCGTATCGCTTCAAGTGGCCAATCTATTGCGACTCTTTCATATACCGCAAATATCACCGGCGTCGACCGCTAAAACTTTATCGGATAAATCCAGATTTGATTTATTTGCACGTACCGTGCCGCCAGACACTTTTCAATCTGTTGCTCTGGTGGATATTATAAAAAACTTTAATTGGTCATATGTATCGACCATACATTCCGAGGGCTCCTATGGTGAATATGGCATAGAAGCCTTCCACAAGGAGGCCACCGAAAGACACGTTTGCATTGCTGCCGCCGAGAAAGTGCCGAGCGCAGCCGATGACAAGGTCTTTGATGCCATCATTGGTAAACTCTTGAAGAAGCCAAATGCTCGTGGCGTTATCCTTTTTACACGCGCCGAGGATGCCAGACGCATCCTTCTGGCAGCAAAGCGCGCTAATTTATCTCAGCCCTTCCACTGGGTGGCCAGCGATGGCTGGGGTAAGCAGCAGAAGCTGCTGGAAGGCTTAGAGGATATCGCCGAAGGCGCCATAACTGTGGAACTACAATCGGAAATAATTGAGGATTTCGACAGATATATGATGCAATTGACGCCCAGTTCGAATAAGCGTAATCCCTGGTTTGCCGAATACTGGGAGGACACTTTCAATTGTGTATTACCCAGCTCCGATAATGACATTACCCATAAAGGAGATAACACCATCGACAAGGATAAGCTTGTTTGTGATGACACTTTTAGACTATCTGATAAAGTTGGGTAAGTTCTGTTCAGATGTAGATTTTTACAAAGGTATTTTCTTTCATTATTCGCTAGTCGATCCGACCGTTGTATAAATAAAACCAAAGTTTCGTTGACTGAGTTACAAAAAACAAAAATTTAAAAATTAAATTAATGAAAAACAAATTTTAAAACTTGAATCAACTAAATTTAATAAATATTTTATAACTTAAATAATATAAAAACTATTCCATTTAAGATTTTATAATTTAAATGAAATATAATTTACTAAAGTTAAATACTGATTTTACTTAAATGAATATAATTTTTTTTATTAAATTATTGATACAAATATCTAAATAAATAAAGTTTTAATTACATTTAAATTAAACAAATTAAAATCAAACTATAATTTACTTGAAAAAAACTTTTCAAATTCATTTCAATCGTTTATGAGCAAAGAAATAAAATTAAAATAAAACAGAAATTAAGCATTATTTAAAATAACACTTATACCTTATACCTTGATTTTAAAAGTAGGAAAGCTCTAGTCGGGGTGCCCGACTAGGAGCTGCCCTGATCCCCGTCTTATCTCAGTTTTTAATATTTTCCGTAGTTTGTGTAGAGTATTAAAAAAACAAATAAAAATCGACATAACGATACCAAGATTCGAAGCAACATCAATATATGTGTGCTCTTGTATAGGAAGAATGCGTACCCTTGACGTTGCTTGCCATTTTCAAAGGGTTCAGTGCATAATAAAACATAATTAAATTAATATAAAATAGAGTGCGGGTTAAATTTAACATGCGTTAATAATTAAATATAAGAATTGTAATTTGAAGATCACTTTTGTCACCTATGCACACATGACACAGAATCTATAAGTTAAAACTTTGCATATGAGGCTCGGAGTATCTGTATCCGACATAGAGAACCATTTATTTCTTCTCATATTTTCATAATGGAAAATATGTATTTCTTCTCAATATAGGTACGAACAGGAATCGAAAACTCAATTCGTTGTAGATGCTGTTTACGCGTTTGCCCATGCCCTTCATAATTTGCACAGCGATTTGTGCACCCAGAATGATCAATCTATGGGACCGCACCATCATCAGCATAGCGAAACCGTGTGGTTTCGTAAGCCAGCGGATCGCAAATCGCAGGCGTGCCCAAATATGGCCAGCTACGATGGAAAGGACTTTTATAACAATTACTTGTTGAATGTGTCATTTGTAGGTACAGTATATATGGGGCTTACATATCCAAACAAGTTACCACCTTTCATTCACCATTTAACCCTCTCTCTCTCTCTTTCTCTCTCCCTCTCTCTCTCTCTCCCTTCAGATTTAGCCGGCAGTGAAGTGAAGTTTGACCGTCAAGGCGACGGCTTGGCTAGATATGATATTCTAAATTATCAACGCCTCGATAACTCTTCCGGATATCAGTATAAGGTATAGTTGACTCTTTCTTCTGAAAAAAGTATATTAGTTCTGTGCAATGTCCGCCTTGATATCCGTCCGGCTGGCCGTCCGTCCATCTGCCTGTATGCGCGCCAGCTATTTCGACGCTTGACTTGTACTCGTACCTCTTCTGCTAACGTGTTAAGATTTTTCCGATACGCCCACTAATAAAATAAATACTAAATCGGATATAGGTAAGGTGCTAGAGACTTGAAATTAAGAACATATATGTATATACGTTGACAATCCAAGATCAAAAAGTTGTAGCGGGTATATCTACGCCAATCAGGGACGTGGAAAATCGGAAAAACATATCCTCAAAAGTTTTGAAGCTAGAAGCGCTTAGACCATGAATGGGTATAATGCAGTCGGTAGCGCTCAACTGACCATTTCTTTTTATACCCTGATCCCATTGAAAATGGAAAGAGCTACAGCCGTCAAATTTTTTATTAGTTGTATTGTTATGTTTTGGAAACCAGCTCCAAAGTTTGAATTTTTACTAATTCCCAATGGAACATGTAGATCACATACTGAAAATTTAATTAAAATCCATTAAGTAACACAGGACGTTTGGCCAACTTGCAAAAGCACATGCCAAGCAGCGTTCAGCGAACGCATTTTACCTGTGCCACACAAACATTTTATGTATGTGTGCATGTGTTGCTTCCAAGGTATGTATGAAGGAATTGTAGAATGATTGGAATATCCCCGCCTCGAAGTATTCAGGGTATCCGGTAATCAGTAACAGTTATAATGTGTAGGATGCAAATGATTGATTATTTATTGCAGGTGATTGGTAAATGGTTCAATTATCTTGAACTTAATTTGGATTCCGTCGTGTGGAACAAGGCAAACGAGATGCCAACCTCAGCATGTTCCTTGCCTTGCGAGGCTGGGATGATAAAAAAACAACAGGTAGAACCAATTGTTGTGTCTTATTGGCCTTTAGAGTTTATTCTTGAATATATTTGAACACAGGGGGATACTTGCTGCTGGATCTGCGATAGCTGTGAATCGTATGAATACGTGTATGATGAGCTAACGTGTAGGGATTGCGGACCGGGATTTTGGCCATATCCCGATAAGTTATCCTGCTTTGCGCTCAATATAGAATACATGCGATGGAATTCGTTATTTGCACTTGTTCCATTGGCAATTGCCATTTTTGGCATTACGATGACGATAATAGTTATTGTGCTATTTGCAAGGAATCATGATACGCCTCTAGTGCGTGCATCCGGACGAGAGCTCAGCTATACGCTTCTATTCGGAATACTGGTCTGTTACTGCAATACATTTGCCTTAATCGCTAAGCCAACCATAGGATCCTGCATTTTACAAAGATTTGGCATTGGAGTCGGATTTTCCATTATTTATAGTGCTCTTCTAACAAAAACCAATCGCATATCTCGCATATTTCATTCCGCATCCAAATCGGCGCAGCGTCTCAAATATATCAGTCCCCAGTCTCAAGTTGTGATAACAACATCCCTGATCGGTACGTATAAATAAATAAGGGAAGATAAGACGAGATAGGATGCATTTGAAATTGAGATTGAGATGAGATGATGAGATGAGATGAGATGAGATGAGATGAGATGAGATGAGATGAGATAAGATGAGATGAGATGAGATGAGATGAGATGAGATGAGATGAGATGAGATGAGATGAGATGAGATGAGATGAGATGAGATGAGATGAGATGAGATGAGATGAGATGAGATGAGATGAGATGAGATGAGATGAGATGAGATGAGATGAGATTAGATGAGATTAGATTAGATTAGATTATATTAGATTAGATTAGATTAGATTAGATTAGATTAGATTTGATTTGATTTGATTTGATTATAATAGATTTGAATAGATTTTATGAGATGAGATGAGATAAGTTTGAGATGAGAAAGAGATTGAGATTCAGATTCAGTTTCAGATTGTCATTGGGATGAGATGAGATGGGACAAGTTGAAACGAGTTCAATCCAGTTAATGTTTTTTATTTGTATTTCACGTAGCAATACAAGTTTTGATTACAATGATTTGGATGATTGTGGAACCACCGGGAACTCGATTTTACTATCCTGACCGCACCGAGGTGATCTTGAAATGCAAAATACAGGATATGTCGTTCCTCTTCTCTCAGCTATACAATATGATACTCATTACAATTTGCACAGTTTACGCCATAAAGACGCGTAAAATACCAGAAAATTTTAACGAATCCAAATTCATTGGGTTTACAATGTATACCACATGTATAATTTGGCTCGCTTTTGTACCAATTTACTTCGGTACTGGTAACTCCTACGAGGTAAGACAGCCCAATATAAACTTATTACAATTTAATTGAATTATTTATATATTTATTACATGAAAATAATATAAAGATTTCCTTCTTAATGGTAAAAAAATTAAACAGAAAACAAGCCTTTAGTCGGGAGTGCCCGACTATTACTTTCATTCTATGCTTCTCTCATACATGCATACCAACCTACACATGCACACACACTCTCTTAAATATTGAATTTTGTGGCTTAAAGAGACGAACAGACGAAGATCAAGAGTATATATTAATATTAAATTTAATATAACATTCACATTCTATCAAGGGTAACTTACAATATTTAATAGTATTGGAAATAAATATACTATCAGTCCACACCATTGTATCTAAAACTCTCTATAATGATTTGATGAAAGGTATATGTGTAGCATTGCCCGAAAGATTAATCTAAATAAGCATTACTCACGCAAAACGAATAAAGTACTTCCGCTTAGCATCATACATACTATTCGAATTTGTCATTAAATACGTTTTGGAAGCAATAAAAATAGCATTAAATGTATTGCTACTGCTTTTTGATTCACCTATTAGACTGGTTTTTTATAACACTGAACCAGACTCTTCCGCAATACTTAGTTTGACGACATACCTATCGCCGCAGCCAACTGCGCCGCTGCAACAACTGATTCAATTTCAATTTTAATTTGACTTAGTATTCCTATATTAAACAGTAAATTCTGTTCTTTCATTTCGTAATCGTATAATAAGGGTTTTAATCGATTTCGTGTAAACGAACTTGATCCGCGCGTGCTATGGAAGTTTAGCTATTAGAGGTTCCAAGACAGACAGGTTCAGACATACGAACAGATGGACCAAACCGTATTGCGAATATACATACATACATGTATATATATATCTCGGTGCTGTGTCAATTTTATCTAATTGAATTGTTTTGTGACGTTCCGAAAAACGATTTCCTGCCTTCCACTTTAGACGCGATTCTAGCCACGTTCTCTCTCTCTCTCTCTAACTCAGTTGGATAGGCTCTCAGCCTCTCACTAAAACTAACTCAACAGAAGGAATTACAGCAATCTCAATAAGATTGAAGACTTTGACTTTGCTATTTATATCACAATAAATTTGACAATTTGTTTCCAATTTATTTGTTCTTGACTGCATAGAATATTTCCTTGTATTCCCTGAACCCATTCAAATGGGAAATCAGGGTATAATGGTTTTGTGCAAATGTATGCTGCGTAGTAGACCCCATAAATTATATATTCTTGAACAGTACAAGTCGAGTCGATTGATCCCTGTCCGTCTGTCTGTCCGGCGAATGCATGAATTCGCTATTCCAAGAATCAAAATTGTGATTGAATTGTGCTTGAGTTGCCAGTTGGCTCTGTAAACGCCGAGTCATGGGTCGAACCGTGCGGCGAACGGGTAGTTCGTTTTGTCTTTTATTCCTAGTTGTGAAGTCACGGGGTTGGTAGACTTGCGTAGATAATGTAGGCTCAAATGTGTTTTTGTTAAGACTCCATACAAAGTATTGGGACTGGGTTCATGGTATCTGCTAGTCGGGCACCCCGACCAGAGCTTTCTTACTTTTTTAATATGTATTATTATTTTCTTTTCAATTTTTAATTAAATATTATTTATTTACAGTTTTTGTTTTGTTTTTTTTTTTTTTGCAGATCCAAAAAAAACCGTATATATATAAACTTAATACTTTTTACTTAATTTTAAAAAGTTGGGGTCGGATGATGGGAGCCAGCTATTCCCAGACCACAGCCACATATATACTTAGTGATATTATTGGACTATGGACTTAACAAAATTCTGACATAGAGTCTGAAAACTAATTATAAATAACTACACAATAATCATTTAAAATTAATTAAAACGAAGATAAAAAAGTAAAGAATTAATAAGATAGACAATAGAAGTATATAATATCCAATGGAGAGACAGAGAGACTTAAGCAAAAAGATTGAAAAATGACTAATAATCATGTCAGGTTAGATTTTATGCCCTTTCGGCAAGACCTGAATACCCGCAGTGATTTCCAGAAAATGCTGCGACATAGAAATGGAAGACATGGAATATAATATTATTCTGTAATCTGAGCACTACTCGTTATGGGATTACAAATAAGGAATAATGCTAGACATGTCGAATTGAATATTAATTGGAATATTATAACATGTTTTTACAGATCCAAATCACTACATTGTGCATCTCGATTAGCTTGAGTGCCTCGGTTGCCCTAGTCTGCCTTTACTCGCCCAAGGTGTATATATTGGTCTTTCACCCTGACAAAAATGTCCGCAAGCTGACAATGAATAGCACTGTGTACAGACGTTCGGCCACAACAGGCGCTGGAGCGGGAGCGGGAGCGGGAACGGGAACGGGAACGGGAACCGGAACCGGTGCAGGTGCAAATGCAGGTGCTCAGGGATTGCCAACTAGTTCCGGATACAGTCGAACTCCAATTGGATTAAACTATGGAGACGCAAGCTATGGTGTCGGCGTTGGAGTTGGAGTCGGTGGTGAGATCGGAGACGGAGCCGGTGCCATTACTATGGCAGCGACGGAGCGAGCGTCTCAATATCCCAATTCCGATCTGGATCAAAATCAAAGCGTTGTCATTCATGCAAATGATGAATGCTACAACAATGGTGCTTCCACATCCGAGAATTGCGATTGCGGGTTGGGTATCGGGGATCCAGCCTGCATTGGTATTGAAGATTAGATGAGAATTCTTATATTATAATACTAGCGAAGGTGCTAGCACTCATACATACACACAAACACATATATGTAGACGTGGCACAAGGACAGAATGCCACAGCTTCCACTCGAAGGGAACTCCCAAAACATCGTACAAACTAGTAACAAGGCTCTAGGTCGGTGCACCACTGGAAGATTTTCTGAACCATGCACAGTGCTAATATTTTAATCATTTACAGCTACTTTTATCATCATAGCACGTGAGATGGGCTTTAATATAGAAAATGAACTGTTATAGATGAACCTCTAAATGGATGTCTACGTTTTTCTGTTTCAAATTGTTCCAGAAAGGGGGGAGATAGTCAATATCTGTATATATCCTGGCAGTAAATTAGAATGGTATCAACGTATTGATTATCATCGAAGACGAAGAAATGTTAATAGTTTCAAGTCGAGCTTCTGTGGCTTGCGAGAGCGACGAATCGATATATATAAACTCAATGAGGCATTATACCCTGAAGTCCTATTTTCAATCTGCCTTCTGCATATGTATGTAAGCATGCATGTATTGTCCACACACAATGCATATGCATATGTATGTAAATGTTTTTAATACAATTGTTGGCTAAATATTTACGCTTCTTTTATTGAAACATTTACTTTATTTATATACAAAACGCTTACGAAATGAGCGTATACTCGACGAAAAATCAAATTGTTGCATTTCTCAGAAATATAAAAATGGTGTGTAAAGATTCAAATAGAACAACAATACACACGCACATAATCACTCACGTACACCCACACACACACACACAATATATCACTTAAGTGTTTTAGATTATCCAATATCCTGCGCTAACTCTGCTATCAAGTATATGTAATTAATTATATGTAGTACGTAATGTAATTCGAAGAAATAATATTGTGCATAGTTTGTTAAAGAGAAGTAAGAAAAAAATAGTGAAGAAGAAGATATAATATGAATTAAAGTATTTTCAATTGAAATATATAAATACAAAGAACAAATATTATAAGATTCATTCATCATTGATTTGATATATATACATATAAAGGTCTAAGCATATGTGAACAAACTCAAGGCATTCCTAAAATTTAAGCTTCTATCGCAATGCTCACAGTCTTCAAATACTTTGCAAAACTAAATTATGCCATTTTCCAATTTTTTCTTTTTTTAACAATTGTCACAAATTTTTTCGATATATAGAGATATGAAAACGATATCTATTTGTGAGTATAATTTATTCAAGGTAATTTCGATCCAGTTCCCAATAGATTTTTAGTATATCTAAATTTCGGTTTCTAGTCGCTCTGGACGAGTATTTAGAATTAGTGGCAGATTATCCCACCTACAAACAAGGTTAAAAAGTAATTCATATATATGGTAGGACAATTCGAATAACTAAATAGACAAAATATATTACTGCTCATGCACATTCGAATATTGTTAAATATTATTAAGCAATTGTTTTATTCCCAAGGATATATTCGAATTCGAATTATTATTTCACAACTAATTTTCAAATGTAGCTAAGTAGACTTAAATTTAGTATTTAAGAAACTTTCTTAGGACTCGATAAAAATAAATATGGTACATATATCATACACCGATTTTCCATATCAAATTATTTTTTTTATTTTATTTTTATGTAATGTTTTCATCATGGGGTATCGAAAGTGTTCAAGCGTCTCTGATTGATTGATAATCCAGTCATTAACTTCTGAACAACTTCAGCAATGTTTAGATTTGCACTTACTTTGTCTTTTCTGTCAATCAATCAATCAATTAGTATTAGTAGTTAGGCAAGCAGTAATCTAAGCTGATCAGTCAGTTATTCAATCAATCCATCGCTTGGTATTCAATCCAACCACTATGTCAATCAATCAGTCAGTCAGAATCAAACACTCTTGATTCAGTCAATTAATCAGTCAGAAATTAATAATTATAAGTTAAGCAGTGTATATACATTTAACTGCATACATCCAAACGAAGATTTTTTACATATTTCATTTTATTTTTTTTCTTCTCTTCTTTAGTATATACAGAAAAATGATTTGTTTTATTTTTACAATACAATCTACGATTTATAAATATTGTGAATTAAATTGGATCTCAAATGCTTTAAAAATATCAGAGTGTACAAGTAGTAGTATGCTACATATGGTATATGAACATAATTTATATAAAAACTGTGTTAATATTTTCATTGCGCAAATGAACAAAGGAGAATTTGTAAAATTGTGTTTAAAAGAAACGGGCTTTATTAAAAATAATACACAAAAATCATTTCAACTAATTATAGTTTAGTTTTAATTTAAGTCTCTTTTAAAATAGATATATTTGCTTAAGTCTTAATTGAGCACTGTGGCTGAGGAATGTTGCATGCTACGTTCGAATTCTTCCAAGCTGAGCGCCTGATTCATATTCAAAGGGGGCAATTTCCCAGCCGATGCTCTGGCAAGTAACTCTGGGGAAAACCATTGTGCCAATTGATTTGTTGTTGGTGATAATCGTTCGTCTCTTTGATGATAGTTGTTGATCGGTCTGAGGTTATTGTTTTTCATTAAATTTGCAGACAATGCAGAGTCGGCGTTGCCATCGGGGCCACCTAAAAATACATTAAAAATACAAATATTAATAATAAAAAAATCACAACAAATCAGACTTCCTCCAATCAAGCACTCTCGATACCAACCAAAGGCAAAGTCGTATAATATACATTAAACACATGATCTACACATGATCGAGACGAGTGTAAATTAATTAAGTTCGCTATCATTTTAATCAAGTAAGCGCAAGCATGAAAGTTATCGATAATAGAAAACTAAACCGAACTGCACATGCTAGAGATGGACCTAAGTGTATAATTAGACATCTTATATACGTTATGCCTACATAATACCTGAACGATATTATTACCTGCCATAGAAACTGATTGTATTGTTGAATTATTTTGACGATGTAAATCTCCATGCAATAAAAGATGCCCAGGCAGTGACTGGGGTTGGGTCTGCGATCTTTGCTGTTGGATAAAATGTTGTTGTTGAAGTTGCTGCAACTGGGAGGTAATTCCTTCGTTATATGGAACAATTTGAAGTGGAGACAGTCCAATGCGAATGCTCTCATTATTTATTGTATCCGCCGTTGTTTGTGTTTGCATTGATTTTAACTTTTGTTGATGCATCTGTTGTTGTAACTCATTATTTAGTAGAAATGTTGCGGGCATTTGTGAACCCGAGTTCAAAGTTCCTTTTAAAATCGGACGCCCTAGAACAAAAGAAAAAAGTAATAATTCAAATAAATTTAGGTCGATTACTAAAATTTTTCCATATACTTAATTACCGAAAGATTTTGTACCATGTGATGTTGCTGTGGATATTTGCATATTTCCAGGTGGCCATCGATTTTGCTTTTGCGACATCTGCGGCGGTAATTTTGGTGAATTTTGTGGACTATTGGTATTCAATTGATGCTGCATCGCGTAATTGCCACCCAAAATCATTCGAGGTTGCAACTGATTTGGTGGTGATGTTTCATTCAACATATTATGTACTATTCGCTGATTATCCAGTTTTGGATGTGGCGGCGCTGATAGTTTATATTGCTGAGCATATTGTTGCTGCTGCACTTGATTGAACGTAGAACTGTTATTCAATGTGGATGATGATGTCTCCTTATCAGCTGTCATTTTTCTTAAAACCGATGTTGGCGTAAATGCTAAAGGGGTCGGTGAATTAGTATGTGTGGGATTTTGATGGAGACCTTGGCTCGTTGTGTTTTGATGTGGGTATATATCTAAACATATTTAAATATATTACATATATTAATTGAAAGGTTTTTAGTCAACAAATTTGGTTACATACCATCAGGGCTCACATTCTTGCTAAAGAATTGATTATTTTTCACAATATTTTGAGAATTTGTGTCATTTGCATACGTTAGATGTTGATGTTGCTGCTGGTGGAGAGTATTACGCCCAGAACTGGTGTACTCAAAAAGTACTGCTGAAATTATTTCTCTCGATTGAGGCGTTCCATGCGGATTATTTAATTCCCTTTCTAAAAGTTCAACCGAAACATCGCCTCGAGCAACACCTGAAAAATAAAAGTAATACATTAAATTCAAGATGTTTAGTAATATCGAAAACCTACCAATCTAAAATCTTACCTTGTAATAATTGTTGAATCTCCATACGTTTATGCGTTTGCAAGGAAATATTTAATTCATGAACATGAGGATGTATTTGATTTTGCGACATCATCTCCATATGCCTATGTGACAAAGAATCATTCTTTTTAGGCCGTTGTTGTTGTTGATATAGATGAATATCATCTTCTCTAATTTGATTTGGATGCTGCTGTTGTTGTTGCTGCTGCTGTTGTTGCTGTTGTTGTTGCTGCTGCTGCTGTTGTTGTTGCTGCTGCTGCTGTTGTTGTTGCTGTTGTTGATGCTGTTGTTGGTGTTGGTGGTGGTGGTGGTGGTGCTGCTGCTGTTGTTGTTGTTGTTGTTGTTGTTGCTGCTGCTGTTGTTGCTGTTGTTGTTGCTGCTGCTGTTGTTGTTGTTGTTGTTGCTGCTGCTGCTGCTGCTGCTGCTGCTGCTGCTGCTGCTGCTGCTGCTGCTGCTGCTGCTGCTGCTGATGACGAGGAACGCAGCGAACTGCTGTCACATTCCCAGTTATAGGGTATGTTAATTCAGAATTGCTCTGTGAGCCCAATTGTTGCAAAAGTCTTTTAAAACCTTCTGTATCTCTGGTAACAGATTTATCTCTCTGCTCGGAATACATTGTTTGTCGTTGTTGATGTGCATTTGCCTGCGATTTATTTATATCATATTCCGGACGTAAATCAACTTTTCTCATTTGTGCTTCTAATTCTTTTACACTCGGAATTTCTGAAATTAGAAATAAATTTTACAAATTCAGATTTGAAAATTAGAGAAGTCATCGACGATTTACAAGCTTAACTCTGCGTGCTACATATCTTTCGAGCCAGACTGACAGACAGATGGCCAGGATAAAATCGTTGTTGATTAAGAATAGACGTGCTTCGCTAAGGAAAATTAAGCGCTTTTCTAGATGTATATTCCTAAGAAAAATATACGAATATGCATTTCGAATTTCAAGTATAGCTTTCATGGCTTACGAGGTTATACGGATATAATATAAAACACTTTAAAGGGTGTCCCACGCCACCTGTTACATACACTATCAAAAAACCACTACAACCAATTCCCAGCTCCAAGAGATTTAGACGATTAAAATAGTAGATATATTTGATCAGCCTACGGTTCGGTGCAGTCATCAAATTAGATGGATACTGATGCGAGGTGGAACGAGTATTCCTCTTTTTTGACTAGCATCTTACCCAAAGGATAACTGGGGAATATGCTACAGTGTCTCAAATATTCCGTTTTTTTTTTTTAAATTAGAAACGATATTCTGATTCTTGTTTACAAAATGTGGTTTAATACCTTGCGTTTCAACTGTAGCAGAGTCTCCAATAAATACGTGATCGTTGTTTTTTGTTGGCTCTTTGCATGCAAACCATTGACTGAAACGCGATGTACTTTGGACATCCCCTTGCACCTCGCTGTCGTTTCCCTAAAAAATAGAAAATGTACTTCAATTGATAGAATATATTTGATAAATTGATGGTATACCATTAGTGCATGATCCATTGGATCCATGTTAAGATAGGCATCGAAATTGAATTCAACTTCAGATTTTGGAACTGAATTAGAATTATAATTGTTTTGTTTATTATTTGTTGCAGCATGTTGTTCGTCCACATCATTTGTGTTATTATTTAAACTGGCTATGCTACTTCTTCTTGATGATGGATGATTTGTCTTAACATCTGATGCTTTGTTAATATCATCTTTGATGTTTTTCAACTCTACCGATGAATTTTCGCTTTCGTAATCATCAAATCCATGCAAATCAATTGTTTCATGCTGTGATGTAGGTCCAGCACTAAACCATTCCGGCTCATGTCTATCATGTCCTTGATATAAATTCATGCGTTTGCCACGATTTTGCATATTGCCCGAGTGACATTCACCGAAATTAAATTTATCTTTATTGTTTGAAGTGCGACTGCGTCCAGTTTGAACATTTTTCTTTCCATCGTTTTGATCGCGATTATTATCCATTGGTTTGCGACGATCTCTCTCACGATCGCGATCGCGATCTACTAAATTATCGATGTGTTTTCCAGATGATGTACGCAGACGCTGCTGTTGTGGCTGATGTTGCTGATACTGGTTGGCTGGGTTTCCATTTTGTGGTCGTTCCTTATCAAGATTATTTAATAAATTATCTGTTTCTTTGTGTTTTGTATATTCCCAATTATCATTTCGTGGTAATAGGCGGCCACTTCCAATACGTCTTTCCTGTACATTCAAGCTGCTCGCCGCCTGACGTCCACCTAAGAACGAAGTCGGGGACATCGATTGCTCATTATGTGGAGAACTTAAGTGTTTTTCACCACGTTCCCAATCTGCTGACGCACCAGCAGTTGTACCAGAAGCTCGGCTGATAGAACGCACTTGATTGTGACTTTTTAGTTCAAGGCTGCTTTGAGGACCCGTCGCAGCAGCTGCTGAGCTATTTTCTTTCATATTTCCATCATCATTTTGCGTTTCGGTTTGTTCAACTACAAAACGTTTTTTCACAAAGGCTGGCATTAAATGCGCTGAGGATATACTACGGTGATCTATATTGGGCGATTTGTATGTGGAGACACACAGATTGCCACTGGCTGAGGCTAAGTTAGTCTGCTGTTGTAATTCCTCTCCAGAAATTTGATCGCCAGAAGTAAAACGTTGATAATAATTGTGAGCACGTTCGCGATTTCGCAGTGCTCGTCTCGAACTCAAAAGCCCATTGGCATTAGTTAGACTTGAACTTTCCCTTTCTGGGGATAACCCACTCTTATTTCCACAGCTATTGCTGCTGCTGTTGCTTACATTTGTTTGAAGCCCATTATTTTTCCAAAAATTTAACGTCTGCAGATCAGCTCGATGTGCACAATTCGGTCGTTGACGTGAACTTCCTTCATAACGCAGAGCTAGTAAATCAGATCGCGAATACCTAAAGAATTGCAAAAACAGCATTTCATTATTGTTAATTTTCTATGTTGTATATAAGCATTGGAGAAAGTATGAAAATAGTTAACTTGGGCATATTTCTCTTGCCTTTCTTCATACAAGCTATGTTTTAAAATATTTTATTGCACAAATATGTTAAATATTTTCTTACTTTGAAATCAAAAGTGAAACATGTATAATATCTTACCTTGATTGATCGTTAATAATGTCCATTTTGTACCTCTTCAGTCCTGTCTTTCTTCTACACTCTTACAAACAAATCTTGAAATACATACGTATGCTGATGCGCACATTTATATTTATTATTCAGAAAAATATAATGGCTAGTATATAAACATATATATATGTATATGTATATGTATATATATATATATATATATATATATATATATATATATATATATATATATATATCTAAGTATATATAGTAGATAATTGTAATCGCACATTTTCTTACTATATAAATACGTCATATTTTAAATAATGAAATAGCATTTTTAAAGATATTTCAACTGTGCAAAATAATGTGAATTTACTTAGCGTACATTCATTGTTATACCTTTACAAATACACATACGTACTTATTTAGATGTATGTATATACTTACACCCAAATATGTCGGAAATGTAAATCTGAGCTTTGTTTTGTGTACATTTAGTATGCTCACATTTTCTTTCGCTGCTATTTTAAATTACAAATTTGTTATTGCGTTAATTTTTGCGTTTGTAAGATTTTTTTCATGAAATTATCGCTTCTTAGAGTTTGTGCTTAACGTTGAACTAGTTCACTAAAACAGTTCAATTTATTACGGTTGCAAAAATTATTGACTCGATATATATAAAGCAATTAGGGGATATGCAAATATCTTGGTTTTCGTACGTAGCACTCCAAATACATTTATTAATTTTAATATTGTAGTAAGTTAGCTATATTTTATTTGCCGATAAGGCATTCGCGAACGATACCAATCAGTCGTGTAGCTTCGATACTATTTCACGATTAGTATTTATTTTTATGACTATCGCTATTACTTCGAGATGAGCGAACAACAGCTGCACATTATCGATTAAAAGTATTTCGACTCTAGTATTTTTGTATTGGCGATTTTGAATCTTCCAACGCCAGTGCGCTTCGAGCGCTTAACCGACGCTATTTTCAGATAGGGTTCTGCAATGCTCCATTTTTGTTTTTTACGTTCTGTAAATTACTCTCAAATATATGTTGATATATCTGTATGTATGTATGCACAAGCAACAATGCAGGGCAAGCGTTCCATTTTGTTATTTATTTAGTTGCTGAGTATTGTCTTAGACTTTATAGCGCATCTAGCTCTAAGCCTTATCTAATGAGAGGGCAGATATGTCAGTAATTCTGCGCTTATTGCTTCTAACTAATTCTAAGTTACCCAGAGGATGCAATGCTTGCGAGATGTTTAGGATGCGCTGCAAGTCTCTCCGCGTACCAATGAGTTCGCCACTGTGGGAATTGCTAAATCCATATTTAAAACTGACTTTCTTACAAACCAGCTGGCTCCAGTTGATCTGCGTAGCGCTTTATTCTGCAGGATCTGAATTTTGTTCCTTGAAGTCCTCGCCGAGCAGCCCAATAGAGAGATACCATACACGAAGGTTGGGACAACTACAGCCTTGTAGATGGCGGCCTTGCTGCTGTAAGGCAGTTTGCTCGAAGTTCTCAGCATCCAATCGAGGGGCTTTCGCTTGCTTTTGCATTTTGTGGTTACTTGACTTCAGCCTTCTGTCCAAGGTAACGCTTGAGCAATCACCTCTTCTAGTGGCGAAGGTTGTGGGTACTGACTTTTGTGCATTAATGGTGATACACCACCGTTTTGCCCAGCATCCGAAGGAATCGAGATATCTTTGTAGTGAAGCAGTGTTGTAGTGTTCTTACGTAGAGACGTTACGTGACAAGATGGCGGTGTCATCTGTATAAGTCGCTGTGAGAACTGCATCGGCAGTTCCTATATTGGGCTCGGGAGTTGGCATATCTGCAGTGAATAAAGTGTTCAATGTTGGACCTAGAACACTATCCTGTGGGACTCCAGCCATAATTGGTCAAGTCGCGGATACTGCTTGCCACTTAGACACTTGGAAGCTTCTTCCAATCAGATATGAGGACAGCAACACGAAAAATGGGGCTGAAAGGGTGGTCCTCACTTTATGCAGCAGTCCCAGGTGCCAGACTCAATCAAACGCTCCTAGGATATGGTGTTTAGTGGCGTTCCAGAAATATTCTTTCGACTATTTTGGAGAGTACTGGCAACAGACTAATTGGTCTGTACGACCCTATTTCGCCCACGGGCTTGCCAGGCTTAGGAATCATCACAATCACGGCGCGCTTCCAGCAGGCTGGAAACGATATCTTCTGTTGCTTCGATTTCTGAGGCCTCGGCGGTAATCACCAGCGTGAATTGGTCTTGAAGATGGTTGGAAAAAGCCTCAGCTTGAGCTTTCTCTCCGATGAGCCAGGAGCCAGAAATGCTGCGAATGGGATGACGACGGATTGGCTGCCGATTAAGCTTACGCGTAAATTTACATAATTTAAATTCTGCGTCGTGGGCGATTCAGCTAGTTCCAGTGCGCTGATACGCCTCTTTTGAAGCTGGGCTAGAGTAGCTTTGAAATGCCTCGTGGCTTCGTTGTAGGTGGCTTTAGCATTAAGCGTGCGTAATCGTAACCAGCGTCTCCTGGCCCATTTCGCGTGAATTGTGACTATTAATGGCAGGTGGTCAGTGGATAGGTCCAAAGAATCTTCAATGGTCAGTTGCCGATCACAGATGCCTTTGTAGACCGCGAAATCGATTGCAGAGGGCTTTTGTCCATTAAGTGGGTAACGAGTAGGAGCTCCAGTCGCCAGTATGATGATTCGCACTATTGCTACCCCAAAAAGGATGCCAACCATTCCATGTCATGATCACGCAGACCAGTGTTTGGCGGGAGATAAATTGACGCAACCACGATCGCTCAAATAGACGTAGGCAGAGTGTAGGCTGAGACCTGCATTGTTGAAGTGGAAATTGGCAATAATGGTGTGTGCGCTATTGTTGCTCGTATGAGAATTGAAGATCCACCAAAGCAGTTTGCTCCTTCACCTGATAGTGTTCATATCCGAATGTTTGTGTAGCGGGGCACTCATGAGTTTCTGATATTAAGATTATATCAATGTTTTTTACGAGAGAAACACAACCAGTTCCTGAGTCTTGTTTCTCAGCCCATTGGCGTTCCAGATACCCACACGTAGAGCCATTATTTGGGGCCACGCTTGGTTATGTGGGCCATTAAACTGGTTAGTATGTTTGCCTGCTGGGTTTGTCGTTGTCGCATCGCTTTGAGCTCGGCCTTAATTGCATCAAACTGGCGCTGTTATGGACCCGTAGACTGTGTTTGTGTGGAACTGCTTTTTTGTACTGGGGATTGCAACTTGAGCAATCGCAAGAGCTGTAACTCGCAATCTTTGGATGCGTGTTTCCCGCACATCTGGGAGCTTTGTGGCAGTAGCGTTGGGTTGGTCCAAATTCCTGACAGCGATGATATTGCCTGCAAACAACTCCTACCTCCAAAATTTGTTCGCTGTTGGGGGCCTGAGCCACGTCAACAAAAAATTATTTAACGGGGTGTTGTCCCTACGGCTTAGTGGGTTGTGCACATTTGTAATATTGTTGCCTTTGGATTCCAATTCGTCTTTAATAAGTGATATGTCAGTGCTGGAGTGGAGCCCTTTGAAGCAGACTCTTTATGGCTTTATAGCAGTGGAACTCCAAGCCCAGCTTAGTAAAGTGGTCTATTAGTGTGCGATAGTCCTCACTGCATTGGGTTAATACACTTATATTGTTCCGCTTTGGTTTAATCACGTAGGATTTAGCATCGATGACTTTGTCGATTATGTGTTGGAGCAAGGCCACAGATTTGATGTTTGGACACCATATGGGAGGCGGACGAGGCTTTGGTATGATTTGCTGGTCAGTCAAAACTGGGGCTTCAGGAGCTACTCGTATATCGCTATATTGACTTTAATTTAAGCATTAAACCAAGTAAGTTACGGGAAAACAAGCGATAAGAAAACGCTGCGTGTACAGTTTTTGTTGTTGTTGCGTTAAAGAATGCACCGCAACGTTCTATTTTTAGAACTCTGCAGCGGTAGAGCTTAAACACAGGCTGTTCGGATTCTATGTAACAAATCTTTACAAGGCAACGACTGCGCGCGAGTGACTGAGAGAAGAGTGTAGACAAACCATGAAAAGGTTTGCCATGCTCATGCAATATGTTAGCATTTACATTATTATGTGTGAAAGCGCTTATGAGCGTCAAGTGACATCTCTAGCGAGCGTGCCTTGCTCAAATGGATGATGGTATTCAATGGTATTCAAAAGCAATTTGAAATTGTTCGATCTTTTTGGACTGAATTCACACATTGCATATGTGGGCGTGGGGGATGCCTGCAATGATCAAAATTGTCGGCTCTTTGGTATAAATTGTAGAGCCTTTATGACCTGCAGAAGTAATTTTAGACTCATACTTATTCCTTGAATACATTACATACATAAATGTACATAGATACATTTATAAACATACCTATGTATTTATTTATTTTAAATTATTTACATATACATTTAGATTATCATGAGCAGGGCAAAACTTTCATGACTTTTTTATACTCGTCTCTGAGAAGAGTTAAGTGAGACAGACCTCTTGGTCAGTGGGTTGAATTTTTTTCCCGTCAATTCTGGCTTTTTGTGATGACCAATTTGAAGATAAATTTCTTAAATGCGAAAATGTATTTGCCTATTTTTAATTTATTATTTCGATATAAAAATTATGAAAAATTGATAGCTATATAATTCTTTCACTATATTTTCCAATGACAACTCTAGCCTAAGCCAAAACATTATCTCTACATATATTAAAAGTTCACGAATTGGTAAAATGCATACATGTAAGATACCAAAAAGAATATACACATATGTGTCGTGATGCTTGGCTGAGAAAATGTAAATGTAACAGTTGGTAACTAATGGATGATATGGATATGGATATGGATCACATATCTAAACTGGTGCCCCAGCAAAAAAAAAAAAAAAAACAAAATTGTGTCGAATAAGTTTTGTAATATTTGAATACTAATATTAATACTAATATAATATTAAAAATATTTCGAAAATTGAACGAAAGACATCCATTAAGTTATGTGGGAAAATGTGAGCGACACAACAAACTTTTGGGAAGAAGTTGACCTCTATACAGATTCAATTTCTATTCTTGCCAAGCTCAAATGCAAAAATAATACTGGTCAAATATCATATTACTAAGGAACAGGATTAATCTGAGCCCGCTCAGTAAGAATACTATGCCTATGGTTAAGCTAATTTAATACTCAAACCCATTTTGCTGATTTATTTATGGTTGATTTATGTACATATACAGAACTGCTTAGTAATTACGAATCTATCGTACGGTAATGAATCTCAGACCGATCTTTCAGAGTTAGGTTACCATATGAAAAGGCTCTATACATTTTTTCTTTGCTTTTTTGTGTAATTTTTCATTTCAATTGTATTGCTTATACATCTGCCTCGCACAGACTCGTACGCATTCCTGTCTGCGGATTCAGTGACTAATTTTTCTAGGTGTACTATTTTGGCTAGGACGAGCTCAGCTGACCGGGATTGCGCACAATCGACAGGAATCGCAAATATCTCAGCTGGAGCTGCGAGTTGCCATCGCTCTCGACCTGATTGGCGTTGAGTAGAGAATGACGGACTTTATGACACTCATCAGAAGATGGCGTCGTTGTTGTTTAGGTCCCCGCGTGTCCACCATGATCAGCTGCTTTTTTATGCACACATTCCAAGTGCTGGCGGAAAGTCTTTCTTGTGTCTAACATGACGCTGAAGATACTTTAGCGCCCTCTTTGACGTACTGGTTGTGCTGCCAATCCTGAAATAGGCCGATTCCATTTTTTCCCGTCGCTAACAAGGACTGTGGTAACGGCGGCTATTTCAACAGCAAAGGTAGATCCAAGCGTAGTGGACCGGCGTACATTGAATTCCACAGGAGGGACCCTAGGACTGAAACCCTCACTCGTGTTGAATACTAGTGTTCTAACTCTGAATTAACTGTTTATTGTCTCTCGTGGATACTGCTTTCAGCAACCGAACAGTTTATATTATATTAGCAAATGAAATTGAATAAGAAATAAGTGTTTTGTTTGTGTTATCAATTTATTGTACCTTAAAATTTATAATCGGGTTATATATAGATTGATTTACATAACTGTTTTTAATTATAAGAATATATTCATATATTTCAAATGTTGTTTTTGTAATAATCATTTCATTCGATGCCATTTTCAATTATTCTCGCTGTAGAATCACTGGAATATAAATGTCTAGGGGTATTTATGGGGCTCGATGGTCTTTCGTGTTGGTGTTGGTGTTGGCGATTTCGAAATGAATTCAAATGTGATCTAAAAAATACTGGAAACGTAACCCGCTGCGGTATATTATGTAGACTAGCTTGCCCACAAAATATCTTATCGCTATCGATCTTCAATGCATTCTTTTTCAATAATTGACGTTGGCTTTGTTGACTCATTAAGTACTTGCGCCGAGACAGTCTCTTCAATCCATTTAATCCACTTGCATCCTAAACAAAAAAGAAATTCAAAATAGTGTTTATGTAAATAAATGAAATGAATAAACTTAAATAGAACAAGACAGTAACCTTTAGTCGGGAAGACCCAAGTAGAAGATACCCTAAACTCCATAGATGGCACCTTTGTATAGATCCTATTGTCAAGAAAAACAAACAAGAAAGCTCTAGTCGGGCTGCCCAACTCAGAGATACCCCAAACCCCGCCCACTCTGTGTTGTTAGCCTGCTAGCTCTATATATGTACAAATAAAGAAAGAAAAACTGACAATAAGACACCAGGACTCACGCAGCAACTCTTCCAACACCACCACTTCATGTGTGAAAACGAAAAAAAAGCCCGTCGTTGCCACCGTGAATCTTCCGTATAAACATTACCCGTTACAGATTTTTATTAAAGGAGCTCTGACAATTTCAACACAATTCAATCGCAATGACGATTCTAAGACTAAACGAAAATAATAACTGAATAACTGAACACTTAAACGGGAATATTTTTGATTATTTCAATCAAACTCCATCTCGTATAGGTTCTGAGATGGACACGTACTTTGACAACCGAGTTGGCTTGTTATGTACATATGATACATTTGAAAAAGCCATTTTACCCTGATTTCTTATTTTCAATAGTTTACAATTTAAAATCCAGTAACACATTAGCTCGCGATAATTTGTCCCACGTTGAGTCCAAAATCTCAATAATTCGTAAGACTGATGTTTCATTTAACATATTTTATTAACTCGTAAAAGCTCTATATTTTTCGGTCCCCTCGATTATTCGTATAATTTTTTCCATGCAAATAATATTTTACTCTTGTAAATTATTATTTTGTTTCGAAAGGCCCTCCAATGTGTAATGCGAAACTTGTTGTGAGTTCCCGCAGGGATTTGTCGACAGTTATGTCGTCGTTATGTCGTCTACATGCTGAACCGTTTAAGTATTAGGTATTCGCAGGGTTCATGGTATTTCCTAAACGAATTGCCTCGACTAGAACGCATCTACTGTTTGAAAGCTTCAATTTGTGTTCATTTAATTTTAAGTGTCTATTTAATTTTCCTTTGTAATACCACATAAGTAAGACGTTTATAAGTCTAATAAAGCTAAATATCTAAACATCATCTAAAACATATAGTCCCTGTTAGTTCAAAGAGTGGTTAAATGAAAAGTCGACTCATGTATTTCATAAAAAATTCGACTATATTCAAAAACGTGTTTTCTGTAGATTTGGGAAGGGGACGATCCAAATCCCGAATATTTAACAAATCGTTTTCATCACAGGAATCTACAAATATGAAATCACCAACTGTTTTAGTATAAAAGGAAATAAAAGTAAGAATATTGCACTGTCAATTACTTATTTACAATCTAAACGCTGGCACCTCCACAACCTTGGAAGATATGGATTTTTCAGATTTGTCACGGTGTCAAGAGGCATAGATGTATATATCTACTTTACGATAAAGCTCCAAAACTGGACTTAGCTACGCTTCCTTCCGCCTGTTATATTTGGAGAAAATCATTTTACTCTGAACTTCTTCTTCTTCAAGGTATAACAAGCAATAGACTGACTGACTTGGATATACCCCCAACTCATGTAGGCCTAAGCAAGCGCTCTGTTTACTGTTTAGATGGACTTCTATTTCAAATACGTTTTTGCACCTTTTGGGAGCAAGAGGAGGAGATCTTAAACATTTACTTAACTGAAGCTACGCTTAAAAAAGGGAATGCGATGAATTATCGAAAAGAATACAAACTTGTTTCTCGTTTTTGTGATTTACTGATTTAATGGTCCAGATCAAGAATATATTCTTTGTGATCTCTATCACACCTCCTTCTGATTATTACGTACATTTCAACAAAATCATTATACCCCGAAAAGAACAACGAAATGAATTATATATATTTGAAGTACCTCAATATTTTTTTTCACATCAGCATTTCTGGCCATAGATGTTAGTTTATATATTTCATGATTGTGAAGATTAAACTTTGAGCAACTATTTGATTTGAAATCAATTTCGTCTTCAACATCTGTTGTAATACCATCGACGTCGACATCATCATTGGGGCTAACGGATTGGGAATGTGAAATAGAATGGGTTTGGGAATGAGTTGTACTGAGCGAGTTGATATCATCTGGGCAAATGTTGATTGATTCATTTACTATGAAAGCATCATCTTCAGTTGTCTCAATATCGACAACTTCATCATCATCATCGGCAACATGATCGTTATCTACGTTATTAAGATCATCATTATCATCCTCATTATCGTCATCTTTATCTGCATTTCTAGTATATAAAGATTCTATGCTTCTCATCTGATTATTTCCATTAAGTTCGTTTGGCTGCTCGATTTGAGCAGCTGTTGAATTAATTATTGAACCCGTTGGCAAACTTTCAGCCGTAATGCTGTTGTGTGTGAAAACAGTCGTCGTCTGTGTTGGACTTATGTAAACATTACTAATTGAGTCATTCGAACGCGTTGCATACAGTGAAGTTGACATAATAGCAGCCGAAGCGACAACCGGCTTAAAGGCCGAACAACTCAATATCGATGGTATATTGAAATCGGTATGCTCATCGTGAATCTTGCGATAGTTGATCGATGTGCGTGGTTCATTTTTAATCACATTCAATGGCTGCTGCATATTACTTAAATCGGTTCTTATCCATGGACAAGTTTCATTCATTGCATCGCTATTACTCAATTTTTTTGTTGTTTGATTTTGCTGCTGCTGCTGTTGCTGCTGCTGCCACATCGTATAATCGACAACAAAGTTTCGCGATAGTGGCACTATCGATAAATCGTGCTCGTTGCGTAGCGATTGCAGTGGCGATAGTACGGTTGATCGATGTAAATTGAAGCCCGCAACTGCTGTTACACCAACACCAACAACTGCTGCTGCAGCTGCAGCTGCTACTGTGCTATAGTTGTACTGCTGATTCATAGCTCGCTTCGTCGTCGTCGTTGTCGTCGTACACAACGTTTCTTCAAGAGTTGTTTTTGTCTCACAGCTGATTGACGATGAATTGTTTATTGGTGTTTGATCTACGGCTGGTGAATTTTGATTACGATTGCAACTGCTACTGTTGCTGCTATTACTCCGACTGTTGTTGTTATTGCAACTTACAAGTCGCTTCCTTGTGCCACCATTAAACATTGCCTTAACATCTTCCCATGCATGTATTATCTTCTCATCATGACTATGGCCACTCAATGTCATATGACGCCGCCACGAATTAAAGTTTGCTGCATCTGGCTGTATATAGCGATCGTTGGTGGTAATGCGATGTGAATGGAATATGAATTTATTTGGCGAGAAAAACATGCCACAATAGCTGCACTTAATGCATTTGGCACGCGATGAATTATAGCGTGCGGGCAGAAACGATCCACGACAGCCCCAAGCACATTTGTGCTGTACGCTGAATGCAAAATCATCGGGTAGCCGAGGCGGTGTATTATCACCCAGAAAACTCTTACAAAGCCTTTCCGCCTCTCGCCGCGTTATCATGCCGCATCGTCTCGAACTAACTGGCATCGCGCCTGCTCTGCGTAGTATCTCCAGCTGCACGGGCGTGCATTGAACGCACGTTATACCCAGTGCAACGCGACGATTGTGGATCTCATTATAACTGAACTGCTTCAAAAGTGTGTTCGAAATCTGGGCCAAACACAGGCGCTCTTGGCCCTCAATGTACAGAGATACTATTGGTATGCCATAGAGCATTACGGAGCTTACCTAAAACAAATCAAAAACAAATTATTTTTACTACTTTTTATTTTTAATATAAATATATAAAGTTAAGGTATATTGTTTTTTTTTTTTTTATTTTTATTAATATTGAACATTTTACTATTGTTTATTTAATTATATTAACTCATTGTTATGATTAGCTACATATTCATATATTTTCTCTTATCCTAAACGTCTTCTTATATTATGGAATAACCATGAGCTAATCTTGTTTTCTCGCATACATCGTAAATATCTTATATATACTGAAAGGGGAATATATAAGTTTTCTGCAATGGCTTAATACTACTTTTTTCTTCAACACTACAGAGATATGTCAAATTGAATTTAACTTCAAACTAAGTTGTCCACGAGTATGCATTTCAAATTTTCGCGTCTCTAGCTTCAATAGTGTCAAATCAATTGCGTTCATGTGCACAGACGCAATACTGATATCGACTCTTTCTTTATATATATAAATAATTTAATTAATAATATATATATATATATATATATATACATATATATGTATATATAATATTTAAATATATATGTGAATATATCGAAAATCACTTGTATTTCAAATAATGTTGATATCGGACGTGCCTGTATATGTATATATATATCTGAACTTTTACTAAACACTATTTGCTCAGCTCCCACTTGCAGCATCCCTAGTTGACAACAGTAGTCAACAGTAAATTCCTTCATTTATTCCTATTGTGTAACATGAATATTCATATTGTATATTATCTATATAGTACAGTAGCCAAATTAGAATTTAATAGCAGTTTGTACGGCGTAGAGGGAATCTAATCAGGGCACTAACAATTATTTGAATTAGGCACACCGTGTCTAATGCTCTCACATTTCTGACAACAATTTGAAGCAAAATCAGTCGAATGGGAAAACAATTTATTTATATCCTATTTATTGCATAAGTGGGAGGAAAACTTTTGCAGTCTTCGTTGTCTTTTTGTGATTGGTTCCAATACAGAATCAAAGCACGTAGTCTACAGGACCTCAGGGACACATTTGTCTACTTTCGATTCGGTCTCTGTTCACACACCCTAAGCAGAACAAGTTTATGTTTTTTTCTTTTAGTAGCTATACGATTTCAATAATTGTGTGTGTTTTTTTGGTAAAAGTCAACGCACATGATTCGATTTCGGGGATACGGCTATTTGGCTGTTTTCCATTCCATTTCCCGGAGTTGAAGGACGAGTTGATCTTTGTATTGACTCTGGGAACGCCATTAATGCAATTTCTGCAAATAAAAGAAAACCAAAAAATCTGTAATGTTCATGTTTTTCATAATTTCATAAGCTAGTTAGCCAAAGGATTGCGATACTACTCCCAAACTGACCCAAAAGAAACTGGTATATTTCTCGATATATACATCGATTACCCAGAACAAAAAACTATCAAAAAACAAAATTAATGAAATCCAGCAAGAGAGAATGTTGTAGATAGGTTCGAAAGCCTGTATAATACTCGTTTAGAAGACAAAATATTCAAATATTCGACTTGCAATGCCTATTTATATCTAGTTCCCAATCTGTAGAATATACCGTTTTCCTCGAGCAATCAAGCTCTATCAAGCCGACGTCGATATTTATACTTTTGTAAATTACAATAAAAGTTTATTTTATTGGAGCACCACTTTTATTTATCATTCATCCCTCATTATTCCTTTCTTATCTCTCATGTAAGTTTAGATTGACAAACATCTAAAATATAAATTAACTGGAAGCGGCTATTTTAAAGTTAGACTGTTTACTGCACACAAATTTTATAGCTTATTTCTGATACCAATCGAGCCAGAGGAGAACGAGAACATGAATATGGAAGGACAGACATATTAAAGTTAGATATAAATTTATTCAATCTGAGCAAAGCACGGCCGTTGGCACATTCAATTATATTATGCGTGTGAATGGCATAATTGAAAGGAAGATTGTCCCTAGAGACAATTCGTTAAAGATAATATGGTTACACGAAAACAGTAACAAAGTACAGATTGTTAAGCTTAATGCCAATGTTTCCCTTATGGGAAGCGAAACAAATGATTGCGAGACTTCTTAACTTCCCAAGCGAGAGGCGAGCAGGGCGCAAGTCATCGGAGGGTTGAACGAATTACAAACCAGCGACGTAAATAATGACAAAATTATGTTAGTATTTGAAAAAACAGACCAGATTGCCAACAATGTGGCAGATGTACTTAGTTAGTCAGCGAACAATAAAGTCGGGCGGGGGAAGCATTGCTCAAAGCTACAAAATATTGCGCGGGGTTGTTTTTTCATTTTAAAAGCGATTTATGTATCAGAGTCGATATCCTTTAACAATAATACTAATATTTGTTATTTATAATTTTTAATGATAATTATAATTATTATAGTAAATTGTTTGACTCTATGCATTATTATTTTACCCAGAACCCATTGAATGACCGATGGAGCTGTGGAAGACCACATAATCTTTGTATAAGCTGTTGATTAGGAGCAACATATGCATTGAATAAATGAAGATCGAATTAAAACATATCTATAAAATCAATTGTTGATTATTCGATTCCATTGTAATTGTGTCTTTAGGTTTTTGCCTAAAATCTTCTTTTAGCAATTCAAAGTTGATCCTTAAAACTATTTTAGCTTATGCAAGTGAATATAGAATTTGCCCCAGAACATTGTTTCCCCAGGGCCTCGTGAGGCTTACTGTTAGGCTGAACAATGGCACGACATTTAATGCCACTTAGTCTGTCAGGAATATCTATATATATATACATATATATATATATGTATATATATATATATATTTATATATATATTTATTTATATATGTGTGTATATGTATATTTATATACTTGTAGTTAAGAGAAACTTACGCAACACGTTTGCAGTGAAAATGCCATTACCTTAAATTATATAATTTTGTTTATAAAGGGCGTACTGTGGTTGTATTTGTTGTTTTTCCTGACTTCACTCGACTCCGTAATTGCTTGCATAGGCTTCATATTTCAATTTACGAAAGACTTTCAAAATGCAACCAGACTTACTGCTACCCAGTACATACGAATTGTAAGTTTCGCGTTTAAAATCATAGAAAATATATTTTTTATTATAAATATTTAAAATTTCAAAATTTATAACGAATAATATTAATTATAATACACCAAAAAAATTAGAAAATTAAAAAAAAATTAATTGAAAAATAATTACAATTAATAGTAATAATTGCAAAAGTACAAGGAAATTAAAATAAAATTAGATTAGTTAAATTGTCAAAAAAAAAATAAAAATAAGAATAATACCAATAATATTAAGAAAATTTGAAATATAATTTGAAATACAAATTACATTTTAACAATTTTAATAATAAAATATTTATATTTATATAAATATAATCAAATATTTATAACCTGTAAAACATGAAAAATAAATAAATCGTAATTACATCAATGAATTACAGGGTATGTAAAAAGACTGGAACAGGAGCTTATAGAATAGCATATATATATGTATACGAAAGATAGTCTATATTGAAGTAGAAAACGATTACAGTTTGGGGTAATATCCCAATCGTGTACCCGAGGGTGGCTTACATTTTGAAAGCATGTGTCCTTTGACAAGCATAAGGGGTATAAACAGACAGATACAGGGAGATTTTCATAGAGAGAGAGAGAGAGAGAGAGAGAGCGAGAGAGATAGTCAGATAAAGACTAAAATACCCACTGATGAGTTGGCAATAATTCGGTTGAGTGGTTACTGTCAACAGGCAAATAGAATAGAAGGTGTTCCAAATGGGGGCGGGTAATCATTATTACACACTCAATCGCTTGTTTTTGTTGTTGTCGATGGTCTTTTGTTTACACGTAAAACATCATGCATATTTAATTGGGTTAAATTGCTGGACGATTAACATTTGAAAATGAAATGCGCAGATAATTGAGTTTATTTTGCCTAATTACAAGTGCCTTTTCTGTTCACAGGTAGGCGTTCAGGTAAGCCTGTTACAACCTGTGCGTGCACTCGTCGTCATAGAGTAGAGAGCGCCATTAATCCGATTGAACCATTTAGTTTGAAGTATGTTTGAATTAATAATGGAGATCACTTCAGATATGACGAATCCTTTTACAAAAGCCATATAGCCATAACTCGGACTTCTTTCGACTTACTTTATCAACTCCAACTCGCTTTTCTATATTTTTAAACCCTGTCTGTCAGTCCCAGCATCTATAAGATTTAGAGAAAAATTGTAGGTGTCTGGCACGCCCATTTCAAATTTGTTTCAAATAATTGATAAATTAGCCGTTGTTATACCCTGATCCCATTGAAAATGGGAAGTCAGGGTATAATGGTTTTGTGCAAATGTAAGTAACAGGCAGATGGAGGCGTGGCAGATCCCAAAAAGTATATACATCCTGGATCAGGACGACAAGCCGAGTCCGTCTGTCTGTCCGTCTGTGTGAACTCAGCAATATAAGAACTAGAGACTTGAAATTTTTAGTAGGTCCGTGTATAGCACGCGCATATCGAATTTGTTTCAAATATTCGATAACTATTCGCATTTAATTTATAATTTAAATTAAATTATATCTCGGACGTCTTAATATTTTATATTTAGTTTTATGTATATTCTATGCAATTTTGGTTCTTTTTGGATTTTGGATACCTGCTCCAAATTTCCCCAAATTCTTAAAATTTAATTCAGTTGGAAATAGGGCCATTATATGAAGGCGTTTGCAACTCTACCAAGCCAATAGGATGATATGTAGATCATATGCTGAAAATTTCATTAAAATCCATTAAGTAGAACAGAAGTTATTAAACAAAACGATTGGACAATTTGCAAAAGCACATGCCAGCAGCGAATGCGAAGCGAAGAATCGAAATTGCGATTGAATTGTGCTGAGTTATTGGCTGCTACTTAAGTTCAAATTTGCAACGTTTCACATAAGTAGTGCAGTGGCTGCGTTGGTAGAGATGGCGTACGTTAGCGATTGGTCTCGGATCCAAGCCTCGCGGCGACGGGAGATGTTTTATCTCCTAGTTGGGCATTCCGACTAGAGATTTCTTACTTATTTTAATACTCGTTCATACTCGTTTCAAACATCGATAACTTTTCCAATGAATAAAACAGTTTGCACTTTTAGTGATATTCCACCTATTCATAATATTACAGAAAGCGTATGGTCAATTGCTCCATGCTTGTGCAAATATATCTTCAAATGCGCGCAATCAGTTTCAAATTCTATTAAAAAAAACTATAATTGCGATTAAACTGACCCGCTGCCTCGTAGAGCTTGGAGCCTAGATCAGAAGTTGAAGTTTATGTTGATGTTGTGCCACCTAATCAGAAGTTAAAATTGAAGTTGATGTTGTCGAAACATAAAATTGTATCATTTCAAATCAATGTTTCTCGGACAATTCAATTCAATTCAACTCAATTCAATTCAATTTTTCAAATGATATGTGATTCCAAAACAAATCCCAACTTTTCAGAAGTTCTTCATAACACTTATATAGGCTGCGCTCAGATAAGTGGCAGTCTAACTTGTAGGCGTCAGGACATGGCCGTCCTGCTTGAACATTTTCCTTTCATTTGTGAGGTATTGGCTTGCACAGATACAAATGTTTTTGCTTGAACATATGAAAACGTAACAAGTGAGAAAGATCTACACAGGATGCCCGACTAGGAGATACCAGTGCTATCTGGTTTTTATACCCAGGGTTTTTATGTCAGGGTATAATGGTTTCGTGCAAATGTATGTAACAGGCAGAAGTAGGCGTGGCAGACCCCATAAAGTATATATTCTTGATCAGGACGACAAGCCGAGTCGATTGAGCCCTGTCCGTCCGTCCGTCCGTCTGTCCGTCTGTCCGTATGTGTTAACGCGTGGATCTCAGCATCTATAAGAGCTAGAGACTTTTTTGTAGGTCCGTGTATAGCACGCGCAAGTCAAGTTTGTTTCAATTATTCGATAACTATTCGCATTTAATTGTTATCGAATAAAACATGATTGAAATGCAGTTAATAAATTATATCTCGGACGTCTTAAGATCTAGAGCCTCCAAATTTTGTATTTAGTTTTATGTATATTTTATGCAATTTTGATTTTTTTGGATTTTGGATACCTGCTCCAAATTTCCCCAAATTCTTTAAATTTAAGTTCAGTTGGAACTAGGTTCATTGTGTAAAGGCGTTTGCATCTCAATCAAGCCAATGGGATGTGTAGATCATATGCTGAAAATTTCAATTAAATCCCTTAAGTAAAACAGAAGTTAATAAACAAAACGTTTGCCCTATTTGCAGAAGCACATGTCAGCAGCGCCACGCGCACGCATTTTTGCTATGCTTTTCTATTCGAAGAATCGAAATTGCGATTAAATACTGCTTGAATTATCAGCTGCTACTCAAGTTCAAATTTGCAACTCATCTAGTAAGCAGTGCAGCGGCTGCGTTGGTAGAGGCGGCGTTCGCTAGTGACTAGTCTCGGGTTCAATCCTCACGGCGATCAGATGTTTTTTAGCGATTTATTTTTTTTAAATTATGAAGTGGCGGTGTTGGTAGAGTTGGTGCACGTTGCGCAAACAGTTCGGGTTCGAAACCTGGTCTCGCAATGTCGTTTTTTATTTGTTTTCGTTTTTCTTGAATACTCGATACAAACTACGGAAAATATTAAAAAACTCAGAGGACTGGGATCAGGGTATCTCCTAGTCGGGCACCCCGACTACAGCTTTCTTACTTGTTTTTGTAGGTCCGTGTATAGCACTCGCATATCGAGTTTGTTTCAAATATTCGATTACTATTCGCATTTAATTGTTATCGAATAAAACATGATTGAAATGCAGTTAATAAATTATATCTTTAAATTTTATATTTATTTGATGTATATTTTATGCAATTTTGTTTTTTGTTGGATTCCCTAAATTCTTAAAATTGAAGTTCAGTTGGAAATTGGGCCATTATGTGAAGGCGTCTGCATCTCTACAGAAACGTTTGGCTAATTTGCAAATGCACATGTCAGCAGCGCCAAGCGTACGCATTTTCCTATACACACATGAATTCAATTGAGTGTATTCTTTTCTATTCGAAGAATCGAAATTACGATTGAAAACAGCTTGAATTATCAGCTGCTACTTAACTTCAAATTTGTAACTTCTTTCATGTCTAGTGCAGTAGCGGTGTTTATAGAGACGACGCTTGTAGGCACTAATCTCTTGGCTCGAGTTCAGACGTTTTTTATTGTTTTTAATTTTTTAATTATGAGGTGGCGGTGTTGGTAGAGTTGATGTAAGTTGTGTAAACAATTTGGGTTCGAATCTTGGTGTCGTAATGTTACAAAAAAAAACAAGGATTTGAACAACTGTGAACCATTGAACCCAGAAGTTCGAATAGAAAAGAATGAACGCATTTAAATGCTTTTGCACTTTTGTTTACTTAACTGATTTTAATGACATTTTCAGCATATGATCTACATCTTATACCGGACAATAAACAAATTGTTTAACAATAATAATGCATAATCGGATGGCTTGGGCTTCTATCTTACATATTTAACTATTTCTGTGGGTCAGGTGTGGGACATAAAATTTTTTAAGCTGTCTATGGTTGCTTGAGTTATCTAGTAGTCTTAGTGCTAGAGCATTATCGTGCTCATGTATCTTTTTGGACCAATTATTTGAGATCAAAGAGCATGTCAAATCCAAATTAGATAATAATATTGGGACGAAGCACAATGCTAACTGTGTAATTAAATTTATAAAATCACGATCATAAATCATTCTCTCTTGAGTTTTCACCCTTAAATTGATATCGATTAAAATGAATTTTGCAATTACGATTATATATTGATAATATCTATATGATATATATATTTGGTGATACACTGTTAAGTCCAGACTTAATATAAAGAAAAACATTCATCCATACCATCCTACTTATATGTAAATATAAGTATTGCAGAGCTGTGTTGGGTTTGTTGAATTAGAGAGTTGCTTTGATTATATTAACTGATCACTTTGTATTTTCATTATTATCATTGTATTATTATTTTTTTATTATTATTTTAAATGATGTAGACACTTTAACTATATAGCATTATTGTATCAGTTTGTTGTAACAACGAAAATGTTCCGAAAAATTGATGAAATGTCGCGCGTCACGAAATATCCATGAGAACTGAATAGCAAAAACATTTTCGTTCACCTGCATTTCTTCAGAAAGTCAGAAATATATACAAAAAAATGCGATTGTCCAATAAATAAATAGTAGCGGAGCAAAATTAGCCAATCGGAATGCACGCAGCTAAAGTTATTCAAGCAATGGCTGTATGGGTGAGAGAGAGAGCTGATGATACGTACAGGGTGTCAGCCAATCGGAGCGCTCGATACAATATGTGAAGGCGTGTTCAACGGAAACTTTGGGCACTTCCGATACGCATGCGTATTGGTTGAGAGACAACCCTTAAGGAGGAGCTCTGTTCCTCCTTAGCCGAGTCATGGGCATCATGCCCTCTAATTTGCACATAACACGTATTTTGTATTTTGAATTCAACGAACTGTGAATATTGCTTTTAATTTAATTAACTTTTCCCAACAAAATTGCGGCATGCAAATTAAATGAGGCTCCTGGACGAGGGTGTAAATACGTGGCTGATGTATGCTTGTATGTATGTTGGACATGCAATGTTATTTTATTCATGAACTTGTTTGCTTGACATGGTGTACTTATTAATACATGTATAACTCATTTTGCTCGATATCTCTCTCATATCTCTCTCGATATCTGTGGGCGTGCATAGCACGTGGGTTAAACTATTGCATACGCTGCATAATTGGCAATCCCACATAGATTGATGCCCTTACGTATTCTCATGTAGCCAGATTCTCCCCACATTTCTCCCCACCAATTCTTAAGTATCCAATAATCTTTTTCATATCCAATCAGTAGCATCGCATGATTAACCGAACTCGAAGTGCACGTGACATCATCGTAGATTCCGTCGCTGTAAGCAAACAATAGCACAGAATAGAAAACAATTAAAGACATCTAACAATGATGTTTATTGTCAACTTTATTCTACTTTTTTTATTATTTTTGATATATTTATTATTTGTGCATATATATTTATACAAGAGTATGCTGGCTTTGAAGGAACTCGGTCAAACTAGAACCAATCTATATTTTTGAATTTACATGTCTCTAATTTGGATAATTTACTGAGGGTGACTAACCCTAGACTAAAAATGTATCGACGTCCATTGGAGGGTTGGCGAATCGGGTAAAACTCTACATTCTATATTCAATATGTAACAACTGAGCTTTGGATTAGGTCGGTGCAATCTTACCTATACAATTGAAAAGTTTTTGGGGTCGCATTGATTGAAACTGCCACTGGACCAATATGCGCCACCGCTGCTTGAATTGCCTTTTCATCATTTGCCGGCAAAATGGCCCACGAGGTGACGTTGACCACGGCCAATTCGCTGACGAACTGACAAGCCCCTTTCTAGAATAGAAAATGCATTTATTTAATATAATTAAATCATACATAAAGACAGCAAGAGGCTTCTATTCTATGGGTATTAAATTAATACAAACATTCATTCCCAAGTATATTTTACAAAAAATATATTTTTATTACGAGATTATAAAGATTTATGAAAAAATTAAATAAACTTATTGACTATTAGCTATAAGAATGTATTTATTATGGTAAAGAATAGCTTAGCGTAATTTTTCTTCCAGTACATTTTTAAGATAAAAAATCGCAATATTCTAATAAAAATATATATATATTAAAACTAATTAAATTTAAAAAATACTTGGTCAGGGAAGTGAATAGAGTATATTGATTTTCGGCAATGTCAGTCAGCTGGACACTGACTAAATAGAGACTTGTAATATATCTATATATCTACGCTTATTGGGCGAACAATTTTTTAATTGAGATAATGTCAAGCTCCTCCAAAATAGCGAATCAGAAAAATGTTATATTCCAGAGATTTTTAGCTAAAATATGTAATGAATATTGTATGCAGATTTCCGCCTTCACATATAGGCTACAAATCATATGATCCACCCATCCATTGCTTGTAGTAAATCCTTAAACATTGAATTTTAAACAAATTTACTTGACCGTGATATTTTGACAGACAAATTCGAGCATTGCACGAGTCGATCAAGTTGATTTCAATTAATCGATAATTTTTCATATTTAAACGAAATCGAACTGTATTTATTATATCAAGTCACCGAAGTCTTTGCAACTAGAATATCCAACTTTCATTCATTTCTGTTTTTCATATTATATTATACGAAATGTGGCATGCAACACAGCCATTAGGTAAAATGTAATAAATGATGTAGATCATATACTGAACATTGCGTTGAAATTTCTTGAGTCACACCGAAGTTATTACAGAAAACGTGTGGACAATTGGCATCAGAGCACTCATTTGCGCATACCTTCAAACACCTTCTTTGTGTTTGATATATATGAGTGATAATATGGGTGCTCAGGCTGTCTCGTAGTCAGATACTCCTGAATCTTTTTTACTTGTTCAGATAGCGAAATGTGCACATAGATAAAGACTGAAGTTCCACCATTGAGGTCGGAAGTTTCATGTTTGAAATATAGTATGTTCCTTTGTTCATGGGCAACAAAAATCACAATTAACGACAAATGTAATATACGTGTGTTATATTAAACCCTTAATAAACAAGTAAGAAAGCTCTTGTCGGGGTGTCCGACTAGGAGATACCCTGATCTCACTCCTATTTGCGTTTTTTTAATATTTTCCGTAGTTTGTATCGAGTATTCAAAAATAAAAGCAAATAAAAACTGGCATTACGACACCAAGATTCGAACCCAAATTGTTTACGCAACGTGCATCAAACTCTACCAACACCGCCACCTCATAATTACAAAACAATAAAAAAGTCTCCTCTTTGCTGAGTTCGAACCCATAAATTATCGCTTACGAGCGTTGCCTCTACCAACTAAATACAAAATTTGGAAGCTCTAGCTCTTAAGACTTCTAGGATATAATTTATTAACTGCATTTCAATCATGTTTATATTCGATAACAATTAAATGCGAATAGTAATCGAAAATTTGAAACAAACTTGAAATGCGCATACTGTACACGGATCTACAAAAAAATTTCAAGTCTCGAGTCTCTCAAAACAGACGGACCGACAGATAGACGGACAGGGCTCAATCGACTCGGCTTGTCATCCTGATTAAGAATATATATACCTTATGGGGCCTGCCACGCCTCCTTCTGCCTGTTACATACATTTGCACTAAACCATTATACCCTGATTTCCCACTTTCAATGGGATCAGGGTATAAAAATTCTCCAACTTGCATTTATTCAGATTTTTTCGTGGCACCCGTTAAAAATGTAGCCTTGGTTTGCTGAGGAAAGCCATAAAAACCTGAAATCTATATATCTAATTTATATATAAATATATTGGATTTTGGATACCTTTCGCCAAATCATACTTCAAATAGAAGAGACGATCGAATACTCTCGACATGTGCACGCTTGCATGTATATATTTGTATTTACCTTCGAGGCATACTTGTAGTCAACGGATCTCATTAGACCTCCAGTAGCTTGTAGATATCGAAGTGTGTTTCGCAGCGAGCCGCCTGTGCAACCCTGATTGCCATGCGATATGCTGCAATCGACGATTTGCTGTTCACTTAGAGGTAGGATTCTGCCGGTCCGCTTGAAAACTTGACCCTCAATGCTTTGGGCAATGCTGAAGGCGTAACATGAGCCACAGCTCTGTTGATTATACGATGGTGTCACGAAACCCTTTTTACGCCAATCCAAACTGTCTGGCACATTGTCCATTAGCGCCGATCCAACTATATCGGCCATATTATCTGATGGCGATATCAGTGGACTTCTTAGTAAACGCAAGAAGCCCTTAAGATACGAATCAGTACTCTATGGGTAAGGAACGTTACAGCGTATTAAGCAAATAGCCAAATGGTGGATGTATAAAATAAAGATTATACAAAACAAATTACATATATCATCATCATCAACATCAACTATATGTTGTACCTACTATCTTTACATAGAACAGGTCAACATTGATTCGCCTGTGAAGAACAATCTTACGCTCACAGTTGCTATGAATATCGAATCATACTAACTATGGGTTCTGCTTGCAATCACTGCAAGCATATACTTCTCAAACGGTTACTGCGCGTTACAGCCTTAAGGTAAGGCTCCAGAAACCTAGGCAGAAGCTAATAAGGCTGTTCAATGGGGCACAATGAAAAGCAGGTAATACGCTGTCAAGTTGACAGAGCGTTTTGCATATCCTAGTAGCTTCAATCAATCAGCAGGATTAGACCCGGAAGTTATTCCAACCAGCCACAAATCAAGGCAAACTTCACATCTTGTGTTTTCATTTGCTGATAAGCAATAATAAACAATAATATGTCCTACATTACACATATGCATATGTATGATATAGCTTACCATATCTGCCATTGTATTTGTTGTTAGTCGAAAGCTGCTTTTGCCTGAATCATAATCTTTGTTGTGCTCGTTGACAATTTGATGGTTTTCCTCGTAGGCCTTATAGCTTCGCAGCTCATCATAGGGACGTATGTAGCTTTTGTTGTTGACTTTCTGCAAGAGTGGCGAGTCAGGGGTAGATTTGAAAACGATTTTACAATATTCATTCATTGTTATAATTACCTTAAATTTCTCGAACTGCTCTCCATAGATTTGGCTTGAATCATTTTGTTGGCACAGTACCAAATTGCCAGCAAAGATGAAATACAATAATGAAACCAGAGCGAGTCGCATTGCTGCAATCGAGCAAATGAGTTTTTAAATATTTATTCTCATGCGATTGCAAATTGCAACTCAGCAAACGAATACCCATTGAATAAATGGAAATGTTGGGCACTCGCTGACCTCACAAAGTGCATATGCCTTGGCCGTGTCTGAGGGGGTAATTGTCGAAGAACTGCACAAGACCAATATACCCAGTTCAAGCTCATTTCAGTGGTATCATTATTTATTTGCTTATAAAGCTAAAAAGCTAAATATAATGATATGCATGTGTATATATACATTTGCTGCAGTTGTAAATCTATTGCCGAGCTTCTTAAGGTACCTTCGTCGTGCACTTGCTTGGTACAGTAGACCGCTTTGGTACTTTGGTGTACTGTGTGACTCTTCGACAGTCCATGGTACTCTTTGGCATTCTTTGGTACACTTTTTGTTACAGTTACTTTTCGCTGCTACTTTCTTATGCTCGCAAAACCTCATTAGCAGATTGTTAGCTTTTGAGGGTGGTTTCGAATGCTTTGAATTCTTTGAATAATGCAGGCGCTCTTAACTTTGTATGCGACGAGAATAGAATTATTATAATTAATTGGTTATTAAATTTAATATGAGTCGTGTGCTGCGCATTAGCTTGTTATCACGAATCGCCCTATCTATGTGGCAATATAAGCACCATAGGCATTCTACAAACACATAATACCCATGCAATCATTACATGAAATAATATTTAACGGTATCTCTCTCTCCCCCTCTAACATTTTTAACTTCATTGTACATAAATATATATATCACGATCATTTCCGCGACTCAATAATAAAAAAGAAAACAGGAAAACTTTCTATTTTTAGAATTCGAAAAGAACATGCATATGTATGGGAAGCATGCCTATGCTTGGTAAATTGGCCAAACATTTTGTTTAATACCTTCTGTGTTTCTTTCATAAAGGATTTTAATGAAGCTTTAAGTATATGAGTCATATATTCTATTGGTAGCTTAACTGATAACAAATTTCGCTTTGCATTACAAATTGCAAGAGGCTTCAAAACAAAATAATAGTTTGTAACGAAAGTTACAAATCTGGGAAATTTTTACGAATTCATTTTTTTATTCAAGCCGTTTTTACGTGTTAATGAGATTTTCCAGTTAGCAGGGAGCGAATTATATTTTTGTAAGCAGCTCAGATTTCATTTTGCAATCGGAATCAAATCTCATTTTAGAATCGCACAGCATAGTATCCAACTTTGGTCAGTACTGTGTACAAATCGGCAGTCTTAAGCGCCACCTATGGTTGAAAATTATTATTTTTACAAATAGATATCATATCAGCTAGTATTTGTAAGGCCTCCCAGTGTTTAATATTTTTATTCATACTATTAGATATAATATCAGACAGCTTTTATAAGCAACGTATAGTTTTAAACCTGTAATGCCATCTATTGTTGAGTCTTTCGGGCATTTTGATACTTTTGCTTACTTTCCACTATTTCGTTTACTCATTCCCTTTTCTTATTATCGATACCCATAGACCTCGATACTTGTGCTTCCGCAGCTCAAGTGCGGCCAGAGTCTGTGTTTCTTGATACTTAAAACGGAAGCGTGGAATGATAGGAATATAACCTGTTCAGAGACATACAAGATAATCGAGGATTCTAAATATGCCGTCTAGATAACATTATGCCAAAATAGATAAGATCACATGTTTCGAACCTAAATTTAGGCAGACCAACTCTGAGCCTTAGAAACTCAGCAATCAATAGAAAACTGAACAAAACTACAATAACCCTTTTCAGGGTTCAGGGCACCTCTTAGTCGAGCGGAGGTCCTTGAAAAAGCATTAAGTATGCATTTCATCAAGGTAACATCGCCAGACATGAATTTATAATACTCGCGGTAGCTATTTCAAGTTCTATGGAAGCAATAAGGAAAACCTCAAAGAGCTTCATACGCTTGGATCGATTCAGAAAGTTGAAAAAGACTTACAAATAACAAGCAAGCAGTTTCATTTACTGCTTTGGATAGCGCTGATAGTAGCAAGATAGCGTATGGTGCTTAAACAGCGGCGCAACATCTCAAATTCGTTTCGATGGCACTGCTTAGCTATATTGAGAAACATTGATAATGTTGGCTGCAAATAAGTATGTTGCTTCACCCGGATTAGGCAGTGTGAAAATCCAAGGACAGCTGTATACACTAACACGCACAACGAAGACCAGCAGAAGGAAAAGGCGAGAGCACATGGGCCAAGCCGTATAACGGAAAATGTTTCCACTGCGACAAGGTTGAGCTCCAAGCAAGCGAATGTAATTGGTAGAAAATGAGAGATTACAAATAACAAGCAAGCAGTTTAATGCACTGCTTTGGAGAGCACTGGATAGCAGCAAGAGAACTCTTGGTTGCGATGCTCAGCTTTGTTGAGAAAGAAAGAAACATCGATAATGTTGGCCGCAAATAAGTGTATACAAAGTCAAGGAGAGAATTTCATAATAAATGTTAATTGCATATACATTTTTTTATGATATTGATCAGCTTACGTGGAAGAATATCGCCGTGACTAGTGGAAGAAACATCAAGAAAGAAAGACAGAGCAGAAAGAGCGAGTAATGTAGTAATACAATCTACACACACACACATACGCACAGACAAGACAGATCGTCAGATAAAAGATAAAACAGATTTTAGGCGACTTTGGACGCATCTCAACTCACTTCACTCACCTTCCTACATCCATTCTTTTTATATTCTTAGTATGGTTTTTTTCCGTGCTATTGTATGAAGGCGTGTCTGAGAAGAACGTTTTCTACATACCCTGGTACATTTGCTATGGTTCTTTTCCTTGCTAATGTCTTAAATGCTGTGGGCACACCATTCATATGTATGTATCTATTAGTACGTTTCTTATGGTTCTTTTACCAGCTAATTTTTAAAGGAGTGGCTGTGAACATTTTGTTGTTTTCATCATTGTATATATTTTTTTATGCTTTTTTCATGAAAACGCCTCAATTAATGTATTTTTTCCGTGCTAGTATATACAAGGTATGTCTGTGAACAACATTTATACATATATGCGGCAAAACTGAACTTCAAGTCTTCATTTCATCGACTATTTCCGTGTACAGTTATCAATAAATAACAAGTATATCAAAGCGGCTGAAATGGTTAATAGAACTCAACTGACTTCTAAGACAGAAATTCAAATTATTAGTATTCATAAAGGAAAAATACAAGAACACATTTCCCTCCCACCAGCATATATAGCATGTCCGACATAGCCATTTACATCAAGATGGAAGCGAATTGAAATTTAATCTCAAAAGTACAGGATAATTTAAACAAAAATCAGGGTCTGTCCAATTAGTTATGTTCACGTTCGTGACGTGTCCGTTGGCTGTAGAAAAAAGTTGTACATAATTTCCCAGTTAGGTTCTTATTTAGTGAGTTCATTACCACCAGATGGGCTCAATGTTTGAGAAACTTGGCATTCTATTTGCAATCATAGTTGAACCAGAAGTTGAGGTATGTAACGACCTAACAGACCACACCAAGCACACTATCGTAATGTGGACACTGTTTGAAGGGTAGGTTTGTAAATCAGATTCAGCTGGATACATTAGTTCTTAATAAAGCCGGTCAAGTGCTCTTATATTGTGTACAAGGTCGCCATTATGGTTTTTGTCTATGCTTAATACCGAAGTTGTAACCATTAAAGTGGTGCTTGCCTAAGCTATTACATTCCACACTTTGCTGATAACTAAGCTAAAGTTGCTCTTGCAGTGTAGACTCTGACCTCAGGGTAGATATATTAGATAAAACTGTTTAACATGAAGCAGTGTAATTGCTCAAATATATGTAGCGCTACAAAGTAAGCAGTCTTTTCAGTTAATAAAATGTCTTGTTCTCTCGCCGCGTGAACGCGAACATATGTGTATAAGACTTGTACAACTAGTATACAAGCAGACATGAGCTCAATATTTATTTATTATTTGCATAGCAAAACGGAATACGGAACAATATGTTAAATTTATTATTTTACCTATTACATATATTCAAATATTGATTCAATTTAATTTTAATGGACATATTCGAGTTAAGGTAGCTTGAACTAGCTGCATTATTTTCCGATGGAAAATAAAAGATGCTTAGTTTTTGTTTAAAATAGAACTTCGAAAAGATCCCACTACTTTAGCTAAGAATTATTTGGTTTTAAGCGATTTTAAAGAGATACATTGAAAATCGGCTATTCATGGAAATAGTACTGTTGAATGAAAGTATTTGAATTAAACACACGTTATGCTTATTACTTTAAATTTTACTTATTGAAATTTATTTAATGCCTTTCTCGGCAGAAAATAAATTGCACATATTTTTTATAGACAGTTGCTCCGATTCTACCTCCATTAGACCAAAACAAACTTGTAAAACATAATATATGAAGTTAAAGCAATGTTAAATAGTTTGTTTTCCAATCATTTACTACTATTTTTATGAACAATGAAATGTTTAGAATTTTTCTGTCTTAAGCACCGAAGGCTACTTGTTCCTAAGTTTGGACAAAAAACACATCTAAATGAATTCAAAATATGTTAATATTAATATTCCTTTTAAAAAATTTTAAAAAAAATTTCAAAAGTATTTTTGTGAACACATCTCTATATATGCCAACATATGCAAATTTGTTGCATAATATGAAATCCTTTGTGTGCTCTCTATTCTATTAATATTCGTCTTATTCTATCAGTTTTCTATCTATCTATTCTATCAGTTTCAGACGTAGTTTTTTCCGATTTGACACGTCATAGTGCAGCCCAAGGACCGTAACTCACTAGTCAAATTTTGAACTTCCAGCTGTTAAAGCGTTTCCCTAGTCATAGTATTCCAAGAGCTGAGGGTAATTCACGACGAGTTTCTTCTTCATTTGCAGTATCACATCCAGTAGAGACTGGCGGACAGACGGATCTAATGGCAATATACTCTTTTAAGTTAGCGAACGAGTGCAAAATTGAGCGAACAAGTGAACAAACTCCCAGGCTGAATTAGACACACATAAAAAT